TTTTTAAAAAAAAAAAAAAAAAAAAAAAAAAAAAAAAAAAAAACAGAAAAGCATAAAAACAGAGAAAAGGTTTTTTTCTTCCTATTTTATAACTTTTTTGTTAAAAGAACAAAGGCATACATAAAGTCCGGATTATCGATCTACAAAATTGGGAGGGAAAAAAAAAAAAAAAAAAAAAAAAAATGTGTATAATTTGTATAGGTGCAATAGTTCTTTACAAAATTGAGAGGGAAAATGAAAAAAAAAAAAAAGTCACTATCCTTTTAGCCGCTCAACCATGCTAACCAAGACAGAGATGAGTAATACTAGTACTTACTCCTAGATCCTTAAGGTAATCCTCTTTCATGGGGACTATAAATATTGTGAAATTTTTATCAATAATAACGGGAATATTTTTCTTCTTACTGAAATGTTCACATATATGCAGAAATTTCTTTTTCTGTGTAACAGCTGAGGACAGGGATTTGAGAAAAGAAAAAAAGGAAAAAAAAAAAAAAAAAAAAAAAAAGGGGATGATGTATGTTAGATATAATGGTGTACAGTATATATATATATATATATATATATATATCGCTTGACTCGTCATTAAAAAAGAAAGAAAAAAACAAAAAGTTTATTAGGATTGTTCATTGTTGGTCACAGTAAATCATAAGAAGTGTGGTAAACTTCTAGTTGTTGTAATTATTACTTGGTCCTAATTGCCATATGGAGTAATCAAGACAGGAATTGCGTACGTTCATTAAGTTGTGTACATCACTTTTGGTTTCTACGTTTAACTTTGGATAACTGCAGGAGTGTGTGTATGAATGAAGTGATATAAAAATGTGGGGGAGAAACACACGTGAAATGGCACAAATAAGATGTGATGTATGAATGAAGTGATATATACGTGGGGGAGAAACACATGTAAAGCATTATCATGCTTACATTTTAAGTTCAGGGTTTCCGTCATAGAAATTGGATATAAAGTCACACTTATATTTCTGATTAACATAAAAGGATACTGTTTTTTGAATTTCATTATAATCATTCAATTCGACATCGTCTAAGCTATTAAAATCGCTACTTGATTCTTCTTCCACATTATCATGATTAGCAATACCTTTGACAGTTTCATTTAATGTTCCATGTTGATGCCGAGATGAGTAACCCATGGGATGTGTAGTATCATCAATGGCACTTTCTTCACTATTTTCATTTCTCCTCTTTTTATAACTTCTATGATGAGAAGGATGCAGATGGGGGCGATGCTTTGTATGATCAGATGTGAGAAGAGTTCCCTTTCGTTTGGATGCTCGTCTTGAATCTTTCTTTTCATATTTATAATGGTTTTCTCCTCCTCCTGCACTAGTTTTATCATATCCAGAGTTGTTATTTCGATATGAATCAACGGCCTGTAATTTATTTTTCCTTCTATGAATGGAAACACTGGTAGAGTTGTTATCTCTGTTATGTTTTTTCTTCGAAGTGTATTCATCGTTTTTGTCAAGGTCGTGTCTCTTCAAGCGAACCTCGCTGTTGTGATTGACATAACTTGGGTTACCTCTACTAGGGTGACCTCGACTTGGGTGACCTCGATTTGGGTTACCTCGACTTGGGTGGCCTCGACTTGGGTTCCCTAGATTTAGATTACCTCGATTTGGATTGTTAATATAATAATAATTACTATTATCATTATTGTCATTAATATCATCAAGGTTGTTGCTATTCTTTAATATATGCATAACCTTGGAGTCCAAAAAACCAGAGCTTCTTCTCTTGAAGGTTGATTCTAATACATCGTTTAATTCTCCATTGTCCTGGGTAAGTGAATCCAATAATTTCTTTCGTGTATAACTTGCCTTCTGTTGTTTTCCCTCCCATTCTCCAAGAGTAGAAAAATCAATGTTCAAAAATGTATTATTGGATATTTGAATTCCATACATGTGATTCCTTGCTTTAACAGCGTCTTTCACATTTGCATATTGTAAGAAAAGACAATTTTTATCTGAAACATATTTTATATTCTGAACCTCACCAAATTCCATAAACATATTATTCAAAATATTTGCTGTGTTCAAAAAATAATTCTTCAAAATGTTTCCTACCCATAAACAAACGTTTGCTTTGCTAGGAGCTGAAAATGTCACTAAAAAATTTTCCTTTTCCAGAGCTTTCTTTGCTTCTACACAATTTTTTATAGTTCGAAAGGTTAGGTGAGCGTATCTCTTTCCGTTCATTTGTCTGGACACACTACCCACTTTCGCATGTTCATCGGTTTTACTTTCTCCCTCCGTCACAGCTCCTTTATTTTGATCACTCTTCACCACAGATTCTTCATTTGGATCACTCTTCACCACAGCTCCTTTATTTTGATCACTCTTCACCACAGTTTCTTCATTTGGATCACTCTTCATCACAGTTTCTTTATTTGGATCACTCTTCACCACAGTTTCTTCATTTGGATCACTCTTCACCACAGTTTCTTCATTTGGATCACTCTTCACAACAGTTTCTTCATTTTGATTGCCCTCTGCCACAACTTCTTCATTTTTAGCTTCTACATTTTGACCCCCTTTTCCTCTTCTTCCTGTCTTCTTTGATGTGACAGATTTCTTGGCACCTCTACGTTTGTTTTCCTTTGTTTGATTTTCACCTTCATTTTTTTCCATTTTTTCTACTTCTGCTCCTGCTTCTGCTCCTGCTTCTCCTTCTCCTCCTACTTCTCCACCTGCTTCTCCACCTGCTTCTCCACCTTCTTCTCCACCTACTTCTCCATCTGCTTCTCCTCCTTGCTCTTCCTTGGTTAATCCCTCCATGGGGTCGTCGTGCTGATCTCCAATTGGAAAATCTACATTTTGCACCTCTCCCTGCATCGCGGTTATTTCCTGATTAACTTCATCACCCATGGTAACTGCTGCATCTTGGTCAACGGGATCTTCTCGCTTTTTGGCATTTTTAAAGAACCTATGTTCATCTATTTCGTTCGCAATAAAAAGCGTCACTTCTACACAAATGGAATGCACCTTTTCTTTTGAAAACAACCCGTTGACGTACTCCTTTACTTTACTGTCTTGATCTAGATGCTCTGGTATGTTTGTAATGAGTAAATATCTATTATAAATTTTAGTATTTCCAAAAGTTTCTACAAAATCAAGGTGATTAGCTTCAACAGATGCATCTGGATCCCATTTCAGAACCGGTTTTGTCTTTCTATGATTCCACGTTGGATTTTCTGCCACTTGATTATCTTTATGAATTCCGAATGGGTTCTCTTCATTAAATTGGATGGAGTATTCAAAGCTTTCCTTGCTAAGACTTTCTACTCTTTCAGATGCATGAGGTGGTTTCATATGTCTAGAATTATGTTTATTACTAAGATCTGTGTACTTGGCATGCTTCGTGTGATTTACTGTGTATATTGCATGGGGATAGGATTCTTCATATTTTGGATGTATTGCCTGAGGCTCATACTCTTCATGAATTGTGTATTTTCCATGCAGAACAGTATTACTCTGATTCTCTGGATTCGGATGATTTCCATAGTATCTACTTCTAAAACCAGATCTTTTAGCAGATGCAGACATATCACTCTTTTCAGGGCTCGTCATGGGAATATATTTTCCTCCTGTTGAATGTGGCATATTCATTTCTGTGTGATTTGCACCATGAATATGTGGTGGAAGGGGTGCTGCTGCACTCCTCTTATGATGTACATTTTTATTAGATGTAGGAGGTTGGTTAGTGTAAGAAACATAAGGTGTATTACTATTAGATGGTACTTCGAACCCATTCTTATTATACGTGTTCTGAATAAAAGAAGATGAAATTTGTTCACTCATCATTTTTCTCCTTCCATGTGATAATAAGGGTTGGCCATTTGTAATTTTATTTCTATTATGCTCAGATGATACTGGGGTAACTGAATGTTGATGGTTGTTACTTTGATGATGATTATATTTGGGAAAGGATTCTACCAGATTGTTTCTATTTGCATCGTTGAATGGCTTGTTATATGGTTTTAGTGATCTTGGAGGGGGTGGTGGTGGAGGCTGCACATAATTAGATGCATTATTAAAATTGGATGTTTCTAAATGTGCGTTATTTTCCTGTTGATGCTGCTGTTGATGGAGATGGAGATTACTACTACTGTTATGCTGGATGTTATGATGCATTCCTCTGTTACTGCTTCTACTTCGATTATGGTCTTTATGACTCGTAGGAATTTTTTCCTGATGATTCAAAGATAGCTCAGAGGACGAAGTAATTTCATTCTGAGTATTTAAATTTGCAGATGGAGCTACAAATAAATTTTTATTCTTCATATGGGGAATAGGAATAATACCTTTGGTTTGATTTTTATAAGAGAAATTATTCGTCATATTGTTATGAGAAAATGTATGAACATTGTTCATGTAATATTTTTTGTTTTTAAATAATTTCACAGGAGTCTTTGCATTATTTATATTTCCTGAGTGATCAAAACCAGAATGTGAAAATGAATCATTTTTATTTTCTTTTCCATTGTCTAAATCATATTTGTCATAGGAATCATCCTTTATATTCTGTTTTGTCTCTGTCGATATGTTTGCATTAGATTTTACTCCCTCTTTATACGTACCATAAATAACTTGTATTCTTCTATTTTTAATTTTGAAATTGTCAAGATATTCTTTTGCCTTTTTTGCACTTTTAATTGAATAGAAAATAACATGAATTCCTTCATTGTCATCTGTAAACATATTTTTAACCTTTCCAAAAACATTAACAAGTAATTCTAACTTTTGATTTGATAGTTCATAATAAAAATTTAATAAAATAACTTCTTTGTTTACTTCATTATTTTCTTCTACTCTATCGTAAGGAATTTCATCTTCCACTACTTCTCCTTCTTCCTCCTCATCGGATGATAGGTTATTTATTATTTCATCTATTCGTTCATTAATTTGAGTCTCGTTCATTCTTGAGTCATGTACATCTGAATCTTGATCAGGTTCATTTGTAGATTCTCTATTCTCTATAATATTCTCTTCTCCCTCATTATGAAGTTTTTCATTCACATTACACTTTTCTTCCTCTTTCTTTTCATCAGCATTCAAATCTTTCTTTTGCTCTTCTTCATCATCATAATCTATTGCGGATTCTTCATTCTTTACATCTGGATCCCCGTCCTTCTTATCTTCTCCTGCTTCTGCTTTCGAACCCAAATTCTTAAACCACATCTTTTTCCTCTGCCACTTCCATTTACAGGGCCTCCAACAGAAGCCTCCTGTGATGTGCAATTCGTGATGGGAGATGCGTGCTAAACAACAAACTGGAAGAGCCCTCTTCGTCTGGTGCTGTATATTGTATCTTAGCTGTCTTCTTAGTTGATTTCTCAGTTATCACTTGATTGTTCCACTTGCCTTGCTCGTAAATATATTTCTGGGGAGAAGCTGTGCTGCAATCCTTTAGGTATATTCGATTTTTTTTTTTTTTTTTTTTTTTTTTTTTTTCTCTCAAAATTTAGATGTGTCGAAGAACCTATTAGGAAGAAATCATATAGTACTACATTGAGAAAAATGTACAGAAAAAAAAAAAAAAAATATATATATATATATATATATTCAGAAGAGACTTCCCAGTTTGTAAAACTTCAGTACATAGAATGTTCTGCAGATATGATGATTATTATTTCTTAATCTTCACATGACATGCGGGAAAATTTTTTCGTTTCATTTACTTCCCCCCTCTCATGTCTATGATTGTGGCTAATTCTAGGTTTTGGTATGCTGGGCAATTTTTATTTTGGTTTGCTTTATTTTGTTCTGCCTTATTTTGTTCTGCCTTATTTTGTTCTGCCTTATTTTGTTCTGCCTTATTTTGGTTTGCCTTATTTTGGTTTGCCTTATTTTTAAAAAAAAAGAAAAAGGTTCACAATGGTCATCGGTAATTATACAAACAAGTAAAAGTGGACTTTGTAGAATTTCACCTGCATATCAAATATGGCTAAATATGTTGTTATGGTATACACAAACAAACATGGGGGATGAAAAAGCACGGTATAAAAAGGTTGGGTGAAAAAGAGAAGAAAAAAAAAGAAGCTTGTGTTCATTCAATTTAGAGTATTTCTTCAACCCTTTCCATTAAGAATAAAATGATCGTGAAAACAGAGGAATGTCAAGTGGGGAATGAGCATCCGCATACATATGTGCATAGGTGCATATGTACGTATGTACATATATACACATATATAGAGGGGAAATATATGGGTGAGATAATACATGTATATATGTGAATACAAAAAGTTTGCATAAAAAAGGTACTTGCACTTTTCTATGAACAGTTCATGAGGGAAGATTAAAGTACGTTGATCATTGTTCGTTTTCTCACAATAAATAGGAAAAGTAATAGCACATCAAGCGAGATAATGTAGTGCCATATATATATATATATATATATATATATATATATATATATACAGTTGCACATATTTGTAACTGCAAATATTGATACTTCTTACATTTGTGGAAGCAGGAAATTACAAAAAATACTTATTTAATACATAATACTTTGTATAACACGTTATTATATATGCACGCATGGTTTCTATGTAAAACATACAAGATGGAGATATACATATATGTTGTATTACTTATTTTTTTCGGGATTCATTATTATATAATATAACTGCTAATATAACTTCAGCCACAATTAAAATTTCGTTATCCCTCAATCCTATATTGAAATTGACAGATAAACGTAGATGAAAAAAAAAAAAAAAAAAAAAAAAAGAACGTGAAATTTTTACAAAATTTTCTCCTAATTTAACAATGGGGAAAAAGAAAAAAAAAAAAATATAGCATAACGTAGCGGCGCGAAGAAATATTACAAAGTAAAAATAATGCAACATAAAGCAAAGTGAAGAAAAAAAACAAAGAAAAAATAAAATGAAATAAAAATTGCTAAAAAAAATGTATACATATACATATATATGTATGTATATATATATATATATATATATATATATATATATATACGTAGCAAATATGTATGTGCTACTGTAAATTTATAACATGTTATACACGCACAGAAAATATATATGCATATGTAAGTGTATATGTATATAATGTATGTTGATAGTGGATAATGCATAATGTCACCCTAATGTTAATTGCCATCCCTTTTAGAAATGTACAGTTGGGGGTGGGTGAAATTATTAAGTTGTTTTTTTTTTTTTTTTCGCCTTTTCTACATTTTTTTTTTTTTTTTTTTTTTTTTTAAATTTGAAAAAAATATCGCTCGAAGGGGAAAGCAATTTTTTTCCCATGGAATGGATGACAAATAAAAAAGAAAAAAAGGAAGAAAAAGGGAAAAGAGGAAGAAAAAGAAAAAAAAGGAAAAAAGAAAGAAAGAAAGAAAGCGTGAAAGGAGGAAAGCTTGTTGCCAAGCTGAAAATGAACTGCAAAAAAAAAAAAAAAAAAAAAAAAAAAAAATGAATCCCATTAAAATGGGGAAAACAAGTGCTTTCATATGAAATAGAACGGCACATAAATATAGATAATATGTTTTTTTTTTTTTTTTTTTTTTTTTTTTTTTTTCCCCTTTTATGTACATACGAAAGTAGCATATCAGTAGGTGCGTATAAAATAAGCATGTGTAAGAAAAATGGATATATATTTGTGTGGGGGTAGAGGGGGGGAAAGTTTATTTTAAAATTTATGCATACTATAAATACTGTTTATTAATGCAACGGCAAGGAAAAAGCAGAAAAGGCAGAAAAAGTAGAAAAAACATAGAAACAGTAGTACCATCTGCAAAATATACTCATCTTAAATGTTACACAAGTTATATAAGTATGCACTTAGAACACATTTGCAACAAACTTACTTAGCAACTTCATCTTCACTTTCATATTGTTCATACGTGAAATACATTGTGGGTACCATATTCTTACACCTTTTTATAACACAATATATAAATATACACCCTCTCTTGTATTAACAAAATATTTTTATAGTACTTCAGTTGAGAGAGAGTAAAATGGGGAGGACATATATATATATATAAAAAAAAAAAAAAAAAAAAAAGGCAGATGAGATTTTGCCAACTTTTATATGTTTTTCCACCCATGGTTCTAATAAAACAAAGCAATTTTATAGGATATAAAAATGTGCATGAAAAATTATGTTCAACTTCATCCCCTTTTTATTTTGAAAAAGAAAAAAAAAAAAAATATACGTAAAATTGTGCTACATAAAAAGGGGGACAGAGATGAAGAACAAATTTAAGGGAAAAGGATAGAAAAGTGTAAAATTTTAAAAAGAGGAACTCATATTTTTTTTTTTTTATAAAATAGCAAAATGTAAAATGAGGACCAGCAGAATAGTATCAAAAAAAAAAAAAAAAAAAAAAAAAAAAAAAAAAAAAAAGGGTGTGAACCTTTTTCCCCCCTTTTTTTTTTATTTATTTTTTTTATTTATTTTTTTTATTTCCTAAAAGGTGATAATACAACAGAGAATTCTCACATATTTCCATTAAACTATTCATGTGTTACATTACAAACTGAATAAATTGCTCACATGTTTGGAACATACATTCCACCCCCACTCCCCTTTTCCTTGGGCATACAATCCTCCAAAGTGGAGGTTTGACCATTCTGCATTCAGTTTTGCACATTCCTTGCTTTATCTCAGCAGGGTAGCCGTAGGAGTAGCAAACAAAAAAAAAAAAAAAAAAAAAAAAAAAAAAAGAAAATTGTTGTCCTCACTCATTTGATGTCTGACTTCCAACTTCTGGCAAGTAGCACCACGCGCGTGGAGAAAATGCCGAATCTTTTCTCGAACGCAACACCAAAGCATCAATATAGGTAATTGTGAATTTGTAAATGTACAGACGAAATAACCTTTTCATTGTGTGTATTATGAAAAATACATGTTTAACATAACACAGAGAGAACCGTCAAATAAAATGCTGCATATGCAGGCAATAATCATGAGTTCTTAACATATATGAATGTGTAAAAAGGGAAAAAAAAAAAAAAAAAAAAAAAAAAAAAAAAAAAAACTTTCGATAAATTCATAGAGTGTCTAATATATTGCACCTAAAAATGTAGTGACTTTGACACACTGTGAGAAGTTTTTCACACCCTAGGACTTCTTCTTTCTACTTTGATCCGTAGAAAATATGTTCTTTGAACGATGCCAATCGTCTGAATTCCTTCTTGGAATTCAAAGTTACTCACTAAGTGATAAGAGAAAGAAGAAAAAAAGAAAAAAAAAAAAAAATGAACAAGTCAGGTCAAATGGGAGAGAGGAAATAATGTCTAAACACAAGGAAGAAGAAAATTATGAAAATAAATACAGTTCTATAGCCAGTAAATTCGAAAATATAAAAAGACTTGAACATCCAAATATATGTAAGTATGTAAATATAAATCGAAGGAAAGATGAATATATATTATCATCTGAATATTATTCACTCTCCTTGTATGACATACTAAATGAAGAAGAAACAAATTATGTCAACTTAAAATGTTTCAAAGGGTTGTTAAATAAATGTCAGGGGAAAAAAGAATACAAAAAAGAATACAAAAAAGAATATAAAAAAGAATACAAAAAAGAATACAAAAAAGAATGCAAAAAAGAATGCAAAAAAGAATGCAAAAAAGAATACAAAAAAGAATGCAAAAAAGAATGCAAAAAAGAATGCAAAAAAGAATACAAAAAAGAATACAAAAAAAGTTGTCCCAAAGGTAGATGCACAAATCAGAGCAGGAAGTTTATCAATTCTGTTGTTATGAAAAAAATAATTTATGAAATTATATCCGCAGTTCATTATTTACACACGAAAGAAATAAAATTCTTAAATTTGACATTGAAAGATGTGTTGATTACATCTAGAGGGGAAGTTAAAATACACAACTACTGCATGGCGTATTTATTTAGTGATTATTTGCATAACCCTAACAGTACTCAAAATTTTTTTAAGAATAAATTTAGATATCGAATGATGTGCATGTATTTTCCAAACCGATATAAACACAAGGAAGAAGGGAGAGAATTTCAAAAAGAATCATATAAGACATTCTCATATTTGAAAAAAGATTCTCATTCGTTTAAGAATCTTCATACAGATGTAGTTAACCAGGAGAACAAAGTAACTTACATGCACCGAACTAAGAATAATAAAAAAGGAACAAAATCAAAGTTCTTAAGAATGAATCCTTTGAACACATATAATAGTTTTATAACTAATCCATTATATTATCCTCCATTTATATTGTTGCTGGACTTAATGAAGAATAAAAAGACATCCCCCATGCATGATCTGTACAAACACATAGATATCTTCAGTGTGGGCATAATAATACTACAAATGGTTAATGGTTTATTCGGTTTTACCTTTGCCGTGAAAAATTTTTTACATTTTAAGGAAGCCCACGTCACTGTGCAAGTGAAAAGAGAAAGGCGCAATCCTAATGTAGGAGAAAATTCCATGCACAATTCTATGCACGATTCTATGCACGATTCTATGCACAATTCCATGCACGATTCTATGCACAATTCCATGCACAATTCCATGCACGATTCTTCGTTTCCATCCTCTCCTTCGTGTACTTCTGTTTCGTGTACTCACGGGTTGGCAAGTGTTCCATGGAAGAGAGAAGAAATGTATTGCAAGAGAAACATCAGGAAGGACATGGAAAAGCACAGAGTTGTAATTCAAAAGAATAATACAATCACGTTGACAGATAATTTTGACAAGGTCTCCTCTGCAGTTATGTGTATTGACAAAGGGAGTAATTTCTCTAACCCTCTTTTAGTGGAAAAACTGGATGAAAAGGTTGGATATATTGAAGATGCTGCATGCACTATACATTCTCATTCGAAATACTTGATGGATGAAGTATACGAGAGCATTCTTGAATTTGAAGAGCTTCGAAAAGACAGACAAGGAAAGGAAGCCAGTATGTGTCACAGGAATAATGAAGAGGGCCAATTTTACGTTGAAAAATTAGCAGAAGGAGGAGAAGACATATTCCAGAAAATAGAAACTATTTTTGTATTTTTATTGTACATAAAAATATATCATATTTTTAGAAAAGAAAATGGAAAAAAACAAAAAAAAAAACAAAAAAAAAAATTTGATAACAATGGATGGAGTTTGTTGAATATAAATGCGTACACTATGTTTCGTGCCCATTGTAAATATCAGGACGATGTAGTAAAGAAGAAATATAAGCATATGAACATGATTACGTATCAAATTGTGAAAAATATCATTGAAGGCTTGTTTAATTTTAAAATAAGTATACGTTTCATTAAAAGAGTTGAAAATATGCTTTCAGAGTTTTTTACCATGCATGTAGTGAAACAAAATCTGAGAAATATAAAATTTGAAACAGAAAAATATAATGAAAAAATATTTTTTTTAAATTTTATGCAAAAATGTCTATCATTAGAGTATGATAACAAGTCAGATGGGTATTCTTCTCTTCTATCACACTATTACTTCTACAACCATGTGGACACAAATAACCGTACATTGGTTTATAGAAATACTATAATGAAAAATATTAAAATGCACAGGCATGATAAAATTGTCAGAAATGGAGAATATTATAACACTTGTTCGATTTTCCAGAAAAACGCTGAGGATAGGAAAAACAAGGTGATGATAACCTACAAGGAAGAAAGAAGCACAGAACATTCGTATAAGAAAAAATTATATTATCAAGTGAGTCATTTAGATAAGGAGGAGAACCCTCACATAGAGTGTTACTCAATAAGGGAAGATCCCTCCGCAGGTTGTTACTATTACAATGAGCATATGGTAGAATATGTTAAAAGTACATCCAAAGAAAAGGAATTAATGGAGAAATACTTTATCGAGAAGAGGGATGTATATTATTGGTTTGATGTACTTTACAAAATAAATTATTTTGATGAATTGGCTTATTTAAATATTGTTAATAAATCTAGTAACATTTTGAAAATTCCATACATAGTTTATAAAAGAAAAAATCGATATTTTGAATTTTTATTTTTTTATTTTTATAAATTACTTCTACTGAATAGATACCAAGGAGTGTTTAATGTGTATAAACATTTATTAAGGGGAAGAGGAAAATTAAGAAGTTTAAACGCAGGTACTTCTTACTTCAGATCTAAGCACAAAATGAATAAGTGTAAGTGTCATTCGTATGTATCTACAAGAGGCAGTTGCATAAATGGGTACATTTTCAGTGTGAAAATAAGACAATCTCTTCATCTATGTAAGAAAAATCATCACATTACAGTGACACGTAGTAGTCCTAATGATATAAAAGATAAAATTCGGATGGGTGGTGAGCCAATTCGGATGAATACATGCTTGAGTAGCAGAATGGAGGATACTAAAATGGGAGAGGGTTATGCAGATGGATCTTCTAATCAGTTGAATGAATTAGGAGGACGTGAAGGGTACATTGGAAATACGTGCTTTTTTAATATACCAATTGAAGAGGAATATTTTCCAACTGCATTCACAGATTATAGAGGAAAAAGGATATTGGGTATAAAGTTAGCTGAATTTTATGATGTTATAGAAGATGCTTATGAGTTCATTCAGTTAAAAAATCGGGGTCATATAACTGACAGAGAGGAGAAGAAAAAGAAGATAATAACGACACCAGTGATGATGACGAGGACGATGGCATGTGAATCGGAAAGGCAAGAAACGTCCGTTTATGAAAATGACTTTTCATTTATATATCAATACAGTCTTCATTTAAACTTGCAAAAATTGTTAAAAGCTGATCCTCTTAACACCTTTGAATTGTTGAAAGAGGTGAAATGTGGATTTCCTTATCATATGAGAACATTAGCATATCTCACACTTCTTGGTTATTCATATTACTTGTTGGTTAGGAAATCTGCAGAAAAGGAGGAAAAGATGAAGTACTTTATTCATGGAACTCATTTGAGAAAAATAATAGGACGAGAAGTTATGACATCTATAAGAGGGAGGAAGATATATCCATGTTGGAACATCCATGAGATAGATAGAAAGAAATCACGTAAGAACCTATCGAACAGATTGACAAAGGTGATACGAAATAGTAACACATCAGAAAATGATGAAGTGGATAGACAAAATATACGAACGTATGGAAAATTAAAAAGATGTGATGGAAATTTTAAAGATGATTTGCCTATGAAAGAAGAAGGAGAGAGTAGACGACACACAGACATAATACCACATGAATGGATTAACAAAAAGGGAGTGAAACGTTTTTTAAAGAAATATAGATTATACAGTGACTTGGTTGGAAGTACAGATTTTGCGGAGAGAATGTATTCACTTTTATTATTACTTAATATAAAGTTTGGTATAAAAAATAAGTACTTGAAGAATTTGCTACTACCATTAATTCTTCTGTATTATAATGACATATACTTATGTTACAAATGTAGCAAAAAATTGATACAAAATTATTTATTAGATATATACACAAATAAGCAGAATTTAGGGGAATTCTTATACACTTTTAATTGTCTCTTAAATCATTACATTCCTGAATTATCTTTATTTTTTTTTAAAAATTCCATTAACATTTCGAATATAATTTATAGCTGGGTTTGTTCATTATTTGCAAACTTTTTCGATTTGCAAAATATTTTTCTCTTACTCGATAAGATTCTTACACAACCAAGATCTTTCATTTTTTTCATATGTATTAGCATCTTAATATATCTGAAAAGGTATATTTTAATGATGAGCATGTGTAGATACAATCTGCATAAGCATCTATTTGCTTTAGCTACTTTAGTGAATTTAAATTTTGTGTTAAAAAATTCCATGCATATGTTTCATACATGTCCAATAATGCACACGCAATTTCCTAGAGTTATTACATCATTGGAAAAAGAAGGAAAAATCTCAGAGGAAAATTTTACCCAAATCGAAATTACACATGGTGATGAAAGGGATCATATGAATTACTTATCCTATCTAATTATGGATACACATTGGATGCAATATTATGTACACAAAAATACATTTCAGGTTTATAAAAAGGGGGGGGGGAGGGGAAGAAGTGTAATCAGAGAAATAATGCATGGAAAAACAAACTCGGGGAGTGGCAGGAGTATCGACTCAAGTCATATGAACTTAATTAAAGAAGGGCGTGTCAGTAGGGCAGCTCTCAATTTCTTAACAAGGAGACGAAGCAAAAGGGGGGGAGGTTTACATCGGGGCGAAGCAAATCGGGAAGAAATCAAACGTAATGTAGTAAAGCTTAAAATTCCAAAACGTGGCAAATTAAAATTTAGCAAAATAAAACTTAATAAATCAAAACTGAATAAATCAAAACTGAATAAATCAAAACTGAATAAATCAAAACTGAATACATTAAAGCATGACAAATTCGAAATAGACAAACTTAAACATAACAAATTAGAAATGAACAAATTAAAAGATGGCAAAAAACCGAAAGCAAATAGTGGTATCACGAATCTGTGTGCATTGCAAGTGGCAAACAAAGCACTTGAAACTGAAAAAAAAAAAAAAAAAATGACAAAAAGGAATACGCCAAATGTAACGCATTATTACGAATTATTTTTGAAGAATTACAATATAAACAAAAAAAAAAAAAATTTAAGTGAATTCTCTCATTATGAAAACAAAATAGTAACAAAATATAAACACAAAGTAAAAGAAACTAAACACAAGGAAAAAGAAAGTGTACAAAGAAGTAACGAAAACAATGATGCTACTAAAAAACGAGTATGTTACAAGTTAACAGATAAAAAAATTAAAAAGAGATTTAAAATTGAAGATCTTGTTCGACTGTATAACTTTCCTATGTTTCCATTTTTTTACGTAACAGATTTAGCAGATGAATTATCTCTTGAAAATTACATAATTGTGGATATGAGATCTCCAGAAGAATTTAAAAAAAAAAGACTAAAACATTCTGTACATGTTAATACATTTTTGACTAATTTCAAAAAGGGATTGTACAACAACTACTTGGATGATAGTTACGAAACGGACATTCATTTAAAGACAATCATCCTTGGGTTTAATGGACCCATTTTGGATTTTGATATCATTTACAATTTTCTAAATTTAAAAATTAAACGTATTACAATTCTCTGGGGTGGCTTACAATATGCTATGAGTAACATGCCTTCAAATTATTTCACGTGAATAAATAAAAGGATGAAATGAAGAAGTCCAGAGGGGCTGGAGGTGGTATATGGGAGGAAGAGATGGGGGGTAGAGTCGTGACTCTTAGTCTTGAATCGAAAAGAATCGAAAAAGAGAAATATTGTTAAGAACAATATGCTATATCTCATCATTCTTATTTTGGCATTACACACCATAATCCTGCTAATGTTTTTTCACTTCATTTGATGCATGTGTTATATCTTTTTTCGCCAGAATGATGTAAGCTCTTTTTTTTTTTTTTTTTTTTTTTCCAATGTGTTTACTTTGTTATATTACACTATTGTTATATTACACACTCTTGCTATATAATATTATGTTACATTATTTTATTTGTTTTTTTATCTGTTGTTTTATTTTTGGTTTTTTTTTGGTTTTTTTTTCGGTTTTTTTTTTTTCTTGCTTTTGTTAGCATTTCTCCTGTGCCTAAAATTTTGCCTGCTCTATATAGCTTTTTTTGCCAAACTTCGTTATTTTATTTTATTTATTTATTTTTTTTTTTTTGTTCATATTTTTCCTGTTTGGAAAATTTTACCTGACTCTATTTTTTTTTTTTCTTTTTTTTTTTTTTTTTTTTTTTTTTTTTTTTCATTTTTTTTTTTTTTTTTTATTTTTTTTTTTTTTTTCTTTTAATTTGTTTTTTTTTTTTTTTTTTTTTTTTTTTTTTTTTTTTTTTTTTCATTTACGAAACAAAAAAAAAAAAAAAAAAAAACTGCGAACGCTTTTCCTTGTCAAGCAAAAACTAACGTAAGGTAAAAAGTAGGTGTTCCGAAGACATTTAAAATATTTTCAGGTATAAATATAGAAGAAATGGGACAGCATACAAAATAGTTCTTAGATGAATATATAATACCAGCTTGTGAAACTTCTAAAGTTCTACTTCCTAAAAATTCGCCCAATTCATATATACATATATATCATAACACTTTCCAAGTTTAGAATTTTTCTTTCACAAGTATCTGTTTGTGCAGGCTTAAGCAAAAATGCTTGTTTAGTGTCATTTTTTGTGCGTATTTTCACGTATAAACACAAAGAGCGGCAATTTTTTTTTTTTTTTCCCCTAAAAATGTTCACTTCATACAGTGCTTCGCTAACGAGATGTGAAAAGCATACAAATATATATATATATATATATATCCATTGTCTCTCTGAATTATATACTTTTCTTCGTCTTGACCAATACAACAAAAATACACACACGCAGTGTGCATGTAGAAGGTGTAATGCCATAAAGTTCGGGCTTCGTACGCTGATTGCTTGTGTCGTCCATATGTGAGAGCTTTGTGTACATACAGGCGAAGATATATTACTTAATTTTATTAAATATCATTACACATTAGTACGCAGCTTTAGGGAGTTTTTATATACTGTTACACATTGTTATACAAAAGATTAAATATTTTTATGGATTATTCGTTCTAGATCATTCATTTTCACGTATTCTATTTGCTGCAAATCGCTTATTTTTTTCTCCTTTTCGTTTAAAAATAAATAATCATCCGTTATGGTAAAGGCCAATGCAGGAAGAGATACAAATCCACAAAAAAGTATATAAAAAAAAAAAAAAAAAGAAAAAAATTGATTCATTCTCTAACAAAAGAAAAAATGAATGCGTCCAAATTACAATGTTAAAACAGAATAGTTGTTCAATCCATAAATTTTCTTGTAAGATATATATAGGGGTGGTACATAATTTGTTTTATTCTGTTTTATTCTGTTCTGTTCTGTTTTGCTTCTTTTTTTTTCTTTTTTACTTTTTTGGCTTGATATACTTTGTGTAATTTGAAAAAGTATTTAATTAAAAATTAAAGAAAAAAGGGGGAAAAAAAAAAAAAAAAAAAAAGAAAAGGAAATTTTGATTTCTTTAATCTAAAATAATAAATTGGGTTAGGAACCAATATAAGAATTCAATCTTCCATTATGGCCTTTAAAATGATATATGAATATCTACGGGGCAGGGATATAAAAATTCAAAACGTACATAGCACAGGAGATTGCAGTGTAGGGGAAAAAAAAAAAAAAAAAATTAAAATAAATAACAATTAATTATACAAAATTAAAAAATTCCTTTAATAATAAATTCTTATTCATCTATGTCATCTGTCACATTTCCCATACAGTATGATTACATCTTTTTTTTCTTATTTTCTCCACAAAAAGATAAAGTGATAATAGCTTGATTAGTTTAGCATATAAAACTGTGAATATTTAACTGGGAGCATAGATCGATCCATGGATTCACCCCTTCTACCCCTTTTTTTTTCTTTTTTTTTTCTGTGCTTCAGATTTTTGAGTTTTATCCAAAAATATTTTTCATAAGCGCCTCGTAAAAATTAATCACCTGTTTATATTTTTCTTTATTAACTTTTCTTTAAGCTTTGACATTTTCTTCTCCCAATTATCATTATCATTAGTTTTATTCGTTTGTATATAATATTTTCTTGAATGCGTATCAACCGAATTGTAAACATAGCGTTCTCTCTCCATGTTCTCCTGATGGTAATGGTGACTATTTTCTTCATGAATTTTTTTAGAGGCACGATTACTATTGTTTTCGTTATCGTTTGTATGTGGTCTTTTTCTACTGGTGTTTGATTCAATTCCATTATATTTCTTTTTCAAAATATCCTGTGATGAATAATTTCCCTTCAGATTTTTAGGAGTGCTTTTGTCATTTTCAGTTAGCTTTTCCTTCTCTCTTTCTTTGTTTCGATATCGTTCAAGATCCCTATTTCGATCTCTATCAGGATCCCTATTTCGATATCGTTCAGGATCCCTGTTTCGATCTCGTTCAGGATCCCTGTTTCGATCTCGTTCTGGATCCCTGTTTCGATCTCGTTCTGGATCCCTGTTTCGATCTCGTTCTGGATCCCTGTTTCGATCTCGTTCTGGATCCCTGTTTCGATCTCGTTCTGGATCCCTGTTTCGATCTCGTTCTGGATCCCTGTTTCGATCTCGTTCAGGATCCCTGTTTCGATCTCGTTCAGTTTCTCTGTTTCTTCCTCGCTCAGGTTCTCTATTTCGATCTTTCTCTCGCTCCTTTTCTCGTTCCCTTTCCTTATCTCTCTCTCGCTCCTTTTCTCGTTCCTTTTCCCTATCTTTTTCTCGTTCCTTTTCTCGTTCCTTTTCTCGCTCTTTTTCTCGCTCTTTTTCTCGTTCCTTTTCTCTTTCTTTTTCTCTCTCCTTTTCCCTATCCTTTTCTCGCTCTTTTTCTCGCTCTTTTTCTCGTTCCTTTTCCCTCTCCTTTTCTCGTTCCTTTTCTCGTTCCTTTTCCCTCTCCTTTTCTCGTTCCTTTTCTCGTTCCCTTTCCCGTTCCTTTTCTCGTTCCCTTTCACGTTCCTTTTCTTTCTCCTTTTCTCGTTCCCTTTCTCGCTCTTTTTCTCTATCTCTTAAAACCTTTCGATCTCTATCAAGTTCTCCTTGTTTATCCTTTTCCTTGCCTCTCTCTCTAAGTTTCTCTGATTTTCTCTGCCTTTCTCTGCTTTTCTCTCGTTCCTTGTTTCTCCTTCTGTTTCTTTCATTTTCGCTTTCTCTTTCCATTTCCGTCGATTTGTTTCCTTTCTCCTTCCTTTCGATATCATCCTTATTCCTATTATCACTTTCTCCATCGTGGTTTGGTGCTCCATTATGTGGAGTATTGTTTCTTGCAGTATCGTGCAAATTATATTTTTTTCTATTTTCCCCTGGAACTTTTTCTGATCGATGTTTGTTCTTATTGTATGAATCATTTTCTACAAGAGAAGATGATTGCTCCTTTTTGTCATGAGTGTTTTGTTTATCTCTTTCCTTTATGGATTCTTCCTTTCCGTTATAACTATTCGATTTTTTTGACCCCTTTGATTCTTTATCCTTTACATTATTTTTATCATAATTTCCTGAATTATTTTTGCTATGTTTCCTTTTTCCCAAATTATCATCCATTTCATTTGAGTCATTTTTTATATCCCTATCATTTTGTGATTTCGATAAATTTTCTTTTTTTTTTTTGTTATTCTTTTGCTTTTCATCTAATTTATTTATCGATTGTTCTTCCTTCTTGATTCCATCTTTAGGAAAAATTCACGTAACAGAGAGAGTGAGGAAAAAAAAAAAAAAAAAAAAAAAAAAAAATGAAATAAAGGAATATTGATATATTGAAAGAATGATACATTCGATTCTGAAAATAAATTCTGACGCACATTTTTTTTTTTGAAATATTTGGAACACAACTTGAAATAGATTATACGTTATTTTAAGACATGCAAAGACTTTTTTGTGGAAATGTTATATCATAAGCTATATAAGCATTTATACTCGTAAACACAAAATAAAAACGTAAAAACTAAAAATTCAATTGCACGTAATTTTATCGTATGATTTTCTTTTTCTCCTGTCAGTTTTTGTGCTTTATTACCTTTTTTGTTATTTTTATTTGTTTCTTCCTTCGGCCGTTTTTCATTTTTTGAATCGGGTACACGTGTGGGAAGTGTTTTACTATCCCCGTCCTCCTGCACATTATTTTTTCCTTCTTTTTCTTCCACATTATCCTCCTTCACATTATTATCTGTTTCGTTTTCTTCCGATTGATCTCCCTCTTCTTCTCCTTCTTCCTCCTCGTCCTCTCCCTCTTCCTCTTCTTCCTCATCCTCATCCTCTTTCTCTCCTTCCTCTTCTTCATCATATTCATCTTCTTCTTCCCGGTCCTCATTTGGCATATTGCTTACAAGAACAGATGCACCATTCTCTTTCTCACTTGGGTAATTTTCTACCACATTTGACTCCTCATGATCATCATCATTAGTACCTTTATTATTAACATCTTTCAATAGGTCATTGTTACTAATATTTTCTGAGTTACTTTGATTTCTATCAGTTCGATTTCTATTCTTACGTTCGCGTGATTGATTATTGTTACAATGTCGCCCCTGATCATCGTTAATCGTGACTTGATTTTTGTCTGTCCGTTTATTTTCCAGCTTGACATTCCCATTTATTACAGCATCTTCCTTGGTTGATTTACATGAGTTATCTTCGTTTAATAATTTGATGCTACTGTTGTTTCGGTTTTTTCTAGAATCCTTCGAATTTTTCACATGCTTAGAATTTTTATCGTCCTTGGAATTTTTGTCATCCTTTGGATTTTTATCGTCCTTTGAATTTTGATCGTCCTTAGAATTTTGATCGTCCTTTGAATTTTGATCGTCCTTTGAATTTTGATCGTCCTTTGAATTTTGATCGTCCTTTGAATTTTGATCGTCCTTTGAATTTTTTCCATCTTTTGAATTTTTAAAATTTTTAAAATCCCTGTTTTTATTTTTTTCCTTGTTATTGTTAACCATTTCATTATCATTACGCATATCTTCGTTAATCATCTGTGCGTGGTCGTCTTGCATTTCGTTTGTTTCTCGTTTTTCCCTACCAGAGTCTTTAATGCAGTGGGGATTATTATTATTATCATCATCATCTAACATATGATCAGCTTCAATGGAAATTCCTTCCATTTTATTTATAGAATTGTTTACAACATCATATTGACTTTCTACATCCGGGTTATCTTTTTTTTTTTTTTTTTTTTTTTTCTTTTTAGAATTACTATTATGTTCTAATTTTAAAAATTTTCTTATTCTTTGTTCAATGTCAGAATCGTAATTAGATTCATCTGAGGAGAAGTTAATTTTTCTACCTAGACTTTCTCTAGATTTAAAAGACGATGAGCAAGACGAAAGATAATTATTGTCTGCTCCATTTAATAAATTAAAATTTGTTTCTGATTTCTTTTCTTGTTCTGTTTTTCTCAATTTATTTGCATATCTCTTTTGAACTTTATTTGTCCAATCTCGTAGATTTACAAAATTATTATTGTTTTTTTTATTTCTCTTTCTCTTATTCTTGTTTGTATTATTATCATAACTCGGATTATTTTCATTATTTAAAAAACCATTTTTCAATACTTCATTTTTCATTTTTTCCATATCCAAGATTCCGTTGCAAGAGTTCATCATTTAATTTAACTATTTCTAAATATGTACAGTTATTATGTGGGATATGTAATGAAACACATACGAAGAAAATTAGAAACAGCACTGTGTATATACATCTATGGCACGAGTCGTTATATGAATCTATTTCCTTTTTCTGGGTTGTGATGTTGGTGAAATGTCTTACATGCAGAACATGCACATGCATAAAAGTGTAAATGGACAGAATTGAACACATACAAATTGGAATAACAAAAAAATATGGCATAAAAAAAAATATATACGCGAATGTATTTCGAAATTAACAAATATCTCTCAAATGTGTTAATCGTTCAATGGATTTACTACTTACCATGGATATATAATTTTGCTTCTGAATAAGAAAGGAATTATTATAAATATATAAAACATGTTCTTACATTTAACACGCTTGTTTGATACAAATATGGTTGTATACATATATAAACGCGCATATTAATGTATGTATTGAGCATACAAGGTATAAGGCCACATATATATGTACACATATGGGTATAATACTGGGGACTTAAAGGATGAATCGTTAATAGAGAAGAAAAAAAAAAAAAAAAAAAAAAAATTTCCTGATGCTAACATTATCCTCATAATGGTACTATGTGTATAGCGTCATGTGTGTACGTAAGTGTACATATGTATATATATAAACTAGATGTACGTGTGCATATGTGTGTACAAGTATATCACCACATGCAAAATAATTGTGACGTACATATTTTAACAAATTCGATTGTCAAAATATGGTTTATAACAATGAAGAAACGTTCTAAATGCTCATACACATAGTTCGACGTATATATATAAATATATATATATATATATACACTTATTTATTTATATAGAATTTGTTCCTGGTTAGCATTTTTTCCTTATTCTTTTTTTATTTTATTTTTTTTTTGGTTTTTTTTCTTCTTAGGAGGTGGGTGCAATAAGCAATCCACAATTTTCAAACAAATATATTTTATTTATAAATGACTATAATATCTTTACTTTTTATTTAGATTTTATGAAATACAAATAAATATAAAAATTTGTCTAACGAAAACAAAACATTATGCGCATATGTATGGCAGACGAAAGAGGGGGAAAAAATGAAAAATGAACTTTTTTCTTACTTAAAACATGCATGCTTATTTACATCTTTCTATATATGTTACACATGATTAAGATTGAACTTAGTTCTTCTATATATATATATATTGCTCTGTAATTTTTTATGTTGTTTCTTTTTATAAAAATTTATCTACTTTGTACGAAAGGATACATGCGTACAAATTAGCTCATGTGATGACAGGGAAGTGAAGCAATGGGAAAATGGCATGTTTTAAAAAAGGCACATTAGCATGTTACCATATTAGCATATGATCACATAAGCATACTAACGAAATAACACAGGGATATATAATACATGTTACGAGTTAAGCAGTTTGTTGAGTCTTTCGTACTTTTCTTAGCGTTATATTTAGATTCACATATATATATATATATATATATGTATATTTACAAATGGGTTTTCCACCTAATTATCTTTTAGATTATTCTAAGAGTTAGTTTAAAGTTTAACAGTAATAATTGTTCTGTATTGTGTTGAATGTGGGGAAAGGGAGTTTTTTTTAATTAAAATGGGTAAAAAAAAAAAAAGGGGAATAAATGGGTGTAAATGAGAATAAAAGAGAATACGTGAGAAAAGTGGGAACAACAAAATGAGGTTTGTTGCAGATATGTAGAACACACGTACATCTAATACGCATGAATGTAATACGTATGCATATAATACGAATGCATATAATACAAATGATGCATATAGTACGAATGCATATATAATACGTATATATACAATGCCCGCACATATAAGTAAATACGTGTGAATAATATCCACTCAACAGACTCAGAAAACTGGAGGCTTATTTAAAAAAATGAAAAAAGGTGAAAAACGTAAGCCTTTTTAAAAATGTAGCATTTTAGCAGTATTTTTCTGCTTGGATAATGAAATGGAATAGGTAGGTATATACATATAAGTTTGTATGCCTAGCATTATGTTCGTATTCATTTTTCAGTTTAAGATCCCTTTTAAATGAAACACGAAAAAAAAAAAAAAAAAAATTATGCTTTTTGCCACTAAACCTTTGTTTATAATGGAATGGATGTGTCACTATATACTTTGTGGAGTTATACACGTATGCAATGTATGTGCACATGTAGTATAACAAAAAGTATGTTCAACCCGACGTTATACATATTTATGCATATATAACGTATACATATATATATATACATAAATGTATCATAACACAGTGTGATCGTAGATCATGGGCATTTGTTTTAATATATAAATCTTTCTCATGAAAAAAGTTAAATGAGTTGTGTTTAAGCTTAAATGTGTCATTTTTAATTCTTAAGGAATCATTTCAATAGTGGTAATTACGAGTTGACAATGTACTGTAACAGAAGAAAAACGTAAAAAAAAATAAAATAGAGAATAATGGGAATGTAATATGAGTGGGTGAAATTTTTTATTATTATATCCTTTTTTAATTTTTGAAATTTTTTCTTATAAATTTTATCACTCTTAAGTTTAGTCATTTTTTATGTTCTTTTCTTCATAACATAAAAAAAAGAAAAAAAAGAGGAAAAAAAAAAAAAAAAAATTAATATATATTTTTTTTCACCAAATAGGCGAAAAAAGGAAAATGAAAAATATTTATGAGGGAGGGGGAGAAGAAAAACGTTAAAAAAGAAAATGCTACGAATTATTTTGAAGCAACTTAGCACGAAAAAAAAAACTATTTCCTAAGAGAAAAAAATAGAACTGCGGTATATCAAAAATAAAAAAAAAAAAAAAAAAAAGGAAAATAAAAAAGGAAAAAAAAAAGGGAAAAAAAAAAAGAAAAAAAAAAGAAAAAAAAAAAGGAAAAAAAAAGAAAAAAAAAAAAAAAAAAAAAATTTTTTCACCAAATAGGCGAAAAAAGGAAAATGAAAAATATTTATGAGGGAGGGGGAGAAGAAAAACGTTAAAAAAGAAAATGCTACGAATTATTTTGAAGCAACTTAGCACGAAAAAAAAAACTATTTCCTAAGAGAAAAAAATAGAACTGCGGTATATCAAAAATAAAAAAAAAAAAAAAAAAAAGGAAATAAAAACGGAAAAAAAAAGGGGAAAAAAAAAAGGAAAAAAAAAAGGAAAAAAAAAAAGGAAAAAAAAAAAAAAAAAAAAAAAAAAAAAAAGCGTATATCAAAAAAAAAAAAAAAAAAAAAAAAAAAGGAAATTAATATATATTTTTTTTAACAAAAAAGGCGAAAAAAGGAAAAAGAAAAAAATTTATGAGGGAGGGGGAGAAGAAAAACGTTAAAAAAAAAAAAGCTACGAATTATTTTGAAGCAACTTAGCACGAAAAAAAAAACTATTTCCTAAGAGAAAAAAAAAGAACTGCGGTATATCAAAAAAAAAAAAAAAAAAAAAAAAAAGGAAATAAAAACGGAAAAAAAAAGGGGAAAAAAAAAAGGAAAAAAAAAGGAAAGAAAAAAGGGAAAAAAAAGGAAAGAAAAAAGAAAAAAAAAGCGTATTTATTATTATCCTATCTACCATATGTAACAAATGTAGCGTAATTTTCTTGATGCGTCAATAAAAGGATAAGATACGTAATAGTATATATGTATGTATATAATATATATGAGTATATTTTATACTTTGTTTGTTGGGCATATATATGTTTACATATTTTTTTTGTACATTTTGCATTGAGAATAGCAGTGCTTTAACGCTTAGCAAGAGAAGTTTGCCTTGCTTTACGCTTTGCTGAAAAACTGTTTTGTAAATGAGGAGAAAAACAGTGAAGTTAGTCTAGTGTTGTTTTACTTTCTGAAGCTCTAACGTACTCTTAAATTCTTCATGTTATTATAGTCGAATGTAGAAAATATTTCCGCATGCAGTTCAAAATGTACGCTTAACCACCTATTCCATATATCAAAATTAGCAGTTTATTTTATTTTTTTTCTTTTTTTAATCAACAACGCATATGTTATTATATATGTAACGCCTTTTGCAAACGCTCTCGGCAAGCAGCTATTTTTTCTTCAAGCGTTTAAAGGTGACAATATGAAATCTTGTCCATAAATATGTACATATATATATGCATAAATATGTACATATATATATGCATAAGTATGTATATATATATATATATACATATATGTGTGTGTACAAAAATATACATAATGCATTTTTGCACATATGAACGCTTGTGTGGAATGGCTTCTTACCATGGATAAGCTTTCAGAACACGTAAAACTCTATTCATTTTTTCCCTCATCTTTGCCTTAATCATTTTTTAACTCCCTTTAACGAGTAAACTAATAAACACACAAAAAGCAACTCGAAATTAAAAACTACTGCGGAGGAAATGAAAATTCATTGAAGGATGGGAATTATTTTGAAAACACGAAATTGTTGCGAGAGTTTACGTAATTTGTAGGTAAATATATGTTATATACATATATACACACATGTACTTTTTTTTTTTTTTTTTTTTTTTTTGTACGTCAGAAATAGAAGCCGCGAAGGTGTATTAAAAATAAAGGTTAAAGTGTGTAAATTGTAAATGTGCGAATGAAAAATATAAAAAAAAAAAAATAAAAAAAAAAAAAAAAAAAAAAAAAAAAAAAAAAATTTATAAACATGCTAGCTAAAGTACAAAAAAAAAAAAAAAATAATAATAATAAGTGAATAAATAGTAATAAAAATAGTAGTAATAAATGATAATAATAAAAGAAAGAAAAACAATTTGGTCATAAAAAATTCAAGTTCAACAAATTTATGCGTTTGCGCAAAATTGGATAACTTTGTGGATGCTAAATTGTGAAATAAACGTATAATGATCATAAATATAAATGGGGATGAAAAAAAGTTGTGAAACTTGGGAGTATATATTTTACACACAGTTAAGGGGTTATATTTTAATGTATATATTTGTGTGTGTAAGTAACACGCTTGTGCACACTTTTGTACCTGTCCGCTAATAAGATTGGTAATTTTTTTTTTTTTTTTCACTACTTCCCCATAAATCATGTAGCTAGCCATATTTGGCTAGCATGGGGGATTACTTCACTTTATGTTTTAAAATTTATGCAACATTTCTGTTTTTATTTCCTATTCCCTTTTGGTGCAAATCCTTCCAGTCATCCCATTCTCTATCCATAATATCTTTTTCGTTTTCCTCTTTGGAGCATTTTTTATAGTAGTCATCATCATTGATGTCATTTTTGATAACTCCGTTTTGGTCTTCATTGCTCAGTGTATTATTATCTCCGTTTTTTTTGTTAGTGTTGGCGACACCACTTCCCTTAAGCGCATATTCCATTTCAACTTTGGCACATTCTTCTAAAGAAATTGTTGGTAAGTTGTGTGCTGGTCTGAAAACAAGATCTCTGTAGTAGTTTCTTATTTCAGTCATATCTGAAATTTGCATATTTTTTTTTATTGTAAAAAGCCAAGGTTTTCTTATCGTTCCGTATTGATTGTCATTCAAGCGACTATTATCATTATTGTTATTAACACATCCTCCTCCACCATCATTTGGGTGTTTTCCACTCTTTTGCACCAGTTCCCTGTTTCGCATTTCCAAAACTTGCAATTCGGTATCTATTAAGTCTATAGTATTCAATGTTTGTATACATTTGTGTTTTATCAAAGACAGATACATTTCCCTGTGCTCTTCATCCTCCGTGTCATAAGAAGAAATGGATGGGTTGTAATTTTGAGTAGTGCCTTTTTTTATTTTTATTTTCGTAATTTCATCATACATATCTTGATATTTTTTTTCATCCTTTGCCCTTTTAACTTTTATGTTCCTTCTGTTCATTTCGTTTATCTCTTTTTCGTCCTTATCTAATAGGTATTCATTCATTTGAATTATTTTGTAAATATTGATTATACTAATAAATTCATTAAAATATAATTTTGAGTCCTTCAATCTATCATATCGTATGTCCATATTAACAGTTTCATAGCTCAAAATCCCTAGTATATAAGGAATGAGTAAAAATTTCAAAGACTTGGTACTAATATCATCTACTTCCTCGTTTTCAGAAAACATATCACAAGTGTTGATGTATTTTCCAAACATTTTAAATGCATAAATCAACTCGTCTATGATTTCGTCTTTACTCGTTATTAATTCATTTCGCCTTGTTGCCACATTCCCGTGATTTTTCACAAACTCGCAGAATTCTTTTTTGAGAAAAATAGATTTATATGTATTAACATGTTTTATATTTTTTACAATATAGTCATCAAATAGTAAATACAGCTGGTCATATAACAACGACATGCCATTTATCTCTCCCATGCTGCTATTATTTTACTTTGTTTAATATATTTTTTTCTTCTTCTGTAGGGCCTTATTTGGGAGTTCAGATATATTTTTTGTAAGGCTATTTTTCTTTTTAGGGTAACCTAAAATTTAGGTTAATGTCGTTGGATATATTTTATATAGTGAACAAATGTGTAAAATTATTTTTATCAATATGTTTATTTTATTTGTTACCTTACCATATATATCTCCTCTTTTTGGCAATTTGGTGCCCTCTGCTGCTTTCCACACCTTGGTATTTCTCAATTGTATAAGGCACGCACTGTGTCCTTTCTCTTCACACTTATTGAAGATACTTTTTTTTTTTTTTTTTTTTAAATGAGATAAGAGAGTGAGACTCTACATAAGAATAACATTTAGCAACACTTTTTTTTTTTTTTTTTGTCGAAATTGCTCATAGTAGTGGAGGTCATATATTATATGTACTTTATTTCAATAATAATATCATAAAATGTGCACAGCTTTTATAGCATGTACCACAAAACAAACCAGTAGTGTTATTATAATTTAAAAAAAAAAAAAATCCGCGAAAGAGACTTAAACGATTTGGCAAATAAAAAGAAATACGTTTTTTTTATAATATGTGTTTAAATAGAACAAATGGGAAAAAGAAGGAAAAAAAAAAAAAAAAAAAAAAAAAAAAACCTCTCAATAAATAATTTTAAAAAGGAATGTAAAAAAAAAAAAAAATAATAATAAAATAAGTCGTAAATAATGTAGAGATATGATTTTTGAATGAAACTATGTTCCCATGCATGTTTTTTTGTGTACTTAAAATTGTCACTTCTGTGTGACTCACTTTGTGTAGCGTTGGTAAGAGACAGATAAGAAGGGACAACGTGAGGAAAATATTTACCTCTACTTATAAATTATACCTCTTCATCTTTGAGACGTGCATACGGAATCAGAACTATGCATGCGTTGCAAATGATAGTGGAAGTTCTTGTAGCGATTAGTAAATATTGTGTCCAAAGTGGAAACAGTTGAGTGTGAAGCAAATACATTCTCACAAATATATATACATATGTAAATAACGCCACGTGATGAGAATTAGTGCAAATAAAGAATAATACTTCTCTCCCCCCAATTCAAAGGAATGTACTTTTATACTCGAAGTGTCAAGAGCTAACACTTATTTGGGGTACTATAAGAACAGTTCACTCGTTTTAGGAAATTGTACGAGATTGAAAAAATCATAACGAGACAGGGATAAAAAGTGGCAGTATAGCAAGCTTGAATGATGATGTAATGCCACGACATTCACGAGATTTTTTTTTTTTTTTTTTTTTTTTCTTTTATGAACAAGTGTGTATATACGTGAAGCAAGTAACATGTGCTACACAATATTTCTTAATTTCCAACCAATTCTAAAAGAAAAAAGGTTTTTGTAAATTCGCAAACTTTGGCAGATAATGTCTTGCAAAAACTATTGAACTAAAGGGGAATATTAAAATAAAATAAAACAATACATAAAAAAGATAGTGACAACGAGAGTGCAAAAGAGAAAGTAGAATTGCCCCTTTTCTTCCCCCCCCCCATCTTCACTCCACTCTTGGTTAGAACATAATGATGAAAATTTCCTCTGAACAATTTTCAATAGAACAAATAGCTTTTTTCTATTGAGAAATCCCATTTTCGTATTATAAATATTTTTCTTAATTTAAGGAACTCAAAACATAAAGGAGAGAGGAGTGGTAGTTGATCTTGTTGACAGTTAAAAATGGCACTGCAACTAATGTACAAGTTTAGAATCGATGGGGGGAAAGTTCAGCAAATGAACAAACGATTTTTGAGCAATCAATATAAGAATAGAACATTCGATGAGAGTGAAAAGTCCTTCTTCGATAAACTACACAACGAGTGGTGGAATGACAAAGCAGAAGAAAAGCAAACTTGGTATGATATTTTGAACAAAATTGTGGGAAAAAATATTCACAGTTTGCATGACTATAATAAACATAGATTTAACTTTATATGTAAAAATTATGAATTCATTTTTTTTGAAAAATTGAAAGAAAGAAGAGAAAGTAAAGAAAAAGGAAAAGAAATAAAAATAAACATTTTAGATGTTGGTTGTGGAGGAGGTATATTGTGTGAATATATGAAAAGGAATTTTTTTTATTTCTTGCTGAAAAGTGATATGATAAATGGAGAGTGGTCAAGGGGGTACAGTGAACACGAAAATAAAAAAACATCCATGAATACTGTGGAGATAAATATCCATGGAATAGATATATCTAAGAAATTAATAGAAGTCGCAAATAAGAGACAAGAACATGAGGTAGAGGAAATACAGAAATTGTACAACAAAGGAGAGGAGGGAGAATACACGGGAACTTATTACAATAGCGAAGGAGCATTCTTCAATGCTGAAAAGACAAAGAATATACTTGCTGAGAAATTGGAGGAGAGGGGGGGAAAAATTAATTCGAGATGTAATAAAATAGCGTGGAAGAGAAATAATAATTGGAATGTACGTATCAATCTGAGATACCAAAATTGTGATATAGCTGATTTGGTAAATTCAAGTGATGAGGACAGAAAAAAATACGACATAATAATTTCTTCCGAAGTTATTGAACATGTACCCAATGAGAAAAAAGAAAAATATGTAAAATACATTAGTCAGCTCTGTAACCCTATGGCATTAGTTGTGTTTACGAGTATTAATAAAAATATTTTTTCCTATATATATACCATTTTGTTAGCTGAGTATATAACTGGCATTATGAAAAAGGTACATTTTTCTTCTAAAGCGTATGACAAATTGGAATAAGGAAAAAAAAAAAAAAAAAAAAAAAAAAAAAAAAGACTATGGCCATTTGTCGTGGCATTTCTGCATCCTCTTTTGCGCGTTCATTTTGTTTTCCATGTTTTTCCTAAATTTTTTCCCCTAATTTTTCCCCTAATTTTCCCCCTAATTTTCCCCCTAATTTTTCCCCTAATTTTTCCCTAATTTTTCAGGGCACACATGAGTACGATAAATTCATAGAAACGGAAGAGTTAAATGACCTTTGTTCGCTTTTTAACATAAAAAATATAATTACAGAATATGTAATTTATATCCCCTTTATCAGGGATTATTTCCTCACCCGCAGGATGAAGCTCCTATTTTTATCGTCTTTTGTTTATAGAGGAGTGGAAAAAGGAGACACACATTCTGTGGGCAAAATTGGGAGAAGAGCCAGTTATATTGAACGTTAAACAAAGGCAGTATAGGTAATATATACATGTATATATATATATATATATATATATATATATATATATATATATATATATATATATATATGTATGTGTATGGTTATATGCATACTGATATGTACACCACTTATATGCCATGTTGGTAGCACATGAACACAACGCAGGGGAAGAATATGTTTTTACTTTATTTTATTTTTTCCTTTTTTTTACCTTCGAATAGGGAATATTTTTTTTTTCTCTGCGATGATCTATGTTCCCACGTTTTGCAAAAGAACGAATTAGTTTACAAATTTAGGGGATTAGGAAAATAATTAATAGTGACATCATAGACATCAGCACCAGCACTCGTGTTACATAAAATTAATATCATCATATGTCTCTTTACTGATATGTGTACATCGTAAACATGCTTATAAGGAGAAGAAAAAGAAAAAAAAAAAAAAAAAAAGATCTTGGTCTTGTTTCCATAGCCAACTTTAACTACTTATTTGGTGCTTACTATATTATTTATTTTTTTTTTTTTTTCTATATTTTTTTTTCACACGTCTTTGCTATATTGGTCACATATATACTACTACTTAGGGGTGAAAAAAAATGTCCCCAGGACTTCGAAAATGTCTGTAAAGCTATTGCTGTGACTTTCCCCTAACGTTATTGTGGCGAGTTTTCTTTTTTTCTTACCTTTTTTTTATCTTTACTTTTTTTTTTTTTTTTTTCAATCTTTTAGCCTTTTCAAATTTTTAATTTTTTCAATTTTTTTTTGTTGTTGGTTTTTCCATTTTAAGATAAACACAAAAAGTGGAAAACAAAAGCCTTTCCCAAAAAAAGCAAAAGTCTTTTCAAAAAAAACAAAAATCATTTTCAATAAATCATAAAAAATATACAGCTTTTTTTTTTTTTTTTTTTTTTTTAAAAAAAAGTTCCTCGTATAGCAACTATCACAGAGTAACAGGTATTTTTATGCTTCTTTTTTTACCTCTTGTACGATGTGGGTATATGTATAAAGGGGAAGATTTTAAACAACAACAACAAAAAAAAAAAAAAAAAAAAAAAAAAAAGAAAAAAAGAAAAAAAGAAAAAAGCACCATTAAATGTACAATGAAAATGACATCCATATTATATGTACGTGCATGTTTTTATATGTAGGCACAAGTACTCTCATGTGATGAAACAAAATTTTCATTCATTCTGTCGTTGTTAACAGTTCTCTAAAGGATACTCGCTAATCCACGTGTTCACGATAGTATATCCGCATATATATATCTCTCAATAGGAATACATAGGATATATGTGCATATGTTCATATATATATATATATATATATAGAGAGAGAGAGAGAGAGAGAGAGAGTGAGGGATAGTTTACGCGGCGCTCAAAAAGTATAAGCGAAAAAAAGGGACTGACTGACTCCCCCTATTTTTGCACAAACTTGTCATTAAACACACAACCACGCATAGGGATGCAAAACATATATTAATAAACTACTCTTGGGTAAAAAAAAGTGGAGCATAAACTATAGGTTGCACAGGTTTGGAAAAGCTGTTAGGAAGAGATCCAGTGGTGAAAGTAAAATGGGGAAAGGAGAAGCATAAGCGAATCAGGACAAACATATAATTATGAGCAACATAAATACAACCTATCGAGGCAGAAATAAATGCAAAAGAAAAATATAACACACACTTGAAAAAAAAAATCGAAGGTTTTCATTCAGCACACTCCCTCCTTTTTTATTTGAAGAAAAATGTGGCCAGTTGTTATACTACTATTCGGAGGAGGTATTTTGTTCATGAAGAAAGGAATGAATTACATGAAAAATCAGAAAATAAATTTGAACAATAAAAATTATTTTTTCCCATCAGGATTTAACAGAAACTTAAACAACCTTTTTTTAAAAAATGATATGAGAGGGTTTGAAAGAAATATGTCCAAGTCTGAAGCTTACAAAATATTAAACATTAACCCAACATCGAATAAGGAAAAAATAAGGGAAGTTCACAAGCAGCTCATGTTGAAAAATCATCCGGATAATGGAGGTAAAGAATTTTTTTTTTTTGAAAGAATAGACATATGAGGGGAGTAGGAGAGCCAAAGCGTGAAATCCAAATTCGGGGAAAAAAATTACACCTAACATGATTACGCAAAATGAAAATGCTCTTTTCATAATCTGTTATACATACCATAATGGTGGATTATTCTGTTTTGAATATGAATATATGAACATTTTCCTATACTCCTCCCAATTGACTATGTTAATATGGTGCCAAAAAAAAAATGGGACATGCCTATATCACAATGTGTAGACAATGTCCTCTCCTATTCGTATATGACACTGCATAAACATGTGCATATATAAGCGTATACATTTTAGACTTTTTTTTTTTTTTTTTTTTTTTTCCTGTCTTCTACATTTTGTCAACAATGTAGGTTCTACCTACATAGCAGCCAAGGTTAACGAAGCTAAAGATGTTTTATTAAAATAGTTATAATGAAAATTTAGACCCTTATAGCGAGGAAGATTTTTTCTATTAGAGTAATGGATAAATGAGGGGATTTTATGTATACCGCATATAATGAAAATTTGTGTGAAATTTTGCCAAGGTATGAATATAGTGAAAGTCATGAAAGTCATTAAAATTGTGAAGAATTTATTATGTAACTATTTTTTCAATCCTCGTAATGTCCATTTTTATGTTTTCTCTTTTTATATTTTTACTGAACGAGATTAAAGACGCTGAAATTTTTTTTTTTTTTGAGATTTGTAGAAGGAGAGGAAGCATTAGGGGAAAAGGAAAAATGTGTGGAAACTTGAAAAAATCATTTCTATAATTGCTAAGAAATGAAATATATTAGAATTTTACCCTTTTTTTTTTTTTTTTTTTTTTTTTTTTTTTTTTACAAACGTATATCATTTTCTCTTATTTTTTAATCTCTAATATTATATGAATTAAAAAAGAAAAAAAAAGAGCACTTGTGTAAGCTCTAGTGGGAGAGAGAAAAACTTAACTTTTAGGTTATTCTTTTTTTTTTTTTTTTTTTTTTTTTTTTGGCTAGAGGAAAATAAAAAAAATAAAACAAAAAATAAAATCCCCTCGCATAAAGGGACAATGCAGAAGGGTATATTTGCATCATTTGTCTATCTATTTTGCAAGAATTTTTTTTTATTTTTTCCTGCATATACTTTTTTTTTTTTATATGTTCAATTGTTTGAAACCTATTTTCTTATATTTTATTCACTTCCGCTAACTGTTCTCGTATCCTTTCTCCGAAGGTGAAGCATTTGTCTATTTTATTATATATTTTTTATATTTCATTATATTTTTTTTTTCTTCTTTTTTTTTTTCTTCTTTTTTTTTTTCCCCCCCTCTTGTCTTTAAGGGAAGAAGTTAAACGTGCAAGCAGAGCAGCTTGATCTCATTCGTGTGAATAGAATCACATAAGTGCATCTAAACGTATGTAGGATTGGCAACACACTTTTCCCAACTGCTAATTTTATGTACCTATGTTGTTATTACACTTTCCCTATCCCCACCTTTGGTATTACGGGTTTTCCATAGTGGCGTTTTCACACAATGCATAAATTGCACTCGAAAAATCTTAACGAAGAAAATATAGACGATATTATAGAAAAAGAAAAAATAATTAACGAAAGATTGAGATTTGAAAATGAAAAGATAAAAGAAAAAAATAGAAAAATACAGCAAAAATTATTAAGTTTTATTGAGGATAATAATTTTGCTTTTGAAAGTAATTCTACGGAAGATGTTGAAAAATATAAGCATGTGCTTTTGTCTCTTATTGAATATATGAACCGCTTAAAAATGGTGGATACCCACATGAAAAAAGAGACGAATAATTTAATTGACGACTTTTTTCAATGTATTAAGGATGCCATTATTAAGCAAAGTGAATTATGGTACGTTTTAACGCAAGCCCTAACTCATAACTTCTAATTTTTATTCTTATTAAATGAATTTTGTTCATAATTTTTTGTGTCATTCCCCTGAATGCATTATTGAAGGGAATACTTGGGGGTGTGGATCGTTGCATAAAGATAAAAAAAAAAAAATAAAAATAATAAAATTTTCCAATTTGTAGTCATACAATAGAAAGTATCTACTCGCCCAATGCATGAACCTTTCAATTGTTCTTCTCCAAATGAACCTTGCGATCATGTGTACATGAGAGAAAGACATTTTTTCTAATTCATTACATCACAACTAGCGTCATGAGAAGTGCTAGTCGGTACCACATCTACCATGGGAGGTACTTCTATCACGGCTGTCACTTCTGCCACTTTTACCACCTCTGCCATTTTGAAGCTATCTTATAAAGGAAGACATGAACGAATTCAAAGTTCAAGGAAAAGAAGAAATATTCAGGAAGCACGTATTAGGATTAAGAAAGATTTATGAACATAATAGCATATTACGTGCACAGATTTCTGTCTTCAACAAATTCAAATTGAAAGATGAGAATATGATTCATGCAGACTTTGAACAACTGCAACTAAAATACAAAAACTTAAAAGTCAAAGAAAGCTGTTTACAGAAAAAAATAGAAAATCTGAATCAGAAGATAAGGAGATCGACTGAGGTGGGGAAAAATGGTCAAAAGAAAAAAGAAAAATAAAGAAGAATAAAAAAAAAATAAAGAAAAATAAAAAAAAAAAATAAAGAAAAAAGAAAGAAAAAAGGAAAAAAAAAAGTGTGCGAATTCTTTTCTAGGCAGATTTTATTTCACATTTAGCTTTAGTACTACCTTTTCATCTGTAAAGTATATAGCAAAAAAACACTGCACTTCTGTTCGTTAGTAATGGTAGATGGTTTATGAATTTCATGAAGGGAGCAATGTTCTTGTTGGTTCTTCCCTGCTTGCATCTCTGCATACATCTCTACGTACATCTCTACGTACATCTCTACGTATGTAGATCAGCAGATCTAAATGAGAACAAGTAGTTAAGCAAGTGTAACTATATCATATCGAACCTTCGTCTATTTCTTTATCTCTCCCTGCATGCACTTTTGGTGAAAGAAAAAATTGCACTATGACGAAAAGAACCTGTACCTTGAGAAGCTGCTAGAGGACAAGCAGGTAGAAGTAGACGAATCTCAGTATGTTATACAGAACAAAAAAAATTTGATAAATGAACTAAAGAGGAAAAAGGATGAATCCATCAAGAAATATAGTGAAGTAGAGACTTCTATCACTACCAAAAATGTGTACGACGAATTTCACGAGAAGAAGCTTCAGTTGGATGTCCTGAAAGGAAAGGTATGCCCTATAAACAATAGGACCTGTGGGGTCAAGAGTGAGGAAGAAAAAAGCCATCACTAAACTTTCCCAAAACGAGTTGCATACTCTGTAGGAAATAATTTCCAAATGAGCAAGTTCTACAAAAGGGAGAGAATTTCAAAATGGACAAGTTGGGCTATGACCTCCCTTATCATCTTCATCCTCTTTTTTTAAATACACATGCAGCTAGAAGAGGTTATGCATAGGTACAGAAATTTGCACAAGGTCCACGAGAAGAAGTAAAAAAAAAAAAAAAAAAAAAAAAAAAAAAGATAAAAATAAAAATAAAAATAAAAATAAAAAGATAAAAATAAAAAGGTAAAAATAAAAAGAGGAAAAATTGGTATATGTAAGAAGTGCCTCTGAAGACGCTTTGCCATTTTAGTATTTGTAAAAATAATTTCACTGAATAATTATAATAAATGAATTATATCATTCCTCCTTTATATAGCTCCTTTTTACGAATCATATTTGTGTTATGTTATATCCTACAGCACACCACATTTTCCCTTCTTATTACATTACATGTTTTATTTTTATGGACAACATATAATTTGATATACTACATTTTTTAAAACATGTCTTATTTTGTTTGGTTTTTTCTTCCTTTCTCTGTTTAAGAAAAGAGTTTGAAAGTTTCACATTAAAACAAAGTTGTTATGAAAGGAAAAAATGAACGAAAAAAAAAAAAAAAAATTGATAAATAGATGGGTAGCGGAGCAAATAGGTCGACAGATGAATAAACAGATGGGTAGCGGAGCAAATGGGTCGACAGATGAATAAACAGATGGGTAACGGAGCAAATGGGTCGACAGATGAATAAACAGATGGGTAGCGGAGCAAATGGGTCGACAGATGAATAAACAGATGGGTAGCAGAGCAAATATGTCGACAGGTGAATAAACAGACGAGTAGCATGATAAATGGATAAAACAAATAATGTGCATAAATATGTACAAACATGAGCAGGTTCAAAAGTACATGTTTGTTCAAAATTTATGCATACAACTGGTAGCAAATAAAATTGTGGTGTCGCTATACTTTTTTTTTTAAAAATTCAAATTTTTTTGGAACCACGCGTGGTTCTTGAGGTCGTTAAAGCAGGGTCTCCTTTTTGAGCACAGCTGTGAGGAAGAGGACGGCAAAAAAAAAAAAAAAATAAAATAAAAATAAAAGAAAAATAATATAATAAAATGAAATGAGAGAAAGGAGATATTTATGCTAGCATTTGTTCTAGCTTTTGTTCTGGTTCTTCCTCTTGCTCTTGCATTTTCGGTGTGTGAGAAGACGAGTTTACTGTGGCAAAGCAGTTACCACTACCAAATATCATATGTTCACACAGTATTTGTGTCACACATCCGATACACCAATATATTGATGAAAAAGGGAAGAGGTCTCCTTTTATGTGGAGTCTTGTTCCATCGCGCGAACAATTTTCATGTGAATATTTACTTCATAACAAAAGTTCTTCAATTCGAAGGAAACAAAATGAGGGAAAAAGAAACTAGTGTTGTGTATCCGTTCTACTAGGTCTTCCTGTGCGAGATTAGTTAACAAAGGTGATGATGTGAAATTTTGAATAAAAAGTGCGTTCTTTCAGTATATTGGATGAAGGAAAATAGAGACGTGGATGCATAAACACATGAATGGAAATGAAGTAAAATGCACGATGCGTATTTTTCACATGGTACACACTTACATATTTGCTGGAATAGTAAGTGTTATATTTCGTGCACATTTCATATATTAAGACAGCCAAGCAAAGGAAGTCAAATTCGTAGTCTTTCTCGGCTGCGAGTGGATGATGAAGGGGATATGGTGGTGGTGGAAGCATAGACATGGAAAAATGAAAAAAAAAAAAAAATACACATAATGGAAGGATAGATACGGGAGAATACAAAAAAATAAAATACACATGCAGGAAGGATAAATACGGGAGAATACAAAAAAATAAAATACACATGCAGGAAGGATAGATACGGGAGAATACAAAAAAATAAAATACACATGCAGGAAGCATAGACGCGGAATGATGTTCCTTACTAGCATCCATATTAGAAAAATCGAAGTTAAAAACTTTTATGATTCCATGTTTGTAAATGTCAAAATATTTATTAACGTTTTTGTTTTTTTCGTGAAGTATTTGCAACAACTCCTCTTTGGTGTTCTTTTGTAAAATAATTATATTCGACAAGAGTCCTGTAGGGAGACAGTGGTGGTGAAATGAAGGAATGGGTTTATGCAAAAATTAATCTGTAAAATCGTTATTCTTATTGTGCACATTCCAGAAACGAATACGTGATAAGCATACTGTCTTCTTACCATGAAATATTATAAAATTGGCATGCATGTACTCAAGAAGGTCTACAATTTGATAGGCATATGAAGCAATGATATTTTCTTCAAGGGGTGTACTATGAGACTTTAAAATATTTCCATGTATATGTTCAAAGAGCAAATACAATTTATTTTTATCAGCTGTTTTTCCTTTGTATGACATAATATTTATATGTCTAAGTCTTTTGTGAAATAAGATATTATTTGCAACTGTGTCATTTCCATTTCCACTATTTAGATAAAAGGAATCAATTATATTTATTAGGAAGGAATAATTTTCATGTTTTAATTTGCATCTATATAGGCTCCACAAGCCAAAATTGCACAAATGATTATCAGAAATAACAAAATGGTTTGTGTCTATATTTAAATTGTCGTTGTAGTTAACTGTGTTGACGTGCAGGTTAGAAATTTCGCTGCCTTGGTGGTTCACCGTGTTTCGATGATTAGAAAGGTGATTACTGCTAACGGGGTGATTGCCAATTGGATGATTATTAATTGGATGATTTCCAATGGGATGACCTTCCCCAGTCTTCTTGTCAGAATTGTCACTTATTTTTTCGAGAAGCATAGAAATATTATTACTCATAGATATGCGTCTTTCCGCCTTGTCGTTAGTAAAATTTCTACTTCTCCATTCGTCTTCCATTTGGAGAAACGTCAAATTTTGATTTTCTCTGGTTTGTGAATCATCCTTTGGAATTCCTTCTCTCACTTTATTAAAAAAGGAGTTTCTATTGGGAGGAGTATAATACCCTTTCCCCATGACATTATCAAGCGCGTTTTCTTCACTGTATTTGTTTTTTATATTTGTGTATAAATAATTTGGGACAGCATTTTTCTCGTTCAAAAAATTTGAGTGTTCAGAATAATGATTAAAATTTGTGTTTATGTTTTTTAGCATACACTCTTTTGATTCATCCTTATAATTGAAGAAATCGTTTCTCTTTTTCATTGCGTCATGCTTTTCTGTGTATTTGCCGTGGAGTGTAAATTCTGTCAGTACATTATTTTCTCCATCTTTCTCTCTAAACGTGGAGAAGTTACCCTTCAGGAAGTTATAGTTCGTACCGTTCAAGTTAGACATATGATTGTTACTGCTGTTATTGTATGTGTGGAAATTACCAATTCTTTTAGCAGCACTTATTTTCTCTATGTCTTTCTCAACCTTTCCGGGAATTCCAAGTCTGCCATCATTTTCGAAAATTTTCAACTTGGCTTGATTCATCCCTTCCTGGTTTGTCTGCTTCATCGAATTTTTAAATGGCAGTGGGGGGAGTTGCTTGTGAATGGGTTGCTTAACAAAACTGAAATTGTGTGCACTGTTTAGATTGAAGGATTTCTTATTTCTGTAACTTGCTAATGGGTCACTTACATCCCTAGCGGTGTATTTTCCCATAGTATTTAACAAATTGGAATATCTATTTTGTTCTTCGCTCAGAATTCCTAAAAAGGCTTTCGCGCCAGTGGTTCCAAGTTTATTATTCTTTTCTTCCCAGATGTTATTTCGGATAGGCAGATCGGTAGCGAAATTGTTGGCGAAATTGTTATCGAATTCGTTATTGAAATCTCTGTTTTGCTGATGAACATTTTTGCTTCTGCCATCATTAAACGGCGTGACTAAATTAGTGTACTGTGCATGCATATCTGCTTTATTACAATTTTTAAAGGGGTTTGAATTGTTTACATTTTGATTGGGTTCATGTTTCCACATGGAGTATGGAATATTATTCGGTTTTGTCATATATGCATTTGTTTTGTTATCGTGTGGTTGATTTTCGATATCTATATATATATTATCTCTATTCAAGTGTTTATATATATCCGAAATAGTTTTGTCCTTATTGTCACATTTTTCATTTTTTTTTTCACTCATAAAATTGTGAACTCCACCCCTTTCGTTGTTAGAAGTAGGAAACGTTTGCAAATGCTCATTTAGAGGATTGGTTTTGATAAATGAATGATAATTATTAAATATAGAATTGGGCATTTTGTTTAATATTTTTTCGCCTCCATAATTTGAATTATATTTCACATTATCCTTCGTCGTAGTTTCTTCACGATGATGAATTTTTATATTTGTGATATTATTTCCATCGAACATTGTTGCGCTTCTGTTTTCATTCAAGAAGTTCGGGTTCGGTTTGGGCAACAGGAAATCACTATTCTTCTTCATATTCTTCTCCATATTTTTCTCCATATACTTCTCCATATTCTTCTCCATATATTTCTCCATATTCTTCTTATTATTCACGTTAAGACAGATAGCACCGATGTTTTCATCGTCTCCGTGTGCTCCTAGATTGTTCCTGAGTTCGACTCCCTCCTCTCTATCAATATCATGAATATCAAGATCACCATTGATGTTAGGACCTCGTAATGAGTCTCGATAATTTCTAGAATTTTTCACGTCCCAATTATTTACTAATGTGGTACTCAAATGGTCATGTTGTCTGTGCTTTAATGTTGTATCATTGTATGGTTCGAAAAGAGCTCTACCACTTTTATCAAAATTGTATCGACGAATCATGTCTTTGCCATTCTTATGTATAAAGTTTTTATTTTCATAAAGGTAATTGCCAAAATGGGAATTCTTTTTTTCATCGAATTTGTACACATTATCCTTTTCATTTTGCACATTTGAAAAGGCGTAATTTTTTACATTTGAAAATTTTTCATTCTGCTTGGGAAATTCATTTCTAATATCTGTGTTGAAAATGTTGTCAAAATTGAGAACCTTACTATTTGGTTTTCCAGTATCTTCTTGGTTGTATTTGTTCATCTGCTTTTGAATCTCATTCATAGGACTTTTATTAAATAAATTTTCTTCCTCGTAATTATCAAAGTTTCTCGCATGATTTTTGAAAATGTTTATACTGTTAGGATTAGCGAGCATGTCTCTACCGTTTGCTTGCATCGCTAGGGATCGTCGTTCCTGCGTCCCACCTGCACCATACTTCATGTTGGAAGTGTGATAATTGGTTGAACTATACTTTTTATACATGTCATTGTCTCTACCCTCTAGTGTCACATCAGTCTGCTCGATATGCTCTTTAAATCTATTTTCATCCATAGGAGAACTATTATTATCAAAATTCTTGAAGCAGTTTAGTTGGCCAAAAATTCCAGACTTTCCCCTCCCATCCCTTTTTGTACATGTGTCAAAATTATCAATCTGTTCTCTAATCCTAACATCACAGAGTTCGCCCTCCTTATCACCTGTATACACGGAAAATCTATTTTTCAACATGCCATTACAAAAAGGAAATTTATTAATTCGGTTGGTGTGAAAATCCTGTACGTTGTTATGTCTCGTGTTATTTGTAAAATCAGAAATAGGATTGGGTGATTTCTGCTTCATATTATGATCATATAAGTTCATGTTGTGCATATGTCTGTCCCTTAATGTATAGTTAGTATTTTTTCCTTGTTCTCCCTTTGAGAGAAAATTATGACTAAATTTATAATTGTCCAAAATACATTCAGGACTGTTATTTTGGAAATGAGTGTTTTTATCACTGTGGTGGAAGTCTCGTACAATATTTCCCTCTCCAAATTTTTCCATGTACCAATCTTCATCACTTAAAGGCACTTCATTCTTAGATTGGTGTTGGTTCATTATAGCTGGTGTTTCATTCATCCTTTCGAATGTGTTAAAATCATCGTAGATATTATTATTTACATTTGCCCTGTTTTGAACTCCTTCTCCCAATAAATCATTATTTACATTAGATATTTGATTCAAATCTGCAATTGAACTTGTGTTAAAATAGAACTGTTCATGAGGAGGTAAACTTTCATAAAGGTCATCATTGAAACTGAAATTGTATTTTTGTTTCGGGCTTGTAACGATTATATTTTTTAATAGATTAATTTTTTTTTCTCTTTTTTTTTCTTCCTCGTCATTTTCTTTATTTCGTAAGGATAAAATGTTTGGATACAGCAGATTTGCCTTGTGTGTGTATTTTGACTGGTTCCCGTGGCTACTTGGGTTCGGTTGATTCATGTGGATACTTGGGTTCGGCTGATTCATGTGGCTATTTGGGTTAGGCAGATTCATGTGGCTATTTGGGTTAGGCAGATTCATGTGGCTAGTTGTGTTGGCTGGGTTCACAGAAATGGACTGATTCTCTTGATTTGTTGGGTTCCCATTTCTATCTTCATTGGAGATGTAATTTCTAAAATCACTACCTCTAACATGCTTGTTGCTGTCTTTGTGAATTCCACCTGTCACATCAGCTTTCCCATGGTCCCAATTGAATTTGAAATGTTCTTCTTGGTTTTCCTTGGCTGTATACTTTTTAATAATATCATCTATTTCTGGTACTTTGTTCTTCGAGTAACTAGATGTATTATATTGATTATCACCCAAGTTTACATTGTAATTTTCATCATACTTTGCAAAACCTGCATAGTTATTTCCATAATCATCGTTGCTTGCATGGACATTGTTCTCCATATGACGAATTCCCATATCATTATGCATACCAATATTATTATTGAAGTTGTTGTGTAATGTGTTCATGTTAAAATGGTTACCATATGAAGGAGAGTTCATTTTCCCATCATTATCAAATGGGTTCATATTGTTCTTATTAGTGACATTGGCTGATGGTGTCATGGCACCATAAAGATAATTAGTGTTACCCCAATTGTTCTTCATTTCGCCATATTTGTCATCTAAATTTTTGTTGTTATATTTGTATATATTGGGTGGAAGGTTAACTTGATTATTATGTGTATTTGCATTGTGCATATTTGGACTGTGTGTGTCACGGTTGACAATTCTATTTTGAGTCATATATCCCATGTCATTATTATTCATGAGATGATATGGATTTGAGACATTGTTCTTAATGAACTCTGCATCTAATTCTCCATTTTCTCTATTAATTTGTGCATAGTGGCTGTTCATGTGATCATTTTTAGCCTTAATTGGGTTTCGATAATCCTGTGGGTTGCTGTTATACTGGACGTTAAGGTGACTGTTGTGCTGGTCGTTAAGGTGATTGTTATGCTGGCCGTTAAGGTGATTATTCTGATGACCGTTAAGGCGACTGTTCTGCTGACTGTTGTGAGGTGCTTTACCATGGTGAACGCCAAAGAGATGGTTGCTAGTCTTAGAGTTATTCACATTGGACAGGTGTGTGGCATTGTTTGCACTGTTCATATTGGAACTGTAGTTTTCCTCATCCTCCATAATTTTTATATTATTAAAATTGTAATTTCTTGGATTTATTTCACTGGTATTATTGTACGTGAGGTTATTGTACCTGTTGTTGCATATATCATTATTAATATCATAAATTCCCTCTTTCTGTATTTTGGCATTCCTCTGTCCCATCTTTGATGAAATATAATCCCTTTGGTTTTTTGCATTCACATGAGAATTATTTTCGTTAAGGCTTTTCCTTCTATGATTGCTTAGGCTAATATTCGCAATGTTGCGCCCAATGCTTACGTGGTCGTTACCAGCACGATTAAATTGCTTATTAGGATGTGTAGGGCTAGTCTGGTCAATCCCCTGTGTATTAGCCGTATGATTGACGTTGAAATACTTATTGTATGTATTGTCCCAAATGTTTGGATGATTGTTCAGGTGCAAATACTTATCTTCTCTTCTAGAAAAATACATTTTTATTTTTCATTGATCCCCTTCATGCTTCCGACAGATGTGGGTTATCAAAATGTTTTCGAGGATACACGACTACCGATATAATTTACTGTTCAGACACGTGAATGTGAACATGTGGCTACATACGTTTGGCTGGAGAGATGATTTAAAAGGATACATAAAAAAAAAAAAAAAAAAAAAAAAAAATCTTGAGTGGTAAATTGGGAGAAGTAAATGGTGAGAAGTAAATGATGAGAAGTAAATGGTGAGAAGTAAATGGTGAGAAGTAGATGATGAAAAGTAAAACGATAAGGCACAAAGACAAATATATATTTAGCATTTACTCTACTCTTAATATTTTGCGTTCCCCCCTTTAGTACTGGTGGTGATGTTGCTTACAAATGTGCATATGTTACACGCGTGCGTAGCCAGAAGGGTGTTCATTTTTTGATAAATTAAAAAAATAAAATGAAAATAAAAAGTCGGTAAAAATTATATATAAATAAGTAGATACATGTATGCACATGTTATAAATGTTGTCATTTGGTGAAGACAGCTTAAGGTGTGTTTTACTTCCCTCCATTATTTTATCTTGCTAATCTGATCAAAGTACACAGTTTAGTAGCATACGACAGTGGGTATGCATATATATGCGTGTGTATGTGTGTCTGCATACACATATGTCTGCTTACACGTATGTCTGCATACACGTATGTCTGCTTACACGTATGTCTGCTTACACTTATGTCTGCATACACATATGTCTGCTTACACGTATGTCTGCTTACACGTATGTCTGCTTACACGTATGTCTGCTTACACGTATGTCTGCTTACACGTATGTCTGCTTACACGTATGTGGAGATAGACGAGTGGAAAGGTGAGCGTGTATGGGGATACGCAATGGGGTGTGCAAATTTGCACGCAGATTAAAATGCCAGTGGACACACATATGGGTGTACAAATTCGCTCAGAAAAGCAACGAAACTGGAGTAAAAAAAAAATGCCACGGAATGAAAAATACAATTAAAAAATGAATATGTCAGAATGACCATAATAAAAGAATATTTCAAATTTAGAGCAATGAGACACATAGAACTTTAGCAAAATGTGAAACGAGTGACACATTGAATATGAGGTATAAATTTACATTCATACTTGTTTCACGTGAATAAAGAGGATTGATGTATAATATATATTATTATATTTTATCTTGTGCATATAATTAAACGGGTGTAAGAAGCATAAATTCATGCCTGGAAAATGTTATTCCTTTAAAAAAAAAAAAAAAAAAAGTCAAAAAATAAGGAATGTCAAACAAATATCCTCATTTTTATTAAATACGCGCAAAGGGCATGCCTCCATAAAAAAAAAAAAAAAAAAAAAAAAAAAAAAATAATTTAAAAAAAAAAAAAAAAACAAAAAAAAAAAAAAAAAAAAAAAAAAAAAAAAAAATTACTTTCAAATAAATGTAAATACCTCTATATCAATAAAAAACAAATAGTTAAGAAAAATAGTTATAAATGTGATTTTCTCCACATGTATGTGTGAAAAAAAAAAAAAAAAAAAAAAAAAAAAAAAATAAACAAAAAAAAAAAAAAAAAAAAAAAAAAAAAAAAAAAAAAAAAAAAAAAAAAAAAAATAAAATTGGGTATTATTCCCTCAATCTATTTTCCGTTTCCCCACTAACCAAAGGTGAAAGTTTTATTTTATTTTATTTTTTTTTTCCCTCAAATTGCACACAAAAAGGGAAAAAAAAAAAAAAAAAAAAAAAAAAAACGGAAAAGAGGCGTAGAAATAACGTCGAATAGATGGGAAAAAATTGTAAATAATATGACCAATAAAATGAGCCAATAAATTAAAGAAAAAGTAGAAATGGACAACAAAAGTATGCGAAAGGAGCCCACGGTGAAGAAAATTTCTGTATTCTTTGCTAAAATTATCATGATTCGGAGAAATAACAAAAGAATTCATAGTACCACATAAGGAAGTGGGGTGGATGGGGGAAGAAATGTGTTTCTGGATAATGCGTCCTGTGGTAAAAAAATTGCTATATATTATGAAAAAAGTTTTGATGAATTGAACAAAATGAAAGGTGCCATATTAAATGCTTCTGATACGCATGAACTGTAGGACAAATAGAAATTAATTATTTGTAATTAAGTCTCGTAACACATTAGGCAAAATTTTATTTTATTATTTTATTTTTTATCCTCGATATATGGGTACTATTTCGTTCTTTCCTTCCCCTCCCCCCCCCCCATTTGGTAGTGTTGTTCTGTAAGTTTGTTGTCTTGTCACACATTGTTTCATTTTGTCTGGTTTTAGCATCTCACGGTTGAGCGGCAAATCGAAAGATTTTATTTTATTTTTTCCTATATAGCTCTTTTTCACGCATTTCATTTTCATATAGGTGTTACATACACACATATTTGTGTTTATACCAAGAATGTAGAGTGGCTATAATATAAACACGCTAAAAAAAAAAAAAATTACAGTTACATTTTTCTCAACTTCATCAAGATATTCCTTCAAATAGCACATCGTCCGTTTTTTTTTTTTTTTTTTTTTTTTTATAGAATCATAAAAACAATAATTCGTTCTTGTGAGTGAAAAAAGTGCATATCCTGGCAGAAAAAAAAAAAAAAAAGTAAAAATAAAAATAAAAAATGGATTAAGAAAAAAAGCATCACCCTCTAACACAATTGCGTAAGTATAAGTACCTATCAAAACGGAACAGCATTCACATGAGTCATACATGAAATCATTTTGGACTTCGTGATAATCCTCCTCCAGTTTGTGATAATCCTCCTCAAGTTTGTGACAATTCTGCTTGACTTCTCTTCACGGCCCCCTCTTACTTTTCTCGTAATTCTGAAATATTTTCACAATGATAAACCAACAAACGGTAAAAATGTTATTGACGTGCTCGTAATGATTGGTCCCTAGACACACATCTACTAGGCGGATGTTTTTTAAGAGCAGAATTATGTCTCTTTTTAAATCCATTGGTAGTTTATAAATGTCGTTCTTTAGCTTTGCACCAATTAGGATGAGCCAAATGTTTTCCTTGGCAAAACTGCATAAAGGCGTGCGCGCATATGGATGAGGACATAGGGGATGGGGGGTCATTCTTGATGTGCATCTGCTTGTATATATATATATATATATATATATATATATATATATATATATATATATATATATACATACATGTACATATGTATATAAACGGTACGTATTGCACATATTAGAAGGCATTTCCTTATACACTTTTTATGGTTATATAATATGTTGATCCACACATATATTCGTGTGAGAATTTTTTTTTTTTTTTCGAGGGAAGTGCCTACTATACATTTTCTCTATCTATCCTTTTTATGCATTTGTACTTACTTGAAATGTTGTAATGATATAGTAGGGCTGTCAACAAATAATTCAAGTTCTTTCATGTTCTTTAAAACGTTTATGAATTCCGAAGCGACTGTTTTCCATTCGAGTAATTTGCTGAAAAGGAAGGTTGGTTCGGAGGATTTTGCATTTGATGTGTGAGACATATTTTGGACTTACTTTTTAAATGAGTATTCCATGGTCGTTGCATTGAGATGGTATGTTACTGTAGACATACTATTATTGACATGTGTATTGCTATGCCATTATTATTTTATTTTTTCCCTTTTGCGCTTACTCATTGTCGTAATATGTGCGAAGAAATTTGATTAGGTCATTTATTTGGACTCCTCTGCTGGTTATTTTTTGGAGTCTGAGAAAAAAAGGGAAGAAAAAGGAAGAAAATAACGATATGAAAAAAGTAGCGATATGAAAAAAGTAACGATATGAAAAAGGTAACAATATGAAGATGTGTGTCTGATACCGTTTGTATGCTCGACACATGCACATGATCAGGTGAAGAGAAAATATATTTAGACACAGCTGTAGAAATAATGGTGAGAAGTGCTATGGTTGAAAAGAAAAATTACTGTGTGTAGTGGGGCCTGTAGATATGGGGATATTTGCTCGTGTAGCAGGGTGGAATTCCATATCCAAAGAAAAAGGCCATGATATTTCTCAACTCAAAAAGAATAGAATTTTTAAAATAATTGACATTTTCCATTGATCGAGTAATAATTAATGTTCGTAAAAAAGAATGTACATATTTAACCACGTAACTTATGTAACTCATTTGGATAAAATTTTTTTTGAATTTATTTGTATGTGTAACATTTTTTAAAATTTTGATTAATTTGATATAACCAACAATGTTATATTTACAAATTTGAATGTCGTTATTTTTTCCTGGGTTTAATAAATGAGTGTAACATTTTCTGCTAAGAATGCTTATTAAGTTTTGATCAGTCTTGTAGTATCCATTATTTAATTTTTGCTCTTTCATATTTTTAAAATGACTATCTTTATTAGTGTATATCGAATGACTGTTTCCTATGAACTTTCTTTTTTCATACCAATTAATTTCGCTTATACCATAGAGAAGGTAATAAAACTCAAAAGGGGTATAGGTTTTTTTTTGATATTCCTTAAAATATTTTGAGAAATGTTTCGAAAAAGGTAGGAAAAAGAATGGATATTTTTGCTGGAATGTTAGAAGCATGTTGTAGACACTATTCCATATTAACATTTCCAATTCAGCGTCTTCTTCATACATTTGTAAAATTAGATCGCAGAATTTTAGAGTTGTGTATATATTCAGCAAGTGACTACATATGGTTTTTCTTTCTACATAGTTTGTGTACGTAGATACGAAGAAATAATTTTCATTTCTTCCATTATTTCTGTTCACAGATGTGTTGATCCTTCCTTTGTTGCCCTGTTCTGGTGAGCTTGTCCCACAATTTATACTATTTTGCTGATTACACTTTGAATCATGTGGAAGATCTTCTTGTGAGGATTTGTAAAAAATCTGAAACAAGCGAATATTCCCCTGAAGTGTCAAATGGATAAGAACTCTCAAAATTTCTAGTCGAAAAAAGTTCTCATTTCTGAAAGATATAAAAGTGTTCATTTTCATAACTGCTTGGGAATAAGAATTAGGCAAAAATTGGCAAAAATCAAAATGGTCTTTATAATCACAATACATTTTTCTTTTAAATGCATCAAGAATGCTCCTGTTTCGTGCTATAGTTCTAAGTAAAATTATTATAACCCAATCCGAAATATGTAAATAAGGGGATAATTTCTTCAGCTGGTATATTAGAAACATAATGTTTATTAGTTCCTCTATGTATTCTTTTTTTTTTTTTTTTAATTTCAAAAAATGATTTTGCAATTTTTTGTCTTCATTATCGTATATATGGATATCATAAAAGTCATATATATGATAATTTTTTTTTTTTTTTTTTTTATTAGATAAATGGTTTATATATATTTCTGCGCAGCTGTTTCTACCTGGATTTTGCACAGAATTCGAGAGGTATTCCATAAATAGGTATTCTTTGTTTTTACTCAGATTGTCTTCTGTCGTGCTATGCATAATATCGTTCGGTTTTTTCTTGAATTTTAAGTTTCCAATGCATTCTAGAATCATCTTGATGTCTTCATCTTCTTCCTTCTGAATGATTAGTTCTTTTTCGTAACTAATTTTTCTAGATCGTTTTTTCATGCGATGTTTCAGAGAACCCGCGCGATCGTGGCATCCTCCTTCCCAAAAAAGGGGATCATTGCATTTGCCATTATTATTTCCACAATTATTACATTCACCATTATCACACTGTTTGTATTTCATGCAAATGCACTGATCTCGAGTTAGAGATGCAATTTTGTCTACCACAATATCTACCTCCACCTCATTGTTCACACGTCGTGTAATTGGTGTAAGTTTGTCTTCAATTTGGCTGTATAATTCCTTTTGTATATTTTTCTGCCTGATATTAGTGTCCTCATAACTTTTTCTCTCATGGATAACAGATGTAGGAAATATTTCTGCGAAGGATGTTGAGCAGGATATTTTGGACAAGCTCATTTTTTCCTCCTTTTGTGAATATTTAATAACTGGATTTTTTTCATTATTCGTTGAAGAGCTATGATATGGACAATTCTGTTTTTGATGTGTTTCTGTCTCAGAACCTTCATCATGTGAGAAGTGATGTTTCTCATTAAGGTTAAGGGAGTAAACAAAATTGGCACATTTCTGAGCCAGTAAAAATATAATCATTTTGGGTGTTCTATTATTTTTATTCCTTAGCAAAGAGAGAGCAATGTAAAATGCGTGCATAAATTTTTTTTGATTCAAGTTATTTTCATAAAAATCATTTAAATATTCAAAAAATAAATTTTGAATAATTCTTTGTGTGCATATATATTTGTTATGAATAAAACATAGAGAATAAATACACCTAATTTTTACCATATAATGCAAATATTTCGACGTTAATGATTTGAATAAGCATTTGATAACTTCTGCATTTATTGGTATATTTGCTAGGGATATTTTATTTTTCCATTTTTTTTTCTTGTAATTTTTCTGTTTTTTGTAGCAAAAAGAGGAATAATTACGCTCTGATGCATTCACGTCAGCATTTGCGGCTCCATCCGCACCTCCATTCACATCTCCATTTATGTCTTCATTCAAATCTTCAATAGTAGATGTTGAGAAATTGCAATCCAAAATGTCCGATTCACTTGCTGAACTGCTGCTATTACTTGAAAGTCTATCCATATTTAACAAATCGTTTTGCCCATCGTTTGTCACATTAACATTTAATTTCCTCTTCATGTTATCCTCATCATTTCTTGTATTATGTTTATTTAGTACTTGGTTATACATGCCTCTGTTTGACAGTTCTAGATTTTGATCTGCCATCGCTTCTTCGTCCTTCTCTCTCATATGTTCTTCATCGTCTACATAATTTGCATTCACAATATTGTTCATTATGTTCTTTGGGTTTGAAGTATGTTGTTTAATCATATTATTTTTACCCATTAACGATATCCCATCCTTTCCAGTATTGTGCATATGATTCTTATGGTTGCTTTTTTCATGTGTAGCATTATAGCGATCATACATCATATGATTGTTCAGATTGCCATTGGTTGAAGCGTTTAATTCAATGTTTCCAAACAGGTAATCATTTTTTTTATGTTTTGTGTTCTTGTTTGTGCTGAGTACAGATTTGATGAATTGCATGGAATTATCTATCCCAAATTCTTCATTATTTCCATTGTTCAACTGGAGGTGGTTGTTAAAGGAAGACATGTGCACACCATCGTTGGCAACCTCACCTGAATGAACATTCGTGTGTACATTCGTGTGTACATTCGTGTGTACATTCGTGTTCCCATTTTTATGCATGTTCTTATGATCATAGAGATTCATAGTAAGGGTATGATCGATATGTATACCACGATCAATCTCAAAATCTCCTCCTCCTCCTGATACAGCTACGGTTCCTCCCCCCACATTACTTGTAATATTTTTTTGAAGAAAAAAAAAAGGAATAAATGCCAAGGCGAAAGAAGATTCAAGTTGCGCAAAAACATTGTTATCATTAAAAAGTTGTTGAATCCACATGCTTACACTTTGCGTCCTTCTAATTCTACCTAGAATGAAAAAATCATTATCTATACGGATCCAAAGAAGGGGTATTTTATTTTTACTACAAATTTTTGCAACTAATTTTCTGTTATCCAAACACATCAAAGATTTATCCTTCTTCAGCACTTTCTGCTTACAATATTCAATCATATACTTGTCACTATCATTTGTGATTCCAACAAATTTGACAGTTTCGTTTATATAACTGTCGATTACATCTATAGAATTTCTATTAATATATTCTTCATTTTTAGCCATATATAAGGATTCATGTTTGAAGGCTACTTTTTTCCTTCCCTTTTCGGGTCTAGCATTTACACTAAATCGAGTTGGCATAATGTTATTTAACAAATTTTTTTTTACAACTCTTATTCCATCATCTTCCACAATTTCAATTTTTAAAAAGCAGAAAAAAAATTTATTTTCATCAACTGATATGGGAGTATTATTCGATACATATGGGTTTAGATAGTTCTCTGTATGCATCTTATTGTTCATTAGCACATCCTTTATACTTTTTATCTTCTCCTTGTTTTTTTTTTTCTTTCGTTTTTCTATTTTCTTTTTTTTTCCCTCTTCCTTGTTCTTTTTGTTTCTCTTCTCCATGCGATAATTTTCATTCGTGTCTTCTTCCTTTTGTATGTCTCTATTAAATCCTTTTGCATAATGTTCAAAATTTTCCCTATTCATATTATAATCATCTTTATCCTGCACTTTATATGAGATCAAGTCATTCGACATGAGGTTTGCTTGAATCTCCACGTGATCAACTGCGTTTGGATATCCATGTGTTCTGCTAAAAGAATCTTCGTTCATGTTGTATACTAGATGGGGTGAGGCATCCACCAAACCTCTGTTTTCTCCAGACTCGTAAAAGTTTCTTTCGCCATCTCCGCTTCCTCTACCTCTACCTACCTCGCTTCCTTCTTCTGCATCCACCGAGTTCAATCCGTTAATTGTTCTTTTCTGATTATTGTAGCTATACGAATTGTGCAAACTTTGCTGAATTATCTGGTGTGGATATTCCAAATTACTATCGAAGTTTTGCACATCTAATTTGTTCATGTCCTTTTGCTGTGTTTGCATGATTCCGTTTTGACATGGATAGATGTCATGATGTGTTTGATTATTCCCATTTCTATATGTATTCTTAATCTTCATTTCTTTCATTTTCTTCTTCATTTTTTTCATTTTTTTCTTCATTTTCTCTTTCTTCTTTTTTTTGCTCCTGTCAGATTTATGCGTTTTCTTCCCCTGCAGTTCAATTTCATAATCGAAAATGTCAATTTCATTTTCCTTAACATGGTAATCAAGGGCATTATTCACAGTGCTTAAAAGTTTTTTCTTCTTGTTAATTTTATTCAACAGGTGTATGTAATAATATAAACGAAAAATGGTTTTCCACTGTGGGTATATGCAATGGGTGTGAAAAGGTGTAGTCGTACTATACTCATGGATATTATGCTTATCTATACATAACTCACTTAATTTTTGAACATTACAATTTTTAAATTTTTGGAATGCTATGATATTATTGTAAAGATTTCCTTTGCCCGTGGTTAAGTTAAGTTTATCGGATCCTACATACCCAAAACCAAGGTAGAAATTTCCATCTCTTGCAATGAGTTCTAAGCTATCAAAATTTGAATATGGCAAATTAATTAATTCTTTTTTCTTTTTAAGAATATAATTTCTGTTTATCTTCATCTGTTTATTTAATTTATCTTCTCTGATTAATTCATTAATTTTTATGCTTTTTTTTTCCCTTTTGAAATTTTTTTTTTTTTTTCTTTTTTTTTTTCCACCCTTGTGATTATGTTTTCGACTTTTTTTCCTTATTATTTTGAATGTACTCAATAGTTTTGTTTTTTTTTTCGTTCCATAATTCTCCATTGTGCTAATAAAAGATTTTTCTTTAACTTTTATTTTATCTAATTTTTGATTCTCATTCATGGCAATTTCAGTAGAGGCATTATTACCAATTGGTGCATCCTCAGTTTCAGCATTTTGTGTCTTAGTCTCGAACAATAACACAGCGTTTTGTTTTGCACTAATGTTTCCATTCTCCAATTTTTCTTCTTTTGCAGATATTACATGATCTCCTTCGGTGTTTACATGTCCTTGCAGTATTTTGGGGTTATAAGCGATGTTGCTTTTTCCACTGACAAATTTGGTATAATCCATGGTATCATTTTCACAAGATGATAATGGCATATTCTTAATTTTACTATTTAGACAGAAGAACCCATTTTTATGTTTCTTTTTTATTACATATTTCTTCAACAGTTTATTTGCTTTTTTGCTGAATTGATCCTCTGGATATTCATACATGTGATTTATATGATGCCTTTTTTTTGTTTTTAAATATGATAGAAAAAGCTTCTCCATATTGTTATGATGGTATTCGTAGTTGTAATGGTCATTTGTGTAATACTTTTCAAATAATTTATCGTAGTATATTTTATCCAGATATGTAAGACTCCCCATTTTTTTCTTCCTATTGCTACCTTTTCTTGCATCTATATCTATGCTAGTTTTTGAATCTATTTGCTTGTTCAGCTCGAGGACGTTGTACACACTCATCGAAGATATTTCAGCAAGAAAATATGCAGAGTTGAAATTTTCATCCACAAAATAAAATGGATGAATTGAATTCTGATTAATCAAAAAATTAAAGCTATCCATAGATGTTCCCTTTCTTTGTAGATGAACATTAAATGTTAAAATATATTGACATACCCCATACCCTTTAATGTATGTTTCAATAAAGTTGGTGAAATATTTCTCAAATAATTTGTACTGTTCATGTTCTTCCGTCTTTAATATTTTAGAGTTTACATCCAGGTTTATTGTTTTCATTTTGAATTTGTTCTTAGGTAATTGTTTGTAGTTTTCTATGTACCTTCTCGTGCACTCCATGAGGACCTGTATAATAAAGAAAGGGTTCGTCATGGAGTATACCAAATTGGAGGTTTCAAATGCACTTTGTAGTATGAAGCAAAAATAAGTGCGATTTTATGGCATCCGTTATGAATTGGATGAACCACATGAGGATACGATGTACATGCTTTATAAACAAAAAGGAATAGGATGTATATATACCCATATGAAATATTTATAAGCATTGGGTCAATAGTCTCGTTTAGATGTATGTATATTGGTTTTCATACCTTTTTCCAGAATTTGGATGAGGATATCATCGTTTGATTCCTCTTGATGTATGAGAAAAAAAGGGAAAAACAGTACTGATGGATAGAGTTGCAAAAGGAGAAATTCTTCATAATGTTAAAAAATATTCTAATACAGAGAAAAGTTTTAAGGAAGAACAGACTGTTTAAAGAATATTGCATGATGTGTTGATTCCATATGTTAGGTGTTATGTGAGATTTTTTTTTTTTTTTTCTTTCTTTATTATAGCAATAAAATAAGTTGACATCTCCAAAAAGTTCAACCATAGAGCAATATCTCTCCCTTAATTCATAAAAAATCACATTCATTTCTATAGATCCGAATATACTTTCCATATATTTTTGCAAAGCCAAGCATTTCAACATATATACAAGGTGTATATTTTCCTTCTTCACTATATATGCATAATGGTCAAAACAGAGTGATAACAACCCTTCGGCCATTATGATTTTGTAGCTATATATGTATATATTAAATAACGTATCATAGATAGAATGCAAAATATGAGTAGAAAATATGATGACATTTCCAAAAGTAAAATATTTATTGTTATTTAGATAGACATACGGTTCTGCTATTTTTGAATTTAATAAATTACTATTTGAAAATAAGTTATAACCATTCTTCATATCGTCATAAATATGCGAATTTATAGAGCATTCAATATTTTCTGAACTGTAATATTTTTCAAAATTTACAAAATTTAGAGGTAGAAATAAAATTATTAAATTATCAAATGGGAAACTTTCTTTACTTATTTCCAGAAAAGTCTTTAATATATATCCAACATGGAAATTCGTAAGTATCATTTCGTTTTTATATCCTTTTAGGGTAAAGATGAAAATATTGGGCACTACTTTATCATTTACCTTTTCATAGTAACAAAACCATTCTTTTTTTGTACTACATCTTTCTTGATACTTACATGTGGCTTCTTCTCTTTCTTGGAAATGTTCTTTCACTCTTTCTGTTTTTATATCAAGATGGGCATTATCCAAGTTCTGCTGATTACTAGTTACATTGGTCGGGTAGGGTAGGTTGTTCACGATTCCACGAGTCTGTTTTATTTCTAATTTATTTTTTCCATCACTTGCATCGCTATCTGAATCGTTATAGTACAAATTAACAAAGGATCTTTTTCTTGCATTAGATAAAACGGACATATTTTCTTTCGACGGGATGAGACCTTCAGTTAATTTTTCAGCCTTGGCAGCGGTTGCTTTATTTTTGACATTCCTGTGTTGATCGAATGAATAAGATTTACTATTCCTAGAAGGGTTGTCAGTTTTGTATAAAAATTCATAATTTATTTTTTGGAAATCTTTAAAATTTAAATTATTCAAATGTAGGAAATCAAAAATACCAGCATAGAGAGAAATTTGATGAGGATACAATTTTCCGCGCTTATTGGTGGACTTGTAAATAAAAAAGTTATTATTGCCAATTTCATAGAGGTTAATTAAGCTATTTGATGATATTACAAAGTATGGTTTTTCAATTTTGAATGACAATTCCCAAGAACATCTACTATAAATACTGTCTATTTTTGACAGGGTTGGGAACCAAGTACTATTACAGGCATAATTTTGCAGTGTTATAAGTATACTTTCATTCCTCTTAAAATATATATTGTTATAGTACGAAGTGCAATTGAAAAAAGAAAAATTCAAACTTACTTCTATATTAATTCTTATATTGTATTCTTCTTTTTTCTTTATTATAACTTTTTCTCCCTTGCAGAAATCTAGCCAGTTGGTATAATTTTTTTCCTTTTCTTTGTTCCATATTTCATCATCAAGAATTATGAACATATAGTTATTTCCCTTCTGATAGTTCTCATCCGTGTATTTATTTAAAGACAGAAGGTCTATGATATTTGGTTGGTGTTTATTTTCCCCCAGTTCGCCTTTGCATTTGTATCCTTCTTCTAGTTCTTTGCATTCCACATCTTCTTCGCGTTCTTTGCATTTCACATCTGTTTCGAGTTCTTTGCATTCCACATCTTCTTCGCGTTCTTTGCATTCCACATCTTCTTCGCGTTCTTTGCATTTCACCTCTCCTGTTTTCCATTTCCATTTTGAAGTGTTTTTTTTGAGCAGTGCTCTCTCCTTTTCGTTGTCGTTCCCCTTTCCCATAGATCCCATGGTAACTTGATCATTTTCAACGTATGATTTATTGTTCTGTGCAACGCTGGTATATATGACATAGTACCTGTTTTGATAGTTTCCATTAACTTTAACATCTTTGTAGGTACTAGAATTGATATTGTGTGGGATTTGAAGAACAACAAATATTTTTTTCTCTTTTTTCTTCTTCATAAATTTCGCGTAACATTTATCCTTTAGCAGGGGCACGTCCCTTGTGTTCTCTATGCTCGGTTCATCTGGCTGATTTAATTTGGAACCTTTTCCATGTTTTCCACGTTTTCCACGTTTGCTCGGGTTTGTAAAGCTATTCGAGTTAAGAGTTTCAGCAGTATTTGCGAATTTTCCTTGTTCGAAATTTTCATTTTCATCAATGTCTCTTTCATCTGTGGTCTCATCATCGTCTTCCACTCCTTCCTCTTCGTCTTCTTCTTCATCTTCTTCATCTTCTTCGTCTTCTTCTTCATCTTCTTCATCTTCTTCTTCGTCTTCTTCTTCATCCTCCTCTACGCACATATTCTCCCCTCCATGCCGTTTTGCATTTCTCCTAATTCGCACTCTATTTATGTCAAAATTGCAACTTTTATAATCTTCCTCATCATAGAGATAATAAATAGGCATATACAGTGCCAAGCTCATGGATGTGCTTCCTTCGATCCTTTCATTGTTCATGTCAATGTTGACTGAGAGTTCCTGTTTCTTCAATACAAATGAATGGCCCATTTTTTTCCTTCGCTGAGCCTTTTGTTATTTTGTTCACTGCACATGTGTACACATATCCGAGTGTACATCTATATATTTCTATATCTCTATATATGGTGTATATATATGTAGGGGTAGATAGTGACATATAGATTGATGGGTATATGGGTAAATATTTTCTCGTATCTTGCTACCTGTCTCTTTACAGTTTTAGCTGCATATCGCTAACTGCTATAAAAAGTAGTACCCTATGCTCGGAATGAGAGATAGAAGGGGCAAGAGACATAATCAGGTGACTTGTTAACTTAATTTTGTGGAGAAAAAATAAAAATAAAAATTCCTCCCAAAGGAATGCCTCCATATGGAAGTTTTTGTGATATAGTTGTTCTGCTTATCTTCTGAACTTGCTGTGTGCACATATGAATGCACATATATATGAATATACATGTATAATACTTCTTTCTCGTAAGAGAAGGAAACTGGAAACTTTTTTTCCACGGTGCATTTATGCGTCCTTTTTTATTCCTCTTCTATTCTTCTCTCTCGAATGAAGGGTATTTCCCTCTATGTGAATAAAGGTAAATATATATGTATAGTTCACTTTGTCATGTCCGTTCTAAGGAAACGTGATTTTGTGTTTTTTTTTTTTTTTTTTTTTTTTTTTTCCTGGCCTGACAACAAAAGATTATGGAAGAAAGTGTTGCGCGCAATTGGACGAACAAAATGGGGACGAGGGAAAAGGAACGTTTTTTTTTTTTTTTTTTTTTTTTTTTTTTACTTAAGAACCTTTTGTGACTTATCCCTTTCCAAAATGTTTATATAGGGATTCCTTCAAGGGATTATCATATATAAAACGTCTCATGAAGATAACACTTAAAATTTTTTTTGCACTTATATAATTTACAATTTTTTGTGCTTAAAATTTTTAGTATAACCCTATTTTAGCTAAGGGCTTTTAAAAAAAAAAAAGGAATATTGCCTAATTAAAAAATGAATACAAACAAATGATGATAACTTTATGCAATATACAGTACATGATAAAATTATGTAAAAGTACAAAAAAAAAAAAAAAATAAGAAATAAAAGTGGGGTGAAAAAATTAAAGCACTATACCAAGGAGAAAAAAACGCAATTTTTCTTGCAAGGTAGTTTTTTGCATCCATAGGAAAGTGGAATTATATATATGTATGTTTGATTCTCATGGTTGTGTAAGATCAACTCAATCTCAAATAATTATCAGTGGTTTATTTCAAAATATCCCTGATCCATTTTCCCTCCCCTCTATTACAAATAAGCTGGAAACCATACATTGCCTTTTAATGCATAAGCAAAATGAAGATACTACATATATATATATATATATATATATGAACAAAAAAAAAATTACGTTGTCAGTGGGGAAAACGATGTACACACATCCCTGATACATAAGGGGTTGTAGAAGAGATTGTAAAGATATATCTTATTATTTCATTTTCAAAATGGTTGAGAAAAGTGAACACACACAGATACCACTGTCTACATAAATATATATGAAGATACAAAGCACGTATATACATTTGTAATCGTAAAACATTTTAAAAAAGTGAATTATAGGATGGACTCAGAAAGATGTTATAAAATATACATATACAAAATGGAGAACAAAAAAAAAAAAAAAAAAAAATTGCAAGGGTTCTCAACACCAAAAGCGCTTTTTGTGAATTTAAATATATATACTCAAGGTTCATCAATAATACAATTAAATATATCTCCCTTTTTGCCTTTTGTCGTACCTTGTAATATATATAGTAATGGCCTTTTTTCATTGAGGCACACTTTCATTCAACAACAGCCAATATGTTCCTTTTTCATTTAATATTTCGGCACTCTTTATAAGATCCTAGGGGAAGGGAAGAATTAGTGGATGAAGAATAATCAATGATGAATCAAAAATGTACACAGTAGCTAAAATATATTCCTAGCGAAAGTTTATAATGGTAGAGTATTTTCTGGTATGTATTTTTAATAATGAATGACCCACCCCTCTACCCTTTCACCCTGGTACGAACAACAAAACGTTGATACGTACATGGGGCACACACGCACATATGAATACATACAAGTGTATTCATGCATATAAATGCATATATATATAAACATAAAGGAGAAAAAAAAAAGTGGTTGACACACAAATGGACGTATAAATGATTACCCCTTTGTGCTTGCTCACACCACCATATGCAACCAACTGATTGTTCCAAATAAAGACGACGAAGTTAAAACGTGGGAAATTTAAACTTGGTCCCCCTATCCATTCTTCCTTCTGAAAGTCATAAATTTCAACTGAATTTAGATCCTTCACGCCGGTTGATCCCCCTTAAAAAAAAAAAAAAAAAAAAAAAAAAACACCGATAAGTGGAGAGGAATATTGAAATAAAAAAAATGTTGGGAGAATTTTGCAGCTCTCAAAATTGTGAACTACGAAATGTGAGCCACCAATTTGACGTGAGAAGAATGGTGGCAAATATATAACCCAAGCAAATGTCATAACTATATATGTTGGAAAGGTGAGAAAGGTTGTAACGTAGTTGATACATTTGGATTGTGAACAACACAAGAGATAAGTGCTGAATTGAGTATATACACATGTTTAAAATATAACTCTTCTTACATATACCTATAGCATACAATTTGTCCTGAAAAATTATTGCTGCGTGTCCGAGACGAGCCTGCTTTAAAGGCTTGCACATAACCCATTTCATTTTTTTCTCCTTTAAATTTAACATTTCTACACTTTTGTGAACCTTACCATATTCTCCAATTCCATCTTTTCCCCCCATTATAAAAATCTTATTTTGAAAAATGATTGCACTTGCAGAATGTCGTACACAGTTTAGAGGGGGTAAGGACCTCCATGAATTAATTTTACTATCACAGTATTCTACGCTTTTTAAAATGTCTTGATTGCCTTCTCCTCCTAATATAAAAAGATCATTATCTTCGGTACATATTCCGCAAAAACTGGATCTAGGAAAATGAATAAGATTTATTTGTTTCCACATTTGTTTTCCTACACAATATTTTTCTACTAGGCCATATTTTTTTTCTCCATCACTTCCTCCAATGGCAAGTATTGCTCCATTTTTGGTTAAACATAAAAAATGGCCATATCTGAAAAATGGCAATTTTTTTATTTTCATTTTTACTGTATAATTTTTATCTTTATCACTCGTTATACGCATGGTTATTAATTCGCTATTGGAGAGGATTTTTTTTTTCGAGTCGTTCACAACATAGGAGTACACTATGTGCACTTCTCCGTCTGCTTCATCATCAACCATTTTGCTTTTTTCTGCTTCCCCCTTTCCTCCGTTCATATATGATTTGTTGTTTTCTGCAGGACATATTTGGATGCGAGCAGTCTTAATGTCATATGCACTATTTGCGTTATTGTCATTATTTGTTATTTGGATATTCTTTGTAGTGAGAGCATTTCTGGTAGTTCCTTCACTTGTTCCATTGCTAGTAAAACTTATGGATGTGAAAATATCGTCCTTATGTATTCCTTCCACATTATCGCTTGTACTAATTATGTTTTTTTCTTCATTCAAAAAGTCTGATTTGTTTATATCGATATTAGAAATATCCTTACTCAAAATACCCATTACGTAGATTTTAGGGAAGGGGAGCATATAAATTTGGAAACACGTTATTGATAATAGTGGGGTAGTCAAAGGAGATGGAAATATCTAAGCATTTGTACATCTGCATATATGTGTGTATATATATGTACGATAGTACATGTGAGTTAAAAAAAAAAAAAAAAAAAGGATACAACCAAAGAATCAGTGCATATTACGAGAAAAGAGCTGCTGCAGTTGATGTTTCCTATAAAAAGGGAAAAAAAATATATATTAGGGAATTAAAGTGTGACGAAGGGTAATAATAAAAAATGTGTAATTACTTTAAGATAGAAAATAACAGTGGAATAAAGGATATATGCAATGGTTCAAAAAAAAAAAAAGATATATATACTAAAATAAATAAGGTAGCATATGAGCTACGAAAAATAAGGGGGGGAAATGATATAGAGTATAGCTGCTAAATTTTGTTTATAAAAGAAAAAAAAAAAAAACATAAAACCTGTAAACACACAAACATTTTCGCGTACATGTAAAAAAGAAAAAAGAAAACTCCCTTTTGAAACATGTTTAAGTTGTAAGAAAAGAAAATATTTCTTTTTATTTTTTTTCCCGAGTTTATGAATAATATATGCAACCACATCCTTTATCCTATACAGGTGGAAATTTAAGTCATGTAACACTATAACTGTAACGATTTTTTGTGCATTACAAGAAACGAGTTCATAAATATTATACACACTAAGTTATCGTGATTTAAATCCCTTTAAAAAAAAAAGAACATAAGGCAAATTTATTTGCAAATTTGATTTTTAATAATCGAATTTTCCATGTTTCAGATTTTCGTAAAAATCGAAAAGGAAGAAATATATGTATTTTTCTTTTTTTTTTCTCCTTTATGAAAATTATAGAGCCTTTACAGTATGTCCCCAATGCAAGTGAATAATTAAAATTTTCTAATGTAAATAAAATAGAAAAGATGAGGTACATATAAAAAAAAAAAAAAGAAAAAAAAAACAGGTGCATACATATATGCTTACTCATGCGTGTGTGCAACATAATGATGACAGTTCTATACAATTTGCAATTTTTGCAAAATTGATAATACACTTTTACAAATTGTTTACAAAAGTGATGATATATATTAATTCAGGTTTATGAGCATATTCATTTTTAGCACAACTTACCATTTGTAAAGAGCACAATTGTAACTGTCGAATACGTCTGTTATTTTATTTCACTTTATTTCTTATTATTTATTTAAAAATTGGGAGTTATCCCTTTTTTTTTTTTTTTTTTTTTTTTTTTTTATAAGAGAATTTGCTTATGTAACCCATTTTTTATTTGTCCATTTTTTCTGTTACGTAAAATTCAGCTATATTCACCTTTTGAATTTGAGTTTATAACAAACATAGAAATGTTCTACAAAAAGCAAAATTAAGCTTATCATTCAAAATAAAGGAAAAAAAGAAAGGAAATTTTAACGTCGTAATAAGATTAAAAGACACCATTTTATTTTTCATATCGCTACAAAATTTGTGCCTTAAATTTGCACATAAGTATGGAAACGTGCTCTTACAAGATCGTAAACTAAAAAGAAAAAAATATTTTACTACCCTGTAAATAATGAGAAGGAAAGTTTTTTTTTTTTTTTTTTTTTTTAAAGAAAAGTATTGACATGACCCGTTCAGAAAATTTCTTTGTCCACAAAAAGATTTATATGTAGGAAGCGTAGAAAAAGAAAAAAAAATTCTTAAAATAGTCTAAATAGCCAAAACAGCTAAAATGACTGAAACAAGAAAAAATATGTACATAAAAAGTATGAAGAAAAAAAAAAAATAATTACATGTAAAATAAGAATTCCTCCAAGGACAAAAGTTTTAATCACCATTTTAAAAATAAAGAACAACGTCTTTTTCTTTTTAGCTTAACATATATTTTTTTTTTCTTTTTTTTTTTTTTTTTTTTTTTTTTGTGTGTGTGTTTTTTATAATTCCCCAGATTTGGGTTTTTTTTTTCCCTTTTTTAAATTTCACACTTTTTTTTTAAATTTTTTTTTTTTTTTTTTTTTTTTTTTTTTTTTTTTTTTTAAAAAGTAATAATTTTTTTTTCCAATTAAATTTATATTTTTGAAAAAAGAAAAAAAAAAAAAATTTTTAAAAAAAAAAATATTAAAAAAGCTAAAAAGACAAAAAAAAAAAAAAAAAAAAAAAAAAAATGAAAAAAAAAAAAAAACAAAAAAAAAAAAAAAAAAAAAAAAAATAAAAGAAAAAAAAAAATTCCCCAAAGAAAAAAATTTTAAAAAACATTTTAAAAAAAAAAAAAAAAGTTTTTTTTTTTTTATTTTAAAATATATTTTTTTTTTTTTTTTTTTTTTTTTTTTTTTTTTTTGTGTGTGTGTATTTTATAATTCCCCAGATTTGGGTTTATATTTTCCCTTTTTTAAATTTCACACTTTTGTTTTACTCAATATTTTGTTTTTTGTTTTTTTTGTTTTCTTTTTTTTTCGTGAAAAAGGAATAATTTTTCATAATTAAATTATAATTTTTGAAAAATGAAAAGCAGCGTGTGTAAATATGGCAATATAATTATGTCTAATTAACTATTATGAAAATCGTTTACCTGATATAGCTTTATAAATTTGTTCATAAAAAAGAAAAATTGAATTTTAATTTTGTATCTATTTAGCTTTATAGAAAATTTTCTATTTATGCTATAAGCAATTGTCGAAACTTTTGCATTCTTAGCAAGAGTTACGTATAAAATTCCACCAAAAAAAAAATAAAAAAAGTAAAAAAATGAAAAAAGCCCACAAAAAACAGTAAGAACTTGAAGAAAATAAAAGAGAACAAAAAAATAAAATAAAAATAATTGGAACAGTTATATAATAATTTTATACATTTATGTCCGTGTCTTCAGAAAGAGTCTTTTTATAGCCTGCCCATTCTCTTAAGATATCTATATGACAAACTGTTTTTACGTCCACATTCAGTTGCTGCTGATATATACGTGTGTATAAATATAAAGGGTTGTATAATTTGAGGCTCACATAAACTGACACATGTATTCCCTTTTTTCATTTTATTTATTTATTTTTAATGTACTAATAATGTTGCAACCATGAAAGTATTTAAAATTGAGGATATTAAAATCTAAGCGTCATTTTGAGATTAATCTAGTGTTTAAAAAAAAAAGTAACATCCCGTGGACGACCGTTTTTAGTGCAGTCAACGTGTTTAACATTATAAATACGTGCGTATACATGCATATGCATAGCCATATATATTGGCATAAAAATATAATAAAAAACAACTGTTTCCCATAGTAGATAATAAACGCACCTACGCATAAAATAAAAGCCATATAGTTCTTCTTTGTTCTTCTTTACTTTTTTATATGAAATACGGGCTTATAATGGACGAAACAAATGAATCAAGATGTGAAAAAACATATACGTCAGATACTGTATCAGAACGCTTTGTAAGTAAGCAGGGAGGATATTTTAACAATAACAGTAATAGTGAGAGTAACAATAACAGTAATAGTGAGAGTAACAATAACAGCAATAGTGACGGTAATAGTGGTAGCTATAGTGGTAACAATTGTGATACCAATAATAAGGGCAATGCAAATAGCCATAGCCACCATAATTGTAATTGTTCAAAGAGTAACTTTATTGGTGAACCCAGCAAATTCTATAAAAAAAGCATAACAGTGGAACACAGCAGCGATAATGAACATTCTTTTGGGAAAAATAAATATAAGGATTACTCAAAACAAAGCACACTAAACATAGATAATAAGGATAATGAGAATGTGACAGATCATTCCTCAGAATTTAACGATTTTTGTATACAAAAGGAAAGAAAAGGCTACAATAGCAGTTTCAAGAAGACTTGTAAAGGGTATAGTGAACAAATTTGTGAAGTGGTTTCCAATACAGATGATTTTAGTAACGAAAAACCCTCCAATAGAAATGAAGTAGTAACTTCTCAAATGAACGAAAATGACATTTTCACCCCCTGTAAGGAGAAAAGGGACATATCCATCTACAAAATGAACGGAAGAAACTTAAATATAAGAGTTACGAAGGAGAGTGTGATAAAAGAAACGGGAACGAATCAGAACGAAAAAACCGAATGTGAAATGCCCAAATGTGAAAAAAACATGGATGAAGAAGGTGAAGAGAATTCCATAAAAAATGAAGAAAACGATTCAATATTGTATGAAGGAAATGAGAAAAATTCCCAGAATATATCAAAAATCTACAGGGATACATTGGGAAACAATTTAGACATTAATTGGAATAAATCACAAATAAAAACATGCATTAGAATTAAGCCATTAGATACAGTGGGGAATCCATCAGAAAATGTAGTTACACAAAAGGGACAAAACAAAATATTAATTAATTACGGAATGCAGAGTGAAAATAAGAAATGTGAATTTTTGGTGGATAGAATTTTTAATGAAGGCAGTACACAATCTGATATTTGGAGAAGTATTTGTTTTTGCATAGATTCTATTTTTTATTTTAAGAATGCAACTATATTTGCTCATGGTCACACAGGGACAGGGAAAACATACACCATGATAGGTCCTGATGTCATGGAGCTAATTAAAAAAAAAAAAAAAAAAACTAGATATTTTGCAAAACGAATTCAGCCAATTGAATTGTTAATAAATACAAATAGTTTAAAGATTCTAAATAATAGCAGCAATAGTAACAGCAACAATTTTTTATACGACAGAAAGAGGTCCTGTTCACAACCAATCTTTAACTTCCCCCCTAGAATGATCCCTTTAGCAAATGGAAATTATAGCAATTATAAGAAAATGTACGATGTGCCAAACAATACTGCATGCAGTGGTCCCTACAATTCTGCTAACAATTCGTCAATCAGCACACCAAATTGTTCCCACAATCCTAGGTATTATCACAAGTCTAATATGGAGTGCATAAGTGAAAATAATTACGGAAAGTATGAAATTTACAAAAACTTTTCTGAATATCAAAGCGAGTATAAGCCTAATATGAAAAGTTTAAAAGATGAAATTAGGTTAATTATGAATTCAGAAAAAAAGGGTATGATACCTAGGGCATGTGAGGAAATAATGAATAGACTATCGTTGATGAAGGCTTTTCGTAGTGGGGTAGAAGTGTGCCGTGATGAAAGAGAACGCATGGATAGTGAAAATCGAAGTGACAGTCAAAGTTACGATCGTGGTGATGTTCAAAATGGTGCCCGTGACATTCCGGCAGGAAAAACAAAAAGGCAAGAAAATTGCCTCGACGAGCTACGCGAAAAGAATAAAAAAAGGAAGGATGTGTTTAAAAGCGTGAAGGTATACGCATCTTATATGCAACTGTACAACGATAGAATATTTGATTTATTAAATCCGTATACGGAACCACAACTTTATTTAAGTACGAAAAAGTCTAAATTCTCGAATAACACCACGTCCGTTTCTGGTTTATTGACTGTAGAAGTTACAAGCTGTGAAGAGTTGATAGAACTGTTGATAGATGGCACAAGTAACAGAGCATGCAGAATTACGAAAACGAATGAAATGTCGACAAGATCACATTCAATATTTAAAATTGAATTAAGGTATATGAATAGTTCTAAGCCAGAATGTTTTAAGTCAGGTAATTTATTACTAATTGACTTGGCAGGGAATGAAAAATATGCAGCATCTAATGAAAAATTATATACTACAGAAGTGTGTTCCATAAATCGAAGTTTGTCAGCTTTGTCACTTTGCATTAATGAGTTGTCGAAGGGTAATAAAAACATCAGCTATAGAAATTCTATATTGACGAGGTTGCTACAAGATTCATTGGGTGGATCTAGTAAAACTGTTTTCATATGCACCATATCTGCGTGTATGAGAAATGCACGTGATACCCTGTCCTCCTTAAAGTTAGTATCAAAGGCAAAAAAAATACAAATCGAAAATAGGTGTAACAAGACACTCGTATATGAAGAGGATATAAGAAAACTAAAGAAGGAACTACATTTTCTGAAAAAATTTGTTTTTTTTCAATATATTACAAATAAGTACGAGAGTCGGAAAAGATTGAAAAAAATAAAAGAATTTTATATTGCCAACTCTGCGCTTGCTAAGGAGGAATCCATTTTTCATCGTCCCAGTGTTGGTTCCTATGGGGGAACAGTTGGTATCGATAGTGGTAGCGGTGACAGCACTGTTGATAGAAGTAGCGCTTGTAGTAGAAGTTCCAATGGTGAAATTCTTGAGGACAAGGAAATGTGTGATAAATGGAGAAATCGGAAGGGGATCAAAGAGGAGATAGACATTCCGGAAGAAGGGAGAATGGTCGGAGAGGAATTAAACGAAGTTGATTCGAATGAATATAGGAATAATGCAATTGGAGCCAACGGATGTGTAGATAACAGCGCTGAGAATAAGGAAGCAAACGAGAACGAATATCATAGCATGTACGAGGGAATAGAAAACATTTATAATGATTATGAACTTACGTCATTCAACTCTCTTCTATATCAGTGGAACTTGAATAAGTCTAGTATTAAAAAGGTAAAGGAGAAATTATTGAAAAACCTAAATAATAAAAAGAATTTTTGGTTTCACTTCAATGGGAATATAAACAAAAAGAGCATCATGAACTTTATAGAAACGCATACAATCGAGTATGAGATAGAAAGTGATGGAGAACTATATAATGAAAGTAGTGATAGTCATGAAAATGTGGTTATGGGCGAATACGAAGAAGAGGAAATAGAAGAAGGAGAAAACTGCATTGAAGAGGTAGGTGATTATAACGAAAATGACTTCGATAACAATAGCAATTATGATGGAAGTAAAAATAAAGATCAGCAAGGCAATGCGAATTACGACAACGTGGATGGAGAGGAAAATGAAATTTCTAGCTCTTATGAAGATGTCACATGTACGAGAGAACAAACATTGCAGGAGAATAACGCAAGGAGCAATGAAGATAATATAAAGGATGAAAAAAAAGGTGTCGAAATATTCCGTCCTCATGACTATGGTGATAATAAATGTATCATTTTGGATGGGAAATGTAGAAATATTTTGAAAGAGAGAGGTAATATAAGTGATGATCATGAGGGGTATGTAGTAAAGAGGGGTGTTATGGAAAAAGAAGGCCGTAACCATTGTATCATGAATAAGGGGGAGAATAGCGAGAAAAGGGAAAATGAAGATCCAAATATAAATTTGGAAAAAGTAAAGGATACCATTTACGCAGAAGATGTTATAAGCTATAAGACAATGAAAAAATGCAACAGTAAAAAATTAAATTGTACACCGGAGGTGACAAATGCAATATTTGTGCAAAATTACAATTCTGAAAATGTAGAAAAATCGCAAAGTAATAAAAAAAATGGCACTTCCGTTTTAGGAAAATTTGCAGGATCCACAGAAAATACCCAATACATGGATATGATTCCAAGGGATAAAAATCTTAGAGGAGAAATGAGAAAAGAAGGGAACTTACAAAGGGGAGGGGTAAATGAAGGAATTAATTCATTTTTTTGCAATTTATCTATGAGTATTAACAAGAGAAAAGGGACTAGTAGGATTTGTAAAAATAAGTCACATGAACAGGGTGTGATGAATGTAACCGAACAAAAAAGAAGAAAAAAAAAGGTCATAAAATGTATAAAAACAGAGAAAGAGAGAAACATATATAATACCTGGAACAGGAATGGTGGGTGCAAAAACAATGTTGAGAAAACCTCTTTGTTCTCGAATGGTAGAGGAACTTACAGAAAAAAAAAGTACGCTGAATTGCATAAATTTAGTAAATGCACGCACTTGTTGGATGTAAATTATGGAACGGATCTAACTTCATCGGATAATGCCACGTATAGGAGTTCATTCAAGAAGGGTTTAGTGAATGGTATAGGTAAGAAGATGAGTGAAGTTTGGAAAGGTACAAAAGAAAATATCATGACTAGCCATGCAGAAATAAATGGAAAAGACTCAAAAAGAATGGAAGATCCAACAGAAAAAGGGGATGGCTGGAGGAGAGAAAAAAAAGATCTCAGTGATGGCTTCCAAATGAAGAAGACACTTTGCTCTAATTCCATGAATTATAAATTGGGGCATAGGAGTGATGAACAGAATAATCTATATAATTTACCCAATCTACAGTATCTATTGGAATTAAGTAATCTAAATAAGAAACACAATTTTGTTAATAATGTGGGGATAAATAACATGGTAATTAATAAGGTTAATATTTTCCCCAATTCGAAAGAAGAAAAAATTTATGGTGGGAATGTGTGTGAGATGAAAAATAAAGACTTATTTGTCCTAAGAGATGACATAGCAAGTGGTAAAATAAAAACAAATGGAAGTGTTCCAGTTGCAGTGTCAGTTCCAGGGAATTACATAGAAAGGGATAATTTAACTGGAGAAAAAAAAGAGCACAGAGGGAGATCCGTCAGTGAAAATTGTTGTTTGAGCAATTGGAAGAATAAAACTATTATAGGACAAAATAGCAAGGGGAAGTTTGCGTATTATATCGAATTTGACAAAATTAATGATGTGAAAAAATATATCACAGATGGGAATATAACTACCAATATGAGAAAGGGGAATAATAATGATTTGAAAATACATAGTGAGGAACACGTCGAGGACATATATAGAGGTGTAAAAAATAGAGTGGACAGTTTTGATAAAAAAAAAAAAAAAAGAAAAAATCATTTAATTGCACAAATTGAGGAGAGCTGGTTAAATTTTGAGAAAAAATTAGAAACAAAACTGATAGGAAGAAAAGAAATGAAAAAGGATGCTCAAGGAGGTGAAAGTGATAGCAGCAAAAGAAAAGCGATACAGGCATGTGATAGAAGCAAACTGAGCGCATTGGATGAAAATAAGAAAAAGTTAGACATATTAAAAAGTCGTTATGAGAAAATACTGGTATCCAAATCTCAAAAAAGGGATTCTAAAGATGTCTCTTTGTTGTGCCATTCTGTTGGAGGTTTCGACACTAAGAACAGTATTGCAGGATACAATAGTAGCAGCTGCAATGGCCTTGGTACGACAAGGGGGGCTGCTTTTTCAGAAAGTGGTATTAGCACCATTCCATCTGCACATAATATTAGAGCATTCAAAAATATAGAGTTTCAGAGTCCTAAAAAAAAAAAGAGTGATGTATATAGAGGCTATGAAAACGTTATTCAGCATAACATGAGTAATAATCCAGTATCATTTGAGGAGGAAATTACTAGTTGGAGGAAGAAGGGATTTACACATGATAATAATAACACCGTAAAAAAGAAACATGATTTAAGTAGAACCATAGTAGGAGGTGCAGATAATTTTCAAGAGTTTATAAGAATGTCAGATCCAGAAAGAGGAAAACGATTCTTTGTTCATAACAATCTAAACGGAACCTATACAGGAATGGGAAACAAAAAATGGTACAAAAGTGAAATAGTAAATAAATTAACAAATTCGAAGATTGAAGAAAGGGAAGACAGCCAAATGGAAAAACTAAAATTGGAAATTACTAAAGGGAAAAAGGTGCATAAGACTAATACTGTGGGGAAAGTATATGTCCTGAATAGCACAGATTTGTGTAGAGGGGAAAATAATTCTACAGGAGCTGAAAATTTAAGAAAAAATATGAATCTAAATGAAAATTTGATTTTCACAAGAGAATATAATGCCAGGGACGATTGCACTTATGTCAACAATAGAAGCAATGTTGATGGGTCAGATAAAATTACGAAAAAATGGAATTATCATATGGTTAACAGAAATGGATTAGGTACACGTAACAATTCGAAGAATGTTCAGTTAGAAAGAAAGACATCAAGCAGTGGCATAAGCAACTGTGTATTATTATCCACGCAAGGAAATTTTCAAAATTGGGAAGGGTATACTAGCGGAGGAGTAGTATCAAAAAGAGAGGACACACTGTGCAGAGATATTGCTGCAAGGAGAAGAATGCAAATAGGGAAAAACAAACCGAAAATTGAAATACTTAATATGAATAAGTATGGTGGAAAATATATGGAGGAAGAAAATGTTCAAAATGGTTATGTGCATGAAAAGGAAAATAATTCTTCAGATGTATGCTATTACAAAAGTAGAAAAATGCATAAGATGGATTTTTTTCATCCCAATGCTGGTAGCATTTATGACAACTATGAAAATCCTGAAAACGTAAAAATGAGAAATTGCAATTACACAAATTGTCATAGAATATATCATAATAATAAAATTAATTATGGGAATAGTGTGATACCTTATAGCAAGAAAACGAAAATGAATGAAAGTATAAAAAATATTCATTCGTATAGTAATGATTTTCATTCCGATAAACTCATTGTTAAGAATGGTATAATTTATGGAGAAAAAATTAATAAGGTACAAGATGTACTTCCTACGCATGGCAGTGGCCATAAGGATAAGGTCGAAATGTATTTTCATGATTTTAACACAAATGAATTTAGACAACTCAAATTAATACATGGAAATGCTATGAAATGTGATCGACCGATTTACAAGGCCAGTACATTCAAATAAATTTAAAAAAAAAAAAAAAAAAAAAAAAACGAGATAAAAAGGTTGGTTTATATATATTTCATCCCTGAAGTGAAGGAAACAGTTGTTTTGTAGACAAATTATTTTCCTTTTGAATATTTTTGGAGTGGTGTATGTATACAAATGAGAAAAAGAGATATAATAAATTCTAAAAAATTAGAGAACAAAGCGGTACATCGTTCAGAATCCATGGGTCCCAATTTCTATCAATAATAATATATCACACGCAGCATATTATTTATGTGGACAATAATCTGTTTGCACAAATAGATTTTACTAGTTAATCTTTAAAAAAAAAAAAAAAAAATTAATCTTCAGAAAAATATACATATCTAGGTAGAGCTAAATATCAAATGTTGAAATGAAATAATGAGATAATGTTTTATGAATCGAGAGATGAGTGTTTTTCCATGCGTTTTGTGTGGTTGGGAGGGTTGCCAATGAATTATTAACTTATTATTTTATCCCATTTAAGGTAATGCATTTGGCTAGCTTTTCCGTATAGCATTATGTTTTTTATTTTTTTGTTTTTTTTTGTTTTTTTTTGTTTTTTTTTTCCGCTTATGATTTCTTTGTGACAGGTATTACATGTTAACCTGTACCTCTTCCATCAATCATCGTTTATTTATAAAAATCCCATGTTTGAATGCAATAGTATACTCAATCAGTCGTGCATTCGGATGATTAGTGAGTTTATAAATTAGACCGACGGTTAGATGTGGCGGAGAGGGAATGGGAGGCATATAACTTTACACATATCCACTTGTCAGACTTTTACTTTAATTATTTATGTGCATGCGAATTTGTTTTTTTGTTTTTTTCCATTTTTTTACAGCATGCAAGTGTGTTTTTTTGATGGCGGTATTTAATTCCACCAGCTTGAGTTTGACCATATTTGCAATTGTTTCTTGTTTTATCAACTTTGTTAGCTTTTGCTATTTTTGCCAACTTTCTTAATTTTGCCAATTTTGTTGATTCTCCAGTTTTGATACTGTTACTAATTTTTTTCCGTTGTGCACATTTTATTTTCCAAGAATTATTTTAACACCTACAGATAGGTTTTTTATTCCTCTAAGGAACATTTTTAAAAAGTGCCGTTTTAATATGTTTATTTAAGAATGAAAAAACACGGTAGAAGTGCTATGGCTTCTGTCATCAGATGTTTACGAGTTATGCGTAAACGAAGATAAATTTTAAGGGTATCTTGTGTATTACAAAAAAAAAAAAAGAAAAAGAGTGGCTTAAAATGGTGGCATAATAGGTGACTTAAGAGGTGGAATAATAGGTGACTTAAGAGGTGGCATAAGAGGTGGCTTAAAAGGGTCGCTTTATGAATCATATGACATATAAGCCACGTTTACTCATAAATTATTGTCTACGTAAGGATTATGGGGGGTCACATTTTCCTTCTCCTTGAAATAGTCAAGTGTGTTGATTTTGTGATTCTTGGGTTGGTAGTTATAGTTCAAATTCTGCAGAATGTATTCTAGGTTAATTTCCTTTTGTTTTTCCTTTTTCTCCTTCACGTGATTGCTATGGAGATTGTCTCTGAGAGGAGGACTATTACAATTATGTTGGTCTCCATCAAGGACTTCATCTGGATATTCATCTGGATATTCATCTTGATTTGCACCTTGATGTGCATCTTGAATTGTCTCTTGATCACCGCTGTTATAATTAATTCTATGCCCCCTTTTGCCGGTGAAGTTTTGAGAGGAGTCACTGGTTTTGATGGTGCAATTTAAGGGCTCCTTTTTAATTGATTCTTTTATCAACCCGCAGTTTTGCAAATTTTTCAAAAAAATATATTCATCATGGATATCTTGATCAAGGCCTAATGTTTTGTATTGCTGTGTATTACTCATTCCGAATGCGTCTTTTTCATATTTTACTACTTTTTCATTAGTACTTACTTGATTAGTGTCTAATTCACATAGAGCGTTTATCATCTGTTCATCTTCGCTCAATGGTTCTGACTTATTCAACAGAACAGAGTATTTTTTATTGTCATTAGAATATATATTCTTTGTATTTATTACTGAAAATGTATTAATATTACTATCGTTGCTTTTTGAGTTTGTTCGTTTTTTGCCTTCACTTTTGAAAAAATTAGTTATCCTCAATTGTGTTTTATTCTTTTCGTTTCCCACGGATATTTTACTCTTCGATGGAGAAGAAAAAGATGATGGATTGTTTTTTCTTTCGGGTTCCGTGTGAATATTATTTATTTCATTTTTTTCCCTCATCGAATTGTTATCGAAATGGGAATGATTATTCTTTTTTTCACTGGGGCTTTTGTTACACATTTCGCTACAAATTTCGTCTTTCACATTGCTGTGTGCATATGAGTTCGCATTTATGTGTACACCATTTTGGATGTTCTGTTTTTGATCACAAATTTCGGTTTCAAGAGAACTTCCAATATCATCTTTACATTTCTTGATCATGCATGTTTCTTGAATTTTTCTTATATGTGCATATTCATCTTCTGATGCAGTGGGTTCATATTTTGATTCCTTGTTTAAAAATTGCGTTTGGTTGTCCGTTTCATCACTCAATGTTTTAAAGAGGAGAAACTTTTTCTTCATATTATCATACATATCCCTTGCGCTTTTCATTTTATTCACCTTTCCACTTGAGTTAGTAAGGTCTCCATGGGATATTCTATCTATAACATGGATTCCTACATCTCCTATGTCGTACTCATTACTTCTGTCACTTCCAGGATTCCATTTATTTTCGCTATCATTAATTTTCGTTATGTTTTCACAAAGGATATCCTCTTTAAGGCTACGTATCTCTCCGGAGTGCACATTTTCCAGTTCAGGTAATAGCTTTTTATTTTCTTGAATCATGTTATGACTGTTTTGTATAATATTATTAGGGTCATTTATTTCTATTTCATCCAAAAATTTTGTACACGTTTTTCCATTTGAATTTACTGGAATTATGGTGCTTGTTTTTGCTTTCTTAAAATTAAAAGAGTCAGTGACATTTGCTTTTCGTTTATTCAATTTTGCTTTTTCGTTTTTTCCTGATGTGTTGATATCACTACTGTTCATATTTTTACATGCATACTCATTCCTTAAAGTAGAATCTTGAAAAAAATCCAATTTTGTGATTTCAATATTGGGCTGAAAATTAGGGATTTGCATGTGGTCACTTTGGTCGGGAGGCAATCTGATGAGCATTTCTTCACAGCGATTTTCCTTTTTCGACATTATTTTTTCGTAATGATCTTGTGCATATTCTTGGAGAGTGGGTTGATGTCTATCATGGCAACCTATTTGCCTATGTGAATCCATTTGATCACTCCTCATGGAATATATAGGAGGAGACTGGTCCTCCTTCTCTTGATACGTCTTCTGATGGTGAGACTGATTTTCTTGATAATTTTTGAACAAAATTGGGGATATTTCTAAATATTCGAGGCACTCATATGAGAAATTTTTAAAAATGTTTTCGAAATTGTTTGGTTTGTGTAAATGTGTATTCTTCTGTATTTCGTTTTCGTTTGAACGAAATGAGAGGATTTCCCTAGGTACATTTTGATCTGCATTTTTTTCCATTAGTGCATTGTTTTCCTGTTGTTTTTGATTTGCATTTTCAGCATTGCTGATACTTCTTTCCGTGCTACGGTTTGCAGACGAAATTGAATATTCATCCATAGTGTCACTAATGGAATCTCCTTCGTTGTGTCTGTTCAAACAGTTCCCTTTTCTAGTGGAATTGTTATAAATTAAAGAATAATCGGATATTTTGTTGATAAGCATTTGGTTATCCTTTTCTTTTAGTGCACTATTAAAGGATTGGTTAATGGAAATATTTTGGCACAGAATAAAATCATAAACCTGGTGATGTAAAAAGGCATTTTTAATTTCTTCATATTTGTTTAGCAATTTTTCTAAGGTATTTAAATTGGGTGGTATTTTATGCTTCCATTTGTCATGGGAAATTAAGAATGAAAAAATTTGTTCAATATTTTTATACTGATATATTAAACTAAAGGCAGTTTTTATGCCCATTCCTGTTATGTGAAAATCGTTTGTGTAATCACAGCCGCTTAGAATACACATTGCTAGGAACATGTCAATATTGAAATGTTTTAGTTTATCTAATTCTTCTGGCCAGTAAAATTGGTCTAAATATTCTTTCATTGTTTTTTCATAATTTTTTTTTTTTTTTTCTTTTTTCCTTTTACTGTTTTTATTTGTGTCTCTACGATGGTTCTTATATCGGTTCGTTCTGGAAGTATTAGAATTGGTGACACTGGATAGATCTTGCTTGTCAGCATCTGAGCATTCACTTTCTGTGTCATGGGGTTCTTCCTTCATAGGAGTTATGTAAAACTTATTAAACGAATCAGAAAATGGGTTCCTAATTTTGTTAATGACATTTATATCAATTAAATCATTAATTGGCAATAAACTGATTTCATTGCATTCTCCATTATTTTTGAATTTATACAGTACCCGAGGACAACCATATACTAACAAATCACTGTCTTCACTTATAACACATGAAATATATCCCATTCGACAAAGATAAGATAGTTGAGCATCAGCTTCGTAAGGTGAAATAATATAATCAATATTTTTCTGTTTACAGAAATTGATAACTGTATTGATAATATCTTTTGATACACTTAATGCTTGTATACATTTTTTCAAAACAGTTTCGTTTGATCTTGGATTTTTCACTTTTTTGATTATTTCATGTGCTTCTTTTTTTGCCTTTTCTCTTCTATCTTTTCTTATCATATTTTCTGTTTTCTTTTCAGGTAATTCCTCTCCATCGAAAACGAAGATTACCTTTATATTGTAATGATAAATGCACTCTAGCATTTTTTCAATAAAACTTAGATAACTGTCATTGAAGTTTTCCGTTACTATGTCATACGCACAACTGATTAGACCTCTATGGATCCAACACATGATATCCACACCGATCACTTCATTTTTGTATTTGCTTATATGTGAGTTCTTAACAATAGGTTTTAGGAATTGGAGCAAGTTGGAAATTCCCATTTATTCCTTTGGAAAGGTCGTTATCTTTGATAGGAGATGCAACCGCAATGTCACGGATGTATGTATATATAAGTGGGCATATGTGTATATATGCAATGTGCAGTGTCAAATGCTTCAGGTGACAATGAGGGGGGGAAGAAGAAGAAGAATAACATACACTGAGCTTAATAAAATGCAGCACAATGTGTGTTTGTGTTCGGAAAAATGTTATGCATTGAATTTTCTTTGTTGCTGATTTGAATTGAATGTATGCAATTTGCTACATAGCTGGAAAAATGGATATGACAAGAGAAAGGAGGAAAGGGTGGGAAAAACTGTGTAACAAGGTAAATGGAGAGTAAAAAATGGTTAAAAGGGTTAATTCCTATTTTGGTGAAGTAATGAAGGGCTGTGTAAAAAGCTCAGTAACATTTTAAAACTGGAAATAATGATTTTTTTTTTTTTTTTTTTTCTTATTAAGTTTAATATGAGGAACTAAGAAGTGTAGTTCGGAATTTTGTTAGCGACATTATGGGGTTTAATACGGGTTGGTAATAATTGAAAAAGCATCATGTTCAAGTGTATATTTTCATGTGCATATACACCTCCCCCCACCCCAAACTCGTGAATATGCAAGGCGGTCTTGATACTTTCACTTCTTTTCCCCCTTTTATTGTTATTCATTTATTTATTTATCTATGTATCCACCTACGTACTTATTTATTTATTAAGTTGAAAATGGTACAACTTTCGTCTTTTTATACATTTGTGTGAATTCGACTTGGTTTTATTTACTCAGTTCTGGTTAAAATAAATATTTAAAAGCGTAGCAACAAATAGTAAAATGAGCAAAAGTTATATTATAAAACATCATACACAGAGTACAAGCATATATATATATGTACATGTATTATGATACATTTTTGATTCATAATTGTGCTATACAGAGACTCCTCTCCCCACCTTAAATGTTTTCCTTCATGTGCAACAAATTTTGTGCCTTTTTTTTTTTTTTTTTTATAAATGCGTCATCTAGTATTATGGTGCAATGTTTTTATATGTACATGCACAAAGTGATTATTTATTTTTATTTTTTTTTTTTTTTTTTTTACGACGTATTCCTTTTTTTGTATACTTTTACAGCATGAACGTTGAAGGGGTGGGTAGTTATAAGAACGAAGTGGTTGAAACAATTTTTGATTATGCTTTTTAATTTTTTTCTTATCATATTTCTCTACATATACCTTTAAGGAATTAATTAGAAAATAAGTATTTTTAATTTTTATTCACTTTTTTTTATGGACTTATGAATAAGAACCTATGGAAATTGGAGGGGAATTTCTATAAATATATAACAGCTTGTCAACGGAGTTGTAATTATTTTATTTACATATATATATATATATATATATATATATATATATATATATATATATGTTTTGTTCATAAATTCGCTGCTATAAATCATTTATAATATGTGAGTTTAAGAATAAAAAAAAAATAATAAATAAAACATTTGAAGGTGCCAAAGTTGGGTAAACATTTAAGGGGAATTTTTTTTTATCGTCGTTACCACCAGTAAACTTTTTTTTCCTAAACCATGATCTGGATATTATAGTTTTTTGCAACCAATTTTATGATCTCAAGAATTTACAAGGGATATGTGTGTCCATTTTTCCCCATTTTTTTTTTACATAATATTAAGAGACAAAGATTGAATGACCTGGAGTATAAGGAAGATCAAAGTGAAAATTTTGTACTTATTATATAAGTTGACAACATAGGTTAGGCGTTGAGATAACAAGGTTAAAACATTGCATATGTTAAATCATATGTTTTTCACATATGTGATATTGAAGGGATTTATTTCAAACAAATTGTACTTTTTGAAAAAGAAATGATAAAATAAAATGGGTGTCCTAAAATTGAAAAGTGATAAGAAGAGGAAAGAAAAGTGTAAGGAAACTAAAATAGATTATGCAAAATGTATAAAAAAAACAAAAGTTAAAGAAAAAATAATTCGAAAAGAAGTTGAAAATGATTTTGATGTTTCTATATTTATGAAAACAGACCACGCTTCCAGTAAAATACGACAACTGAATTATGCAAAATTAGTTAAAGGGATGAGAAAAAACAAAAATTTAATTACTAACCATATAGAAAAAATTCTGGAAATTTATGGAATGGGTATTATAGATGAAGATGAAAATGTAAGAAATTATTCTTCTAAAATATTTTACCATTTGATAAATAGTAATATAGATTTTGACATTTTCCATAGCAAGGTTAAAACTTGTTTGTTCCATTCTTTGAAAATAGAAAAGGTTTCTTTAAAAGTGTTAAATCTAGAACTGTGTCATATTTTCTTCTTTACAAAAATTGAATATTGCTATAAGTTTTTTTACGAATTTTTGAATAACATTTTGAGTTGCTTCGTGTCTATCCCAATTGAGCAGCAAGTCAGAACTGTAAAATATTTCTTCCTCTTATTCAAGTACAAAGTTAAGTATAAGCGATGGAAAAATGAGAAAAAGCACATCAGTGAGAAAAGTGAAATGAGTTGGATAAGGAGTAAGGGAGAGTCCAATCCGCTTGAGTCTAAAAGAGGCACACTAAGAATACGCTACGAAAATCGGGATAGAAATAATGTGACAGTTAATGGCGACAAATATTCTTCTCATCATATGATGAAGAAAGGAGAAAGAGACACAGTGGAAGAAGATATATATATGAACGGAACACAGATGAGGGGGCGTTCCCATCGAATAGATACAAATGCTGATTCTGGAATGGAATCGGAGGATTGTTACCAACTTATAACATGTATGAACAGACGAAACAGTCATTGTGATCCTTTTTTACTGAAGAAAGACATAAAAGTTAGTATCAAGATGGTGACAAAAATGGGTATATATACAAAATTGCTGAAGTGTTTTCATAATTTTATGGATGAAGTAACTTACAATTCAATCAATGTGGATTTGATTCATTTATATACTAAAATTTTGAAAATAATAATACTTATAATAAAAAAAAAGAAAAAACAAATTTTTAAAGAAGAAATGATGATACTAATTAAAAAATTTATAAAAAAGGCAATTGAAGTTATCAATGAAAATATAGTAAATTTAAGTAATTCCAATAAGGGAGTAAAGAATATGATATATTATTTCATAGTCCTGATTACAACCTTGTGCATAAAGACTATGGATCATTTGGAGGATGTAAATAAGAATATATATATGAATCCTTTTTGTTTAGTAAAGTATTGCCTCTCTATATATTTCTATGTCTTTATAGATTCTGAATTTTTTCCCATAATAATAACAAATCGGATGTACGGAAAGAGTGGACTAGACGAGGTAACGTACACCACTGATGAAGGAAAAAACCAACAAAGGTTTATAGATGTGCCAAACGGAGATTTAAAGGAAAATGATTCATCCAGTTTTACTGAGTATTGCGCCTATAGTAAGAAAAATAGCAATAATGATGGATCCATAGATGGAAGGGATAAATTTTGCAATGAAAACAGGAAGAAAGAGCCAAGCAGAAATTCTGAGAAATACTCAAAAAAATACTTTCATCTGTTAATCTATTTTTACGAAATATTTATGCATAGAAAGGATGAGAAAATACTGCTGCGTTATGGTACATCATGTGAGCAGAAAATCGAGAGGAAAAAGAACAACAATGATTATGATGATGGTAATATTATTAGTAGTAACATTAGTAGTAGTAACAGTGGCAGCGGGGGTAGTAATGACAACCATGTCAATAAGATAATAGTGTTAATTGAAAAAAAAATAAATTCTTACGTAAATTGTACCGATGTGAATACTGTATGCGGATTTATTTTAAGCTATTTAAAGAGCTTTTCAGAAACGAGCATTGATAAAATTAGCCATTTTTGCTATTTCATAATTATACTTGCTCAGCAGGCAAATGCCCTGGGTAAATTTGAGGGAGGAAAGTTCTTTACTTTTAATCAGAAAAGTACAGAATGGCATAAGAGTCAATGCATGAATATAAAAGACATGGGCATTGGAGGCAGAACAAATGGGAAATTATCGTTTCAATTTTTAAGCAGTCCATTTATGTTTATGTTTTTAGTGGATTGTCAATTTTTCCTAAATAATAAGTTTTTTGAGACGTTTTACGAATGCTTCAATGAAGATCAGAAGAACAAAATAATGGAAGTCATTTTTTTTGTGCAAAATGAAGATTATACAATTAATATAATTACGAAGGAAGTGTTTGATAAATTTTTGAGAAATATATATTTCTTTTTGTATAATTATGACAATTCTATTTTTGTGAAAAATTGTTTATTTTTCTTTTCCTTTTTATCTGTAAATAAGCATAAAATGAAGAAAGTATGTGGAGATTTTGAAAATTTCAAAGGAAATAAGCAGGACCTAGAAAGACTGTTTCATCTAGATGTAAGAAACAGCTTACACGAAGTCGTAAAGGAAAAAAGAGAAAAATTAATCAATTACTTTCTATGCAGAAATAGAGAAATTATTATTTCATTTGATCTAATTGCTAATTTGTATTTTGTGTGCGAGAACACGAATAAGAAATTGCTCTTGTTCATTTATTTATTAATTGTAAAATTCGAAATAGTTAGAAGTAAGATGAACTCTTCTCTGGTAAAGGAAGAAGCCATGATTCTGCTTAACAGGGTTTCTCGTATTCCTATTAGTGATTTGTCTATGTGTCAAGAGATGGAAGAAAAAACTGATTATTTTTCTTCTGTTGATATGCTATCAAAACCAGGATGTCAAAGCGGTGTGCAGGAAGGCACACACATGGGGTGGAAGAAAGAAAAGGGGGATATACTATTGTTCCAAAAAAAATTCAGATTTATAATATGCCAAGAATATCTATTTAGAGAAGATTTTTTACTTTTTTTTCTTAAACTAAATTTGTCCGAAACGTATTTTGTTTTTAGAAATGATATTTACACTTTAATTGAATCGGAATGTTTAAGAGGAAGTATAAATAGGATCGACTTGGAACACTTAGATGAAATAAAATATGCTAATATTATTTTGATTATAAAAAGAATGTCTTACATTATTTCGAATGTAAAGGTACAAATTGACAATAATTCAAAGAATATAAATAATTCCGTCGTGATAACGGATTACTTATTTTCAGTAATTGATCGCGTAGGTCTAACAGATAGTACATTGGAAGTAGGCAAAAATATTTGTGAAAGATTGTTCATATTGGTTAAAATAATTTTTCTCTTTTATTTCGTGTCTTTTAATTTGTTCCCGTCTTTAGAGACAAATTGGAGGCTAGTCAATTCGGGGTTGAATGACGACAGGAGAAAGGTTGCGGATGGTATGGTGAAAGCTGGGAAAAAGGACGAGTTAGATATATTGACCTCTGTGGATATGAGAACCGAACATATTTACTATTATAAAACCGAAGATGTGATAATAGATGTGGAACTTTTTGTAAAATACTTAAAAGAAGTCTTTTCACAAAATGAATATACTCAAATAGAACATAAAATGAACATGTTTGTATATGTGATGCCACACTTTTCAATCACAAGGAGATTATTTAATTTCATGTTTGAACAGGATATTATGTATATTTCTAATGTGAATAAAGATCTTGAATATTTCGCATGTACACGTCAAGGGTATGATTTGAATACACACGTAACGTTCCAAGAATTGCTGAACAAATTTGAAAGTTGCATGAATGTTTTTAGTTTTAAAAAATTATTAGATTTACCAGTACGGGAAGTAATAAAATTGTTGACTATCACGATTTTTAAAATGTCCATTAATAGAAATATATTACACGTTCACTTGTTAAATAATTTCAAGAATTTGCCGAATGAATATTTTTACGATTTAAATTTTTTCCTTTTTTTTTATCATTTTTTGTCCTTTCTGATTCAAAAAATGAGGAGCTTGGCGGAGTGTTCCTTTTCCCAACGTACTTATTACTCAATATCGGTGAGGAGAAAAAAAAAAAAAAAAGAAAAAGAAAAACAGATTCAGATACGAGTTCGTGCATTTTAGTGAATATGTATGATCATATGCCTCTAGCATGGTCATAGGAAAATGCATCAATATAGAATTATCGATGTGTGAGTGCCTTGTGCAGAAAGAGATACATAGAGGGGATGGAAGTGTCTAGGAGCACTAGAAATTTATTCATTTCTGAAGTATTATCATGTATTTCAGCCCCTTAGGGTGAAATGCTGGTTATGTGTACTATACATAAGCGTACGCTTATTGAGAAAATGCGTGACACAGACAACTGTATGATTGTTTGTTGTTTTTTGTCGTTTGTGTGGATGGGATCTTCTGATTATGTTTCCCATAATGTACTCAAATTTATAGTGTGTTTTCTCCTGTTCCGTTTTGTTATTTTTTTGTTTGTGTCAATGAATTGGCGTAGATAGGAATGATCAAGGCGTGGCTGGTATTGTTCGCACTATATATATATATCTCCATTTTTCACCTAATAATAACAAAGGTTTAATTTTTTTTTTTTTTTTTTTTTTTTTTCCTTCCCTTTGCAGTTTATAATTGATACACTTTTATGTAGCTATTGCATTAAGGAGAATGTTGAGAAGACCACGAATATGGAATCTTATAGGATTTCTAAAGGTTTGTCATCTGATTCAGAAGAAAATGATTCACGAGATAAACCAGATGAAGAACCTTACAATAGATCTGAAGAGATGACGAGCGAAACGATACTTACAGTTATAAAAGGCAAGATAGAAAAACTGAATGATCTTTTAAGACATGTAGTTAACGAAATATCAGAAAAGGAGAAAAAATACGTTTTCCCCAAGGTGCAGTTGCTTATAGAATATTATTTTTGAAATAAATGTACAAATCAAGAATATATATACTCAGTATTGGAGACTATTTTCTGTCATTTTAGGAGTTCCTTATGAAGTTGAATGCCTAATTTTTTTGGGAAAAAAAAAAAAAAGGAAAAAAAAGAACGCCTTGATTGCCTTTATTTTTATTGTATTATAATTTACTTCCATCCCTTTTTGTTTATTCTTAAAATGATTATATAATTAGTTATGCACCTTTAAAATTTTCACACCAATGTTTTTGTACGTAAGCATACGAATTTTTTTTTTCTTTTTGTAGATAGTAAACTTTTTTTTTTTTTTTTTTTTTTTTTTCCCTTTTTTTTGCATATCGGTTAAGTGATGTGATAACGTAAGAATTGAGAAAACAGTATAATAATTTAAAAAGGAGGATGAAAAAAAATAAAAAAAATGTTCTAAAAAATTTTAATTTAAGAAGGTTCAGCATTTGCCCAATTTTTACACCTTGGCATTTTTTAAATATATTATGTACATATACAAAATACAAACATAGTTGTTGCTGTATATATAATAGCACAGGGAGAAGAATACATAAGCAAGGAAAATGTCCAAAAGAGATAGATTTTCCTTTAGATATTAGTAAAAAGAAAAGAGCATTCCACAGCAAGAACTGTGAATTATTTTCTTACATATATATGGTTCATTCAGGGTTCATGTTGTTCTGCTAGATGTTACATTGGGTTTATGAAACATACTTGCGCGAAGAAATTTATGAACGAGTACTTTTGTTCACACATGGATGTTAATACTTACTTTTCTTCATTGTAAAGTCTCATTCTTGTACCCCATTTGAACATTTCTTATTTTTTTTTTTCTAGTGTTGGTCATGAAGGAAAATTTGGCCATGAGTTCCTTGAGTTTGAATTTAACTCCAAGGGGAGACTAAGATATGCAAATAATTCCAATTATAAGAACGACAAAATAATTAGGAAGGAAGGTTAGTGCAAATTCATACATGTTAAATTTAAAAAAAAAAGAAGAAAAAAAAAAAAAAATAAGAGCGTACTTAATTGTGTATTATAGGAATTTCATTTTATTTTTTTTTGTGCGTGGTTCATGCTTGGGTATTCCCATGCTATATAATGTTGTAGTAATGCATGCACAAGCACGTGGGTTGAATGAAAAACAATTTTTTTTACCCTAATTGGCATTATCCTTATCTACTTTATGGAACTTTTTAGCTTATGTGAGTAAGTCTGTACTGAACGAATTAAAACGTATAATTGAAGAATCGGAGATTTGTAAAGAAAGCGATAAACTATGGCCTGCCCCAGATAAGATAGGAAAACAAGAATTAGAAATTTTCTTAGATGGAAATGAATATTATTTTACAACATCCAAAATTGGTTCACTATCTGACGTAAAACAGTGTGATGATCCAGAAGGTCTACGAGTTTTTTATTATCTTGTGCAGGACCTGAAGTGTTTTCTGTTTTCCCTCATTTGTTTACATTTCAGGGTAACAACAAAACATATACAAATATATATACATATATGTACATATAGATGGATATACACAAGGATGTGTATTTGTACATGTGTATATGTAACTTCTCGTGAATGAACGACTTTTCCACGAGAGTCATTAAACAAACCCACGTAGAGCCCTCGTCATGGTAAATTATTCAAACGCACGTTTCCTCCTTTTTTTTTCAGATTAAGCCTGTGTGAAATGATAACCACAATCATCCCACACACACACACATACCCCTCTTGTGTGACAAAACGGGGATGAGATTTATTAATTTTTTTTTTTTTTTTTATTATATTTTTTAAATTAAAAAAAAAATGTACATGTAAATATATATATATCTACCTCTATCTATATCTCTATTTATATTTGTACATATATGTACTTATAGCAAGGACTTATTTGCATGCAAATTTTGAAAAAAAAAAATTAGAAGAAGCTATAGAGCTATAGAGATACCCCGCCAGATGGTATTTTTTAAATAAACACTGCACACTGTAGCGTTAAAGGAAAATTTGCCCTACGTTTAGAGAATACTATCCGAGGGTATATATTTTTCTAAAGATGCCAAAAAAAAAAAAAAAAAAAAAAAAAATTTAGCCCTTTTTATTGATAGTCAAATTGTTTAGTGTCATTATGTTTGCGCGTGGTACATGTACGGAAATATGTTTTACATTCGTATTTTTACAAACGCGAGGAATGGTCAAATTTTGGGAACCCACTTTTACTAATTTGTGTGGTTTCCTCAATGTTCGTCACCATGTTTCTCCCTTCGTGCAACTTTGTCTTGGGCATATTATTATTTTTAGTCATCTGGATAATCACGCTCTCCGTCATCGTCATCTTGATGGTCATCATCATCGTCTTCTTGATCGTCACTATCATCATCATCATCGTCTTCTTGATCGTCACCATCATTATCGTCATCATCATCATCATCATCGTCTTCTTGATCGTCACCATCATTATCGTCATCATCCTCCTCCTCATCATCATCATCTTCATCCTCGTCATCCTCATCATCCACCCCTTTACGCTTCTTAAAATTCCGCTGATGATATTTTCCATTTTCGCTTACACACTGGTCGGACCCATTAGATGAGTCGTGCCAGCTTTCGCATTGGCTTGATTGTTCATCATCTGATTCTTCATTTGGATGTTGCAGCTTTCGTCGTTTGCTTGGCTTGGGGTCGTATTCATTCTGCGCGGTGCATTCAGATTCATTAATATCAATGGATCGAAACAAACAATTGGTCAATATATGTCCGACGTGTACCCGCTTAATCACCTTTTTTATTTGTGTATTGAATATACTTAAAAATCTGTCATAGCTAACTGAACAGAGGAACTTTCCTCCAGTGTGAAAGCGCAAAGATGATATAGCTCCATTATGAATTTTAAATTTGTTCAGAAATAAAATTAAGAATTGATCGAAATTGTCTTTAGCCCACATAACAGGTAAATCATTTCTCATATGAGTTTTATTATTTTTTTGATATTCCTTATAAAATTCGTACAGAATTTCTTTATTTTTTAACAAAAAAATAGGGTCTTGTTTTTTTTCTTCTTCACACGTTATTTTTTCTTGTGCACATTTTTTCATATAAATATATTGTAACAGTTTAATTCCTGTGACTACTTCAAATTTGTAAACATTTCCGTAGTTATCTGAGACAAAGATAATTTGGCTGTCTTTTGTGCCAAATTTTTTTATAAAGTAGTTTTTACACTTTAATTCATTTGCATGGATGGGTGGGGGTAAGTCCACATCCTCATCCATGTGCAGAGTTGAAGGACGTGGATCATCATTAATTTCATTTTCCATTGTATAATCATTTACGGATGATAAATTTCCTGTTCTTCGTTTTTCTTCTTTCAATTTTTCATAAATTTGTAAATTTTTTGATTGCGTTTGATGTGTGCTAAATTTGGCATAAATTTCTTCATGGGGCCCTATTTCGTGGGATTTTATTTTGTTTTCAATTTGATGATCATCTGTTTTTTCGTCTAAGATTTGTTCATGCTCTTTGATTTTTTCTGTCACTCCATTTTGTTTTTCTGCTTCAGCACAATGTTCCTTCTTTGTTGCATATTCTTCAGTCGTCACATGGGAATTACTGCTTATACAAGTAAATACGAGATCGCTCTCGGAGTAATTATGATTGAAATAGGCAAATTTATTTTGACTAACATTTGTACGATTATAATGATCATAAATATATACCGGTTTAGTTTGACATCTCATATCGTACAGAATAATTTTATGATCGTAGGTTGCAGCTGATATTATATTTACGTTTATATCATTTAAAAAATTGACAGTTTTTATTAAACTTTCGCAATTTATATTTAATAAAGTAGTTCCTATATTTTTGGACTTCCAAATATAATTCCCTGTAAATAAATCAAATACTTTTAAACAGTTTTTATATCCCCCAATAGCTAGTCTATTTGTCAACAACTCATTAATACAAGCAGCATCAATTGGATTACTTAAAATGTAGGACTGGTATATGCTTCCTTCTGATAACATATTATTATAATGGTAATCCTTACATATATCATTCATAGATATATCTGAATATTCGTTTTTTTTTATAATGACATTATTACTGTTATTTTTTTCGTCAATTTGTTTGAATTCTATGTTTTGCAATATTATGTCCTTGTAATTTTGAAAGTAAATATTCCTTTTTTTCTCAGGATCATATGAATGTTTCATTTCATCTTCTTGACTCAGATGATATTTATGTTGTTCATCACATTCCCAATTTAGTACATGAACATGTCCGCTATTACTCACAGTAACTAAAAGTCTATTATTTTTTAGGTACTTTTCGTATACACCATTTTTTATTTTTTCATTTGTATACACAGGCATAAATTGGGAATAATTTTTATATCTCTCTTTTTCTGTATTAAATAAATCTTCGTATATTATACTGTGATGATGATTCAGCATTTTTGTGTAAATACAATTATTGCAACATAGAAATGATACCAAACATTTATCACTAATCTTCGGATTTTCATCCTCATGGGAAAAACCAAAACTTTCAACTAAACCATTTGTTCTGCATACAGTTATTTGTGATTCTTCATATCCTCTTTACGTGTGTATATTTGTTCATTTGGGTGGTATGCATGATAAAAGAAATGAAGAAGGGGGGGGGAAAGTGAGAAATTGGATGAGTATAAAGAGTAAGGGTGAAAATAGCATGTCTCATTTAGTGCTACTAATGCATATTTCGTGGTTGAAGGATCCTCATGCTTGTGTATATATTACACGCACAGAGATATGTGTAAACTCATTTATTGTGCTTCCAATTCGAAGTTATGTATTTCGTAAGAAGTGCAGAACTTTTCTATGCATTCATTTTTCACAGTTATCACACAGTGTACTATGTTGCGTAGTGGCTCTTTGCGTGTATATATGCGTTTATACATACGTAAGCATGTAACTACGCTGGTAACATTCTTGTACACGTATGAGTGTGAATATATATATATGTTATACGTTCGCACACAACGTTATATATAAAAAAAAAAAAAAAAAAAATACATTACCCGTATCCACCAGACCACGTCACGTTATTGATTGTTCTTGTCAAATCCGGTTTGAGCGATTGTTCGAAAATGTAGTTCTCAGTTGTGCATTGTACATATTTCAATAAACCTATTTTATCGGAAGTAATTATTTGCATTTTTTTTCTGATTGAGTAGTTGACGTATCTATATGTGTAGCTATATACGTATATCTACCTATATATATATGTGTAAATATACATATGTACATAAACATTTTTTTCAGATTTTCCTATAGGATTAATTTTAAAATATGTTTCGATCTTTCTTCATGAAGCAAAGAAACAAAAGAAGCAAAAGAAGCGAGGGGAGTGGGGGTGGGAACAGCAGTTTATTACAAATGATTATAACGGTTCCAATCTATAAACCCCTATTAATCGAACATTTTGTAGCTTCTTTTGTTTTTCATTTTCAGAGTTCAAGTTTACTTTTTAAGGTCTCGAATGACAATAAAAATTAAAAAAACTGAAACGGAACTTTTTTTTTTTTTTTTTCTTTTTTCTTATTCTTTTATTGAATAAAAATTTGGTAGGAGAAAAAAAAAAAAAAAAAAAAATTAAAGGTCACGTTGGGAAGATGCAAATATGTTTATATTATAACCGCTCAAGTGCAGTGTTCATAAGGGAAAAAATATGGATAAGATATAACATACAACATAACCAATAGATAGTAAAAAAGAAAAAAAAAATAATAATAAAATAATATTGTTACGAAATGTATTTTTGTAGAAAAGTATTACGTAACATTTTTGGTAGATTGAATAATTTTAAATATATACATGTAGAGGTCTTGAGAAATGCTTCGACAAAATGATTTTTAATGGCGCTAACATTTTCGCTCTTAAAAGAGGTAAAATTATTGGTAGGATGTGAAACTATTTAAAATATTTATCCAATTAAGAACGCGAGCACATAGAAGTTTCTCTCTCTTTTTTTGTATAAATTTACTCCGAAAAAAAAAAAAAAAAGTATATTTTTTTTGTCTATCCATACTGCATTATAATGTCACTTTTCTTCTAACTGATTCGACAATCAACGACATGTTTCACACATATATTGCGAATAATGATTTTTGTGTGTACACCAGTTAAAATAATTCCTTTTGTATTCCTAATAACCGAAAACGAAGCTATTAATCCGTTGCTTTATACATGCACTTTTTGAACTCTCATCTTATATATATCACTTTTTAATTAGTTCTTATACAATATTTCGTTAGCTTGGCCAAAAGATGGATGAAAAATATGAAGGGAAAGTGTCTACTTTCAGGAAAGCATTTTTTATTTTAAAAAAAAAAAAAGAGAGAGACATTTGGAAAACTATTTTATGTTTTGGAGTGAAATAACTCCTGTTAATGTACCATGGGAGCATTTGAACTATAATTTTCAGATTTGTTCATTTTTTAAATTGAGAAATGCGTTTGTTTTAATTTACTATTTTTAATATTTGAAAAATCATTATGAAATTTTTTTCTTTTTTAACATGTTCAGAATTCTTCTATATATGGATATACACTTATTTGTAATATATTTTTTACAGAGTTGGCAACTGCCATGACATGTCATTAGAGCTAGCCATTTGTAATTTTTTTTTTTTTTTTTTTTTTTTTTTTTTTTTTTCATTATGTACATTTTAAAAAGTTAAAAATTAAAAAAAAGAAAAAAAAAAAAAATTAATTTAACAATTTATCAACACTTTCTCTTACATTTACTGATGTATACATTTATATTACAAAATCGTTAACTAAGAACTTAAAAAGATTATACAAGTCCGTACACCAATACATACAAAGTGTCACATTTGTACAATGCTCATTTGCCAAATGTTAATTTATTTAAGAAGTTTTGAGATTAATCTGCTTGTATAAAAAAATATTTATTTATTCACTTATTTGGTTATTTAATTTTATTTTTTTTTAAGAAACTAGACATTTTTGAAAATGGCAAATCCAGTTGTTAGTTGCTTGAATACTTTGTCTAATTTTATAGCGGACATTTGCAAGGCAGTAGTAAGTTGTGTGGATGGATCCTTTAAGGCTTTAACTTGCCAATAATGTATGAAAAACATTTTTGTTTTTGGCATGAAAATTTGAATGGATATTTATGTGGAGAATGAAATGTATGATATGTTCCTTTAATGTAAATATGGGAAAAACTTATGAAGGAAAAATGGGAACAAGGTTTTCTGTGCTGGAATGTGAGGAAGTTCGAAGAATTTATTTCTACAAGAGTTACAAGTGAAAATTTTTATCCCTAAGGATGTTTTTATAATAGAACTGTTTTTTATTTTTTTTTCGTTTATCACTTTCTTAACTTCGTCTACGTGGAAAATGTGTCCACCATAGTTTGTTTCTTCGCTTGCCTCTTTTTTAGGCTATTTCTCCCGTATGTTTGTTTGTTTCTTTCTTCGTTTGTTCATTCGTTAGACTGTTTTCTCCTTATGTTTGCTTGTTTGTGTGTGTATATTTGCTTGTGTATTTGCTTGTTTTTGCTTTTTTTTTTTACACTTTTTTACTTTTACCGCTTAAGCATTGAGTTGTCCCCTCGAAGGCTGCTTAAACTTTAAGAAAATCTGTTAGAAGTGTAAACTTATTTTGATTTTCTAAATATCTGTAGCAGAAGTGATATACTGAATGAAAGTGTAATTTTTATCATGTATTTATTCCATAATTAGAAATATATGGAAAAATGTTAATACGCTCTTTTTTTATATAGGAGTTTTTATATCATTATTGATTAAAGAGAACTTAATTAAATATATTCATTAGGGGAATGGGATTCTATTCTTGTCTTATACTATACACGTGTGTAATTAATGCTAAAAATGGCATGGCAATGAAAGTTATACCTCACAATAGATGCTCCATTAGACTAAATGAACATAATATTTTTACTTAAGATAAGTAAAGACATTTTTTTTTTCTTTTTCTTTTTTTTACCAAAATCTATATTTATTACTTAAGCGATGATGTTCATTTAGGTTTCTATGAAAAAAAAAAAAAAAAAAAAAAGGTGAAATGATTGAACTACTGAATAGGGTTCGTTTTCTTACAAAAGGATGAAGTGATAAGTTATAATTATGTATAATAATAGTGATAAGTTGTATATTGTGTTTTTGTAATACAAAATATAGGTGCAATGGTGTGAAGGCATGGATAAAAAAGTGCCTTTGATTCATTGGCCACACTAATATATCCGGACAGGAAGATAAATACATAACTATAGATATATTTATGTTTGTGATGTATCCACTTCTCACTGTTTTAGGGAAATGAAAAATTCATTTGTTACGTTGTTCTGTAAGGATTTTTTTATAATATATAGCTTCACAATATAATATGAGGGAAAAAAAAAAGAAAAGAAAAATTCTACACACAGTGCTATAAATTGTATAATATATTCATGTCTATGTTTTATACTTGTGTGTAAATGCATTCCCCTTGGAACTTAAAATTTTGAATAAGTTATATATATGTAAAAGGAAACCTGGACATCTATTTATTCCCTAATTAACCTGATTTATACATGTAAACACGTACATTCATACTTTACTGTTTTAGCAGTTCTGTTGCTTATTTTTATTTTATTTTATTATATTTTATTTCTTTTATTGCTTTGTTAGGAAGGTCGTATGAAAACACGTTATGTGTTAATTTGTGATACATGTGTGTAATTTAACTATGATATGTGCATTAAAACTGTTAATATATTATTTTCAGGCTACATTGCAAACTTCAAACCTTTTAGCAATATGACAAATCCATGGTTACATGATTTAGAAACTTGGAGGAATATTATAAATTGTCATTTTCTTTTTCATTTACATTTGTAGATGTAAAATATAAAGGAATTATTAACTTATATTTATTATTGACCCTTTTAATCCTAACATAAGCGCATACCTTATTACCTTTGTAAAAGAGAAGAACTATGAAGTAGCAAAATAAGGAAATATGTTAACCTGCCATATGACTTGTTGTTCATTGTTCAAAATGTTTTGTGAAAGGATATATACACATACATATATTAATGAAAAGAAAAGAAAAGGAAAAATTTTCGAATAGTAAGTAAAATATTATGAAAGGATGCGCAAAATTATGAAAACTGAAAATAATTAGTATGTAAATATTTTTAAAAAGGTAACAAGTTCGTTTCTTTGAATTTGTGTAGAAATTATTTAAAATATAAAAAAAAAAAAAAATAAATAAATAGAAAAATAGGAATATACTAAAATAGCAACAAAATTTCTCAACAGATTTGCACAGAAATTAGGGCTATTTTTAGGTTTAGAAATAATCTAATTTGTTTTCTATTTGGAAAATTTAAGTGCATTAGGAATTTTATTATTTTATTTTACTTTTTTTTTTTTTTTTTTACACTCTTTAAGAAAAGGCAAATAAAAGAAAAAAAGGAATATACTATTATATTTTTAATTTTACTATATTTTGTGAACGATTCGATACTAACATAAGTTTTACTTTGATCATGCGTCTGACATTTTCCTATTTGTCAGAATAATAGAGTTAAATTTTTGAGTTGTTAATGTGCAAGGTAATACATTGCTATAGTTTAAATAAAAGGTTAAAAAAAAAAAATTAGAAATGGAGAAAAAAACATGTGAAGAACAAAATAAAAGTTTTAAGGGGATTTTATTTTTAGCTAATTTCTGAAGAAAATTGTATATTTAAAATGTTTTTTGAAAATGAACAATTTTAGTGTCCATGATGAAAAGTTGTGTGCAATTTGTTTACAGGTTGAATATACATAAATATACAGCTTTAATTTTTGTAAAAACGAAGTTGCGCACACACAAGTAGAAAACTTCGAACCGAGAAATATCAGAATATATAACAAAAAATTTACTCTGATAATTTTACTTTTTTAGAGACGTTTTAGATTTACAACCATTGTGAAAATGAAAAATTAGAATAGATTAAAAATAAAAAAATAAACAAATAAATATGTTAGGAAATGAAAAACTTTATTGTCATTTTATTTATAAATGTAAACTTTGGTTAAAAGAATTTGCGAAATTTTTTGAATAATTTCACAAAAGCATCTTTGAGAGGCGTTATTTACAAAATTACAGAAAATGATGTATGGGAGAGTATGTATATAGACATTTGCACATGTATAAAATGTAATATTGAAGCAGTAGAAATAAATGAGAAAAAAGTAAATGTGAAACTGTTCCCTACTGGGTGTAAAATTGTACCCTATTTTTTAACCTCCATTTTTTCCTTATAGAGTTCTATGTAAAAAAGAAAAGAAAAAAAAAAAAAGCGTTTTCTTTTGTCATAGTGGAAATATTTACCAGAATGCTTTCATTTAGGCACTTCATTTTACCCCTAATATGGGTACTTATATATGTAAGTTTACATGTGTATATATTTTGATGAAGGAAATTATTTTTGTTCCTATTTTTTTTTCTTTTTTTTTGTTTTGGAGTTTCTATATGTACACAGACACGTGTAAATATATGGATAATGCATACGCAGAACCAAAGTTGTGAAAGCATGGAGTTGTATATTTAAGTGTTAGTACTTTCAGTGCCTAGTACGAATTATTGATCCAGTTGATCATATTGATCATTTGGACTTGTACATGTGTCAAATCCTAATGTTAACTATTTCTGTTTAATTCTGCAGAATGAAAGGGTAAAGGACAGTCCTTTTTTAACCCAGCACAGCAAGTAAGTGAATGAATAAGATGGCCATGTTTATGAAAAGTCTAAAGTTTGCAGCATTTGTGTTTGAGTTTATGAATATGCATATGTCACATGGATTAGTATGAAATATACAGAATGAAAACGTAAAAGAAAAATATTGTCAAGTAAAAATATGCATAATAAAATTATTCTGCTCTTATTTTGTTATTATTTTATTCGTATTTTGTGCTTACTTTCCCATTTTTTTCCTCTTTTTGGTAGATGGGCCAAAGAATTAAAGAATCGTGTTTTGAGGTAAGGAAGAAAAGAACACCCAAAAATGGCACCAAACATTTTTTGTACTTAATTGTAGAATATTGCAAAGTGGACACTAGAAGTGCATATTCATTTTTCGAATGTTGTTTAAATGTTTGTTTTGTCCATTTTTTCTAGTTATTACAATTGTGCTTTAATTTAATGATTGTGTGCTCATGTTCACAGATTAGAAACTCCGGAACCATGGGGAGAGTCGGAAACCTACGAAATCAGCACTAGGGATAGTTCGGGAAATCTGATTACGACAGTGTTTAATAAAAATGCGGAGGCCTTGTATTTTTACATTAACCGAAAAGAGTCAAAAGGAGGTGGATCAAACAAAGGAGGAAGTTCGAAGTTAAGAAAAAGGGAAAAAAGACCTTAATTCTTTATTACATTTAGATTTAGTGAAAATATATACATACATGTACACACATTATATATATATATATATATATATAATGTGTTATATGATGCATAATTTGACTTTTTTTTTTTTTCGTTATTAACCTGTTCATTTATAGTTATGCAATTTTGTTTTGTAAAATTTTTGTAAAAATATGCTGATAAATGAGAAAAAAAAAAAAAAGTATTTGTGTATGGAAAGATACCTATCTTAGCATTATGTACTTGTATGGGACCTTTTTATTACTAAAAGGCGTATATGGTGTAAATTGCAGAAGGACATTTTTAAAAACATTCTTAATGTGTTTCTTTTTTTTCTTTTTGTTTTGCAAAGATGCTTATGATAAAAAATATTTTTTTTATTCTCAAATTGACTTAAGACAACATGGATAAATGACATAATTTATATTAACATCGCAATAGCTACAATAATAAGAACCATCATAAATAAACATATTTATATCTACATTGTAGTAGCGTTGGAAATGAGAAGTTTTGCAGGGGTATGAAGGTGCTATGTTTTTATCCTTATCTTTTCTTTTTATTTATATTATTCTGCAGTTCCATTGATAGGAGGATTGGTACATATATGTGATACTTCTGATCTGTAAATTTTTTTTTTTTTTTTTTTTTTTTTACTTAAATTAATTTGAAGTACAGAGAAATATGCAAACAATTATATGTTCACTAAAAAATGTACTTTGATTCAGATTTGTTACGTAAAAGTGCGGTCTTATTATAAGTAAGATAAGGCCCCAAGGTTGGTACAATTTCATTGAACGAAGAAAATGATTAATTTGTATGGAGGAGAAGTCTTATATTTTTTCCTCTTATTCATATTTGATTGATAAAATACGTTTGAGTGGTTTTTTAAATGATAAATGTTAATTCTTTATGATACAATTATTTGTTTTAATGAATACAAAAATGTATATTGTAGTTAAAAAAAAAAAAAGAAAAAAAAAGCATTCGAATAGTACATTTTTGTGTTAACGCGAACAGAAGAGAATAATTTTTTTAAGAGGAACTCAGATTAAGTTCTGAATGAACAAACGGAATTGAAAAGATTATCATGAAATATTCAAAAGTGATTATTTTCTTTTATTTTTTGAAAAGGTACAAAATTTTAAGGGTTTTGAATACAAATAAAAATTTTTTTTTTGGTAAACAATAAATATTTGTTATGCATTAAAATTGTCTTTAATAATTGAAAAAAATGAATGAAGAAGCTCATTTAAATAGTAAGTGATAGTAAGGGGACAGCCACGCTGGATATATGGTGGGATTGGCGGAATGATTTCATTTGACACAAAAATATGTGATATACGCATAATAGGTACATGCATATATATATATTATATAAATATTTGTATGTATATATAAATGTATAAGGCAAATCTGATTTAAGTGCAGTATGGAAGGAAGAAAAAATAAAAAAATAAAAAATAGGAATCTTAAAAAATCACAAAGTCTTATTATGATATTGCTATTTTGGCATAGTTTACTTATATGTATGTAATTACATTTGTCAATTTATGTATATTTAGCTCTGTAAGGAGCAGTATATCGATCGTGTATGTAGTATGTGGGCAAAAAAAAAAAAAAAAATATATGGACTTCGGGTGACTAATTCATTCTTTCGATGCTTTTAAAAGAGGGTCTTATTTTGTTATTGGGTGCCGATATTACGTGTGATTTCTGTTATCACATTATATGCCCCTGAAGACAAAGCGTGTGACAACAGTAATTGTACATCTCGGGGAAGTGCATTAATTATATTTTAAATTATTATTTCAATATTTATATGTGGTCAATATTCTTTCATGTGATGTATGCAATTTGATCAAAAACATGATCAAAATTGGAAAAAAATCAAAAAAAAAAATTCGTAATAAATGATTCAACGTGAGAATGTTAGGCGGGCACGTAATTAAAAAGGAAATAAAAAAATTTAAAAAAAAAAATTTGCTATTTTAAAGTAAAAAAAGAATTAAAAAAGAAGTTATAATTTTATTTTTAAGTTCAAGTTGAATTTATAAGTAAAATTATAATTTTTATCACTAGGTTTTAATGATATTTTTCTAGGGTAGTAATTTATACATGCTTATGAAGTTCAAAAAGAATAAAAATATAAGTATGTTTTTTTAATTATGATTGGTTTTAGTAACTTATAATTTTTCAGTATTTTCATTGAATGCTGTAATTAATTAAGTTATTAATTATATTACTTATAATTTATGATTAATTATAAAAAGTAGACCAATTAATTTATTAAGTTTTTTCCATTATAAGGATGGGGTGCTTAATAAATATAAAAAAGAATTATTATTATATAGTGAAAAATATAATTAGTTTTTGCTATGTATAAATTTTAAAGATATTCTGTTAAAATGTATACTATAATTAAACAGTGTTAATATAAAAAGGCATCATTCTGGAGGTAAAGATTTTATTTATAAGCAATTAAAATCATTCGTTTTTATGCTTATATGCTTTACGATTCGGAAGGTGTATTTACTCTTATCATAAAATTATAAATAAATATAATTTAATGAATTAGGAAAATAACACATAAAACATCAAATTGGTTAAGTTTATAATAAATAATATATTATTTAAATATATTATGCATTATTTCAAAAGAATTTTAAGAAAAGTTTTGTATTATACGGGAATAATAGTAATAAAAGCAGAAGCATATGATAGTGAAAGAAAATATAGGTAAAAAGCAATTTTTATTTATAATATTCTTTTACTATGATATTTTACTTCTTTTTAGCTATTAGTTCTATGATAATATGAAATAGTAACCTGGTTGATCTTGCCAGTAGTCATATGCTTGTCTCAAAGATTAAGCCATGCAAGTGAAAGTATATGCATATTTTATATGTAGAAACTGCGAACGGCTCATTAAAACAGTTATAATCTACTTGACATTTTTTACTATAAGGATAACTACGGAAAAGCTGTAGCTAATACTTGCTTTTAATACTCTTGATTAAGTTCTTGAGTATGTACTTGTTAAGCCTTATAAGAGAAAAGTTAATAACTTAAGGAATTATAACAAAGAAGTAACACGTAATAAACTAAGTTTATTTTAGTGTTTATCAATCGAGTTTCTGACCTATCAGCTTTTGATGTTAGGGTATTGGCCTAACATGGCTATGACGGGTAACGGGGAATTAGAGTTCGATTCCGGAGAGGGAGCCTGAGAAATAGCTACCACATCTAAGGAAGGCAGCAGGCGCGTAAATTACCCAATTCTAAAGAAGAGAGGTAGTGACAAGAAATAACAATACAAGGCCAATCTGGCTTTGTAATTGGAATGATGGGAATTTAAAACCTTCCCAAAATACAATTGGAGGGCAAGTCTGGTGCCAGCAGCCGCGGTAATTCCAGCTCCAATAGCGTATATTAAAATTGTTGCAGTTAAAACGCTCGTAGTTGAATTTCAAAGAATCGATATTTTAAGTCATGCTTTTAGTTTAATCCACAATAACTAATACTTCGAGTATTGGTTATGTGCGCATTATATACTATTATGTGTCTCTTTTAATAAAATGTTTCTTTCTAAGATTTTCTTTTTTCTTTTTAATAGCATTAGAAGATTTTTTTACTTTGAGTAAATTAGAGTGTTCAAAGCAAACAGATATAGCATTTACTGCGTTTGAATACTACAGCATGGAATAATAAAATTGAACAAGTCAAAATTTTGTTTTTTTTTTTTATTTTGGCTTAGTTACGATTAATAGGAGTAGCTTGGGGGCATTTGTATTCAGATGTCAGAGGTGAAATTCTTAGATTTTCTGGAGACAAACAACTGCGAAAGCATTTGCCTAAAATACTTCCATTAATCAAGAACGAAAGTTAAGGGAGTGAAGACGATCAGATACCGTCGTAATCTTAACCATAAACTATACCGACTAGGCTTTGGATGTAAGATTTAAAAATAAGAAATTGTCCTTTTTGGGGAGAATTTCTTAGATAGCTTCCTTCAGTGCCTTATGAGAAATCAAAGTCTTTGGGTTCTGGGGCGAGTATTCGCGCAAGCGAGAAAGTTAAAAGAATTGACGGAAGGGCACCACCAGGCGTGGAGCTTGCGGCTTAATTTGACTCAACACGGGAAAACTCACTAGTTTAAGACAAGAGTAGGATTGACAGATTAATAGCTCTTTCTTGATTTCTTGGATGGTGATGCATGGCCGTTTTTAGTTCGTGAATATGATTTGTCTGGTTAATTCCGATAACGAACGAGATCTTAACCTGCTAATTAGCGGCAAGTACGACATATTTTTGGGAGGAATTGAATTTAGTTAGTTTGTACATTTTGAAGAAAATATTAGGATACGTAATAGTATCCTTTTCCCTTTTCTACTTAATTTACTTACTATACTGATTTTTTTTTTGATCAAAAATGTATTTGCTTGATTGTAAAGCTTCTTAGAGGAACGATGTGTGTCTAACACAAGGAAGTTTAAGGCAACAACAGGTCTGTGATGTCCTTAGATGAACTAGGCTGCACGCGTGCTACACTGATATGTATAACGAGTTATTAGAAATATACACATTAGTGCTATGTTCATTCGTGAGCTGGTATTTGTTGTCATAGTTTTCCTCCACTGAAAAGTGTAGGTAATCTTTATCAATACATATCGTGATGGGGATAGATTATTGCAATTATTAATCTTGAACGAGGAATGCCTAGTAAGCATGATTCATCAGATTGTGCTGACTACGTCCCTGCCCTTTGTACACACCGCCCGTCGCTCCTACCGATTGAAAGATATGATGAATTGTTTGGACAAGAAAAATGAAGATACACATCTTCGCTTTTCTGAAAAAACCGTAAATCCTATCTTTTAAAGGAAGGAGAAGTCGTAACAAGGTTTCCGTAGGTGAACCTGCGGAAGGATCATTATTATGAAACAAAAAAATGTATAAAAGTAAAATCGGTCAAAATGCACACATATATATGTATGTATAATAGTGTACATATATACTATTATAATATATAATATATACTGTGCAGATCGATTTTATGGAATACAAATATGAGAATGTGTATAAACATATATAATATTGGAGATTTCTTATATCTAATGTTTATTATGATTTATATAAACTTTAGATGTAGTAGAGAACCTTTATGAAGGTATGTACAACATTCTTATATTTGTATTTTACCTTACAACTCCATTTTGTATTTCAACTTTTTGCATGACATATATATAGTGCCTATAATATATACATACAATGTTTAACTAACTATTTTTTTTCAGACACGTAAAGAGCAGAAAATATGACATTGTGTCTATATATTTTGCTGTGTGTAAATGAATACACACTTTGTGCATATCATATGCTACTTTGTGTTTTTTAAAAAAATGGCTCAATCTTAACGATGGATGTCTTGGTTCCTACAGCGATGAAGGCCGCAGCAAAACGCGATATGCAATGAAAATTGCAATGACTGTGAATCATCTGAACGCTGAATGTAAATTACTCCAAAAATACCTTAATGGTGTTTTTATGGAACTCCTATTGGACGCAGAATCGTATATATAATATATTGAGTTTTATTTTTATAATAAAGTACTCTACGTTACGCTTACTGTTTTAAGTATAGCTTTAACAGGCTATATTACAGAGAAAGAATTCTGTGCAGTTACCATAAGCGCGCTGAAACCTTGCAGAACCTTGGGGGTGTTAAAGCATTATTAGTATCTATTGTTCTATCTATTTTATGCAAATAAAATAGATTTGTTTTCGTGCATGCAAATGTACATTTTGTTTATAATACAAATGAGATGTATTATAATAGTATTATAAATAGATCTTTGTATGATGCAAATTATTTATTATAGTATATTTATTATACTATTTATAAATTCTTGTATTATGCAGGGTATTTATTATAGTGCGTGTGATTTAAACTAGCTATTAAAAGTAATTGTTACGTTATATAAGGAGCAGTTGTAAGAAATCTTTCTATAACCGAGAATTATGAAATGATTAGTGAAACATAACTATTACTGAATAATTTAATGGGGGAATAATTATTTTAAAGAATGATACTATGTAGAGAGATAGTACATTAGGGAGATGATAATATTATATAGAGTAGAATGTTTTAAAGTGTGTTTATATATGTACGGTAGCAATAATCACGACATTACCACATTGTGCTACATGGATATATAACAAACACTTTACAATTAAAACTACTAGATAGGTAATATATCCATATGTCGGTAGATAACATATAGTTTTTATAGATAATATATCGTTTTTATAGATAATATGTCGTTTTTATAGATAATATGTCGTTTTTATAGATAATATGTCGTTTTTATAGATAATATGTCGTTTTTATAGATAATATGTCGTTTTTATAGATAATATGTCGTTTTTATAGATAATATGTCGTTTTTATAGATAATATGTCGTTTTTATAGATAATATGTCGTTTTTATAGATAATATATCGTTTTTATAGATAATATGTCGTGTGTTTACATAATATTATGTACTAGCCATAATATTATTGTACACACACAATATAGGGGCGAGAAGACCAAACTATTCAGGGAATAGTGCGGTAAGCAATAATCGTATCTACGGAAACGCATTATTGAAACCGTTAAATGTTAAAATGATTATTACGATTAATTTATTCAAAAAAGTAATAGCTATAAAGTAGCCGTGTCATATATAATAAATAAAATTTTATAATTTTGTTACACATATATATAACATGTTTAATGTTCATGTTAATGATACAAATTGTATTTCATAAATTAACGTGTAAATTCATAATATGATTTTTTTAAGACCTGACGGTTTAAAAAAAATTATTATTACAGAATTATCGTTAAGAAGTACAAATTAAGGAAGAACTCTGTAATGACAGGGTGTTTTTATAATATAATTATAAATAAAATTCCTTAAGCAGCATAAAATCATCATATGATTTGTTGAATAATTAACATTTTTACAAGTGGCTGTTAAGTATTTAATAGTCCATAAAATGATAATTATTTTGTATGTGTTACAAAACATATCTATGATGATAATTATTTTAAGCATTACTCCTAGTTCAGCATAATTCATTTCGTACAATACAACTTGTTTCATAACAGTAGTTTTTGTACAGCCATTAATAACCAATGGGAAAAATTGATGATAAATGCTGAACGTTGCTAGATATGTATATGTATGTATATGTATGTATATGTATGTATATGTATGTATATGTATGTATATGTATGTATATGTATGTATATGTATGTATATGTATGTATATGTATGTATATGTATGTATATGTATGTATATGTATGTATATGTATGTATATGTATGTATATGTATGTATATGTATGTATATGTATGTATATGTATGTATATGTATGTATATGTATGTATATGTATGTATATGTATGTATGTATATGTATGTATGTATGTATGTATGTATGTATGTATGTATGTATGTATGTATGTATGTATGTATGTATGTATGTATGTATGTATGTATGTATGTATGTATGTATGTATGTATGTATGTACACATAGGAGTTATATTAAATAAATATATAATATTTATAATATCATTATAAATATAATTCCTTCTTTAGCATAATTTGTAATATGATCTGGTAGGGATGGGCGCAGTTTGTGTTGTACGTTAGGAACCGACAGTTTGCAGTGTACGTTAAAAATCGACAGATTGTAGTGCACGTTATTAACGGGCAGTTTGTGGTGTCCGTTAAGTACCGACATTTTATATTGTTCGTTGAGAACCGTTAGTTTGTGGTGTTTGTTAAAAGCTGATAGTCCAGAAATATTATTATTACAAAATTATTGCTAAATCTTTAAATAAAGGAATAATTTTAAATCTACAAGTGTTAATAAACATAATTATAAGCATGATTCGTTATATGATCTGCTAAGAACCGGCAGTTTGTAGTGTCCATTAAGAACCGATGGTCCAAAAAAATGATTATTACTGAATGATTGCTAAAATTTTTATTAAGGATTTAATTTTAAACGATTAAATATTATTTACATAATTATGTTCATCATTCCTTATTTAACATAATCCTTAATATATGTTAATTAGTTAACAGTTTGCACAGTGGCCGTTAAGAACCGATGGTCCAAAATGATTATTACTATTAATAATTGTTAAAACTGTTAACGAAAAGGAAAACTTTTTTAAATTTTGTATTTATTAAAAATTATTAATAAATATTATTTTTTTATGTAGTATTATTCGTTATATGATCTGCTAAGAACCGGCAGTTTTGTAGTGTCCATTAAGAACCGATGGTCCAAAAAAATGATTATAACAGAATATTGCTACAATTATCATAAAAGAAACAATTTTGAATAAATAAGTGTTAATTAAATAAATCACATTATATATATGTATATATATAAGTAATTTTTTATGTAGCATAAATTCATAATATGATCTGCTAAGAACCGGCAGTTTGTCCAGTGTCCATTAAGAACCGATGGTCCAAAAAAAATGATTATTACTGAATATATGTTATAACTATTAATAGTGTATGTATAAAAAATGATTATGAATGAGATATGTTATGTAGCATCATAATTAGTAATATGATCTGCTAAGAACCGGCAGTTTATAGTAGTGTCCATTAAGAACCGATGGTCCAAAAAAATGATTATTACAAAAAGTTGTTAAAAATTATAAACAAAGGAATAATTTTAAATATATAAACTATTTATAAAAAATAATTATAAATCTAATTCCACATTTAGCAAATTCGTAGTATGATCTGCTAAGAACCGGCAGTTTGTCTAGTGTCCATTAAGAACCGATGGTCCATAAAAAATGATTATTACTGAAGATTGTTAAAAACTATAAATTATGGAATAATATTAAATAAGAAAGTGTGTATAAATTAAATTAATATAAATAAGATTCTTTTTTTAGCAAATTCGTAGTATGATCTGCTAAGAACCGGCAGTTTTTCTAGTGTCCATTAAGAACCGATGGTCCAAAAAAAATGATTATTACTGAAGATTGTTAAAAATTATAAATAAAAGAATAATATTAAATAATCAAGTGTGTGTAAATTATCTTAATATGAATCCAATTCCTTTTTTAGCAAATCTGTAGTATGATCTGCTAAGAACCGGCAGTTTGTCTAGTGTCCATTAAGAACCGATGGTCCAAATAAATGATTACTACAGAAGATTGTTAAAAATTATAAACAAAGGAATAATATTAAATAAGTGTGTATAAAATGATTAGTATTAAAATTATTATTAGCAAGAACTATTAAGAAATGACAGTTTTTGTAGTGGCCTTTAAGAATTGATGGTCCAAATAATGATAAATATAGAATAATTTTATTTGAAATTAAGTATGTAATATTTATAATTAAGTGTAATCTGTTAAGAATAAATAGCATATTGATATAACATAACTATATAAAAACTTGTTAAGAACCGACAGCGTTTTCATATTGTATATCAGTTAACATACGAAAATAACTTTTAAGAAAGTACATATAATAATAAAATTATGATTCAATTAAAATGCAAAAATAAATAGAACTAATTTTTTAAATATTATACAATAAAGTATATATTTTCACATATATTATTAAGAGCATATATTTTTAAAGCTAAACTCATACAGAAAAAACTCATATTCGGGCGTTATACAAGATTTAATCTATACTTAAAAATTAATTAATACAATTTTTTTTTACAGATAGGATGAAGATATCTTGAATAAAGGAGGATCAGGTATTATATAATGATATCTACCATTATATAATAAGAGAAAAGGTAACGTAGAAAATATACTTCATAAAAAGAGGTGTAAAATAATTCCACGATTTATGCTTTATAGGTGTGTTTTTTTTATGAGAAAAAATCTTGTGAGTGAACATTTTCGCGTATAAAGGTGTAGTAGTAGGTGTGAATAGTTTTAATAGTATAACTGGTAAGTAATGTGTTAAGCGTTAAATAGGAGCTATAATATAATATAAATGATATAATATATAAATGATATAATATATAAATGATATAATATATAAATGATATAATATATAAATGATATAATATATAAATGATATAATATATAAATGATATAATATATAAATGATATAATATATAAATGATATAATATATAAATGATATAATATATAAATGATATAATATATAAATGATATAATATATAAATGATATAATATATAAATGATATTTAAAATTTAGGATGGTCCGCGTATTCTAAATGCATTAGTATTTAGAACATGTACGTCATAATATATTATGAATGAAACCGCATATTCTATATATTAATGCATTTTTAATATGAATGATAATTTTGTAGGTACTTCCCAACGTAAATTTTTGGATACTCATCAAGATTATAAATATAAATTATTGTAAATTTTAATAATGAATTATAGTATTGTGAAATGAATTAATATAAAATGTGTTAACAATAATTACAACGTTATTATAATAGAAATTATGAAATAATACGCGATGATATGTAAATTTAACGCTGAACACATGAACTAATTCACCTATTAAATATATATTATAAACATAGCACCCTATATTTTAATAATTTTAACACTTATATATTTTAATAATTTTAACACTTATATATTTTAATAATTTTAATACCCTATATTTTAATAATTTTAATACCCTATATTTTAATAATTTCCAACACCCCTATATTTTAATAATTTCCAACACCCCTATATTTTAATAATTTCCAACACCCCTATATTTTAATAATTTCCAACACCCCTATATTTTAATAATTTCCAACACCCCTATATTTTAATAATTTCCAACACCCCTATATTTTAATAATTTCCAACACCCCTATATTTTAATAATTTCCAACACCCTAAAAACATGCATACATATACACAATTGTGTGTGCATATACATACAAATAAATAGCTTGGGTATAGCGCCCGAATATCTGTATGAGTTGAATGCGAATATAAATATGAACAAAGTTCTGGAAAAATATTAACATTTTAAATTCTTAATATAACACTTGAATGTATTAATTTAACACTTGAACGTATTAATTTAACACTTAGACGTATTAATTTAACACTTAGACGTATTAATTTAACACTTAGACGTATTAATTTAACACTTAGACGTATTAACACTCATATAATTACCACTCATTAACACGTAGATATATATTTATTTAATATACATGAGCTTTAATTGGTCAGGTAGCTGTTATATAAAGTGTTATGTTTAAAAACATAATTTTATGCTTATGTTTTTAAGCATGCACGGAAAGTTTAATAATTATAATAAGTAGCATTAACGTGAGAATTTTGTTGCTGGATATGTAACTAATAACTGTAAAGTTTGATTCAATAGCAAATGTGTTAGTGATAAACATATAATACATAGTAACCGTATGTTCCTAAATCTCTTGTTTTCAATTGTGGCAAAGAATTTGCATGTTGGGCAACTCTCATTTAAGAGTTGCACAATGTGTGGAGATTCACAATATGGATTCAAGGGAATTTAGGAATAACTCGGTTTCATGTGTTATTATGGGTATCATGTAGACGCTCATTAGCATCACAGCATGCCATTAGTTATAATATTTAATATATATTATATATATATATAATATATATATATAATATGTTATATATCATATGTATAATATGCACATAATATATATATGATATGTACATATTATATATATATATACAATATATATATAACTTATATTATATATGTAACTTAGTGTTGTTTTGCAGTTGCGTATTTGTATTTAAATTTTGATATGAAAATTTATTCATATAAACAATAGGAAATTGACCGAATGATATTTGATACTAGTAATTGTGATCTTGAAAAAGAAAAACGCTCGCTTGAGTTTAAGAAGTGTTCACGTTGCAAAAAAGGATCCTTATTACAGGGCATAATAGAAACCTTTTTATAAGTCTTTATGTTGCGGGTCAATATTGGCTGTTAATTGCATTAGATATATACATATATAATCACAAATATATATATGTACGAAGACATAGTAAGTTTGGTAAGTGTAAATTTATATATAATAAAATATATGTAAGTTTGCATTTATTAAGCTGAATTGATCCTTTCGGCGTAATGTCACCAAGAGGAGCATGTAAAACTAAACATCTTAGACAAGATAACGAGATGAGAAAATATCTTTTTTTTAAAAAAAAGATAGAAGTATCATTTCGGGTTTAAGGTGGATATATACGTTATTGATATATAGTAGTTATAAATTCATACATATCTATGCGTTTCTAATGAACTATATCTTTGCGTAAAGTATCGGCATTAATTTAAGAAATATTAACGAAGTCATAATGGTAGTTATGGCCATATGACAAATTTTTTTGGGATCGGTTTAATTTATATATTATGTTAA